GCCATTGATCAGGGGATCTTTTTAAAAAAAAGTTTACGCAATTTAAATTATTCCTTGTGTCGCAATTTGTCCTTGAATTTTATTGATAAATTTGATAAAAAGACAGTTGCCCGGATACTTTTGGCAGGTTGGTGTATGTGAATTGCTTGTATAATGGATAAAAAAACTTGTATTTATTTGTTATACTGTAAAATATTTTTATTTAATGAGAATGGCATTAACCAAATTCATTATTATATTATTAAAAATGTAGATGAATTAGAAGTTATGCATTAAAGAAAAATGACAAAAATGAAAATTTAATAGATAGGCTTTATTAGTTTACTTGATATGTGAAATTGTTTAAATATATTTTTTATGTTTCATAAGCAATCACAAATAATCTTCAATTCTATTATCTTTTTCCATAATTTGTTCTGTATTTTTCTTTAGGATAAGTAATTGGTTATAAGCTCTACTAAGTATAGCATATAAATAAGGTCCTAAGAGACACCTCTCCGAGACATAATTTTTCGATATCTGACATTTTTATTTACAAAATACTAACAACGCAATAATGAATTTATGTTATATATTTTCAAATTTGTATCCACAATACAGAAGAGTTACATTATGACAAAATTTATTTCTAAATTAAAAGATTACAGTAAATTTGATCAAGAAAAAAGTTTCACACAGGAAAAGAAAACCTGGGCTTTGGAAAGAAAACAAATTAAGAGTAAGTTATCACAAAAGGATAATGAAATAAAATTGCTTCAAGAAAAAATAAAAATATTGCAAGGTAAGTTAAAAGATACAGATCGAATAAATAAATCGAGCAATTTATATTTATGCATTACTAATCTTTTGAATTGCCCGTAAGAGTTAGCTAATTCAGTAGCACACCTACCATCGTGAGAAAATTATAATAAGAAATTATAAAAGAATATAACAAAAAATAAGAAACTAAGAAAATTTAATAGAAATAGTAATTGGAATAATCGGGATAATCGGAATACGGGTATTCAATTTCATCTTCTTCGCCTTCTTTTAGATCAAACAAAATTAATGCATTTGCTAGATCTACAAAAGCCACTGTCATAGCTGCTACTTGTCCAAAGTTCCAACCCCAAATATTCGATACCAGATTTTTTCGTATTGTCGTTTCAATTGTGGCAATCCACAATATCACTATTAATAATGATATTATTATAATAGAATGTTTATATCGTCTAATTTTGTTAATTCCATCCTTATACAAACCATAATAAAGGGTGATCGGTACTAATACTAATCCAATGCAATTCATTGCTAACGAAAAGTTTCGAAACCAGCCAGTTGGGTCGATTTGGGCATTTAATATAAAAATTTTCACTTGATCACCGCACTCTTCGTCAGCCATCTTCCATTTAACAGTTGCCCATACCCATATGTTGTAGCATAATGTGAATAAGGTAACTATGACGAATAGAATTCCTATACGAAACGCCTTTTTCTTAATACCCTTATTTCCGTCAAACATGATCGCGACATATATCATAGCTATCATCATCGATACAATTTGAGATACTTCAATTAGAAGTAGATAATGCAAATATGCGGTTTTACGTTGGTGTATAGCAGATATTACTAAGGCTAGGGATGTTATCATTCCGATTACCATCGTTTCTATAACCTGATTTCCTCTCTTCGTTACCTTTATAATCGCTAGTAACATTTGTATGTAAACTGATATTCTTACCCCTACCCCTACTAAATCACCATCACCTGTTATTTTGCATTCTTCGGATGTTGTTGCGTTTGCCATGGTGGTTATAATAAATCAGTTAATGGTTAAGATAAAATAAATCTTAAACAGGGGAAGTGTCAAAGATTAGGGATAATTAGTCAAGTGGTTTTAAGTTCTTATACGTGAAAGCAATTATTAATGATAACAATAAGAATAAATTTAAATTTATTTCTGATTTCAATTATGGAACAATTTTAATTATTTGCAATAATTAAATAATTAAAAGAATTTTCATTTCAAAATGGTTTTTCCCTAAGGTACCATTTCCCGCTTCCTTATTATATGATTCCTTTAATATTTCATGATCAATGATAAAACCACCGGTTACCTCCCAGTTGTGGCGTTTAACAATGACCCAGCAATGACTTTAAAGTTTAATAAGGTTAAAACCGATACAGTGCATGGAAAGTTATGCTCAAAAACGCAATAAAATATTTTCTATATGTAAACATTTTAGGAAATTCCCGTGAAACAAGATCAGCAATACACTGCTATGGTATAGAGACCGTACCACGTCTTCATAGTGCAAATACTGATACTGTGGTCGTGGCAGTAGATGTTTATATACACTAAACACTTCCGTTTGAGGTTATAAATTAACCACCGGCTAGCCAGGCCCCCGGATAACATATACAAGGTTTGCTTAGCCATCATATAAAGAAAATTTTAAGGTCGTGTTTACTTAATATAAACCCTTTTTTATCTAGTTATACAATTGGAATGCGTGGTAGAGAGAAAGTGGTCAAAAATGGTGGTTATGGAGGAATCAAAGAAATAATAAAAATGACATTACGGCGAAGTCAAGATTTCATTTGAGTAAATGATCCCATATCCTTACGCATTTATTCAACAAGGCTGAAAAAACCGGTAGGAAAGAAAAATTACGATGGTATTATTATAGTGAAGATAACTATTAATTCGGAAACAATATTAGCGATCAAATAGCAAGAACACAAATTTACGATGAAATGATGCTGGTATTAAGAGAGAGTATTTGCGTAAGATGACTCAAAAGGATATCTACACATTGTTTAAAGGGACCGGAATAGATAAAAATCGGGTTAGTTACATATAGTGCCGATGCTATCTCTAGGCTAACAGATACACAAATCCAAAATATACTAAAACTACAAACCAAATCTCAAAAATTGTTCACGCGATTGTAATCTATTGGCAACCGAATCTGAAGTCACCAATGAGTCTGGTTCGAAAAAATTACTAGATACCAGGATAAGTCAAATTCTGAGCTCTTTCCATTCTATCAAAAGAGAGCGTAAATAAGTTATTAACAAATTAACTATGCATTTTACTGGTTCTCCAAAGTTAGACCTATATTTTAGCATATATAAGGAAGGTGAGCACTAGATTGATGCATATTGGATCCTTGGCTTACATTGTCCATTATGCAGGGAAAACATACGAGTTTAGAAGGTTAGATAATCAAGGCAATTAGCATTATTATTTGTATTGTGATGAAATCAAAGATCCAGGAATTCCACTTTTTTGGGGTTTTAGAAACATATTCTAAAAATGCAGAATTAATTCAAGAACTAAAACTCGATGCTTCACAATACCTTTACCTTTACCTTGGAATGATGCGCTTAAATTTCCAGATAAAACTATGGCAGTGAAAGTATAATTGTATAATCATATTGTTACTGCAAAGCAAGTAATTATTTGTATAATGTTACAGTAATTATTCTGCTAAACGATAAAATAAAAATATTTTAAATGTTTACAAACTCGATATTAAAATAAACGGATACTTTATTTATTATTTGGCTAATAGAGGTCAGATCACGTGAATGGGATGCAGAAAATGATTTATTCTATATTATTATGCCCTTTCTCTTTTTTTATAGGGTTGTATCACTAATAACTGAATAAGCCGAAATTTGGTCATGTGATTTTACAAGTAATAAAATATTGGTATTTTCACTTATTGGTACGAATTAATGTATTATATCTATGAATCATGAATTCCTAATAAAATACTTGGTTTGATCGCTAGTTTAATATTTCCACTATTCTTAAAAAAATCGAACGCCATTTTTTACTTTGCATATATGTAATTAATCAATAATATTTGAAGTATTAAATCCAATTCGAAGATGCTCCGGAACAACCACATATGGGGTCTTCGTAATACTCAGTTTTGACCCCGTGTGTGCTGTTTATAAAATTATTGGGATCGCCTCTATGAAAGAATTTGATATATTTTTATATTTTTAGTGTTGTAGCCTTATCATATATATTTTATTATACAAGCAAAGATAACAATTATTTTAATTAAAGGATTACATATTATTTCGCAAAATTTTTATAATTTGCACATGATTTTTATTTTTGTGTAGCAAAAAAGTAGATAAGGATTTCCATCTTCAGAATTTTTAAAAATTTGTTACATATTTATTTATTAAAAAAAATGACAGAGAAACTCCCAGATTTTACAAAGTTATCTGATAGAGTCAGTCGGATTCTTGGTCAAAATTCTAATAAATTTACTTTACAAGGTAAAATCATTTAATATATAAATATATGTATTTTTTATTATATTCAATTATTGATTTAGATATAATTTGATAAATTATACAGGTACAAATACATATATAATTGGCACTGGATCTCAAAGAATCCTTCTTGACACTGGAGAAAAACCAGAATATATTCCCGTGTTGTTTAATTCTATCAAACAACTTGGGGAGAACATTAATATTAGTGATATTATTATTACACATTGGCATTATGATCATGTAGGTGGCGTGGATAATATTCTTCTTCACGTTAAGGAGAATAATTTACCCATTCCCGTAATTCATAAAAAACTTTATCCCAAACGAGACAGTCCTCATCATCAAACAATTTTTCATCAAATTAATGATAATCAAATATTTCACACAGAAGGTGCAACCCTTCAAACAATTTACACTCCAGGACATAGTGAAGATCATTTAGGATTTTATTTAAAAGAAGAAAATGCAATATTCACCGGTGATTCGATATTAGGACAAGGTACAACAGTGTTTGAAGATTTAATATTATATTTGGATTCTTTGGAAAAAATGAAAAAATTTTCACCAAATATGTTGTATCCTGGTCATGGTCCCACAATTGAAAATGGAACGGAAAAGATAAAAGAATATATTGATCACAGAATGAGACGTGAAAATCAAATTTTGGAAGTATTCAAAAATGAGAATCGACCATTAACTCCCGCAGAAATTGTAGAAATTATTTACGCAGAGTATCCGAAATCATTATGGCCTGCAGCTGAAAGGGGGGTAATCATACATTTGATAAAATTGGAGAAAGAAAATAAAGTTTATAGAGTTGATAATGATAACGAAGATAATTTTAAACGGAAATGGGCATTGGCTAAAATTTAAATAAACAACCATTTTTGGGTTATCGCATATTTTTTATTTTGATTGTTATTACATAATCCAATTACATGTAAATTATTTTTATTATTTTTATATATTTATAAATAAAATAAAAAAATAAATAATTTAGTCTAACTAAATATTAATGGCTTTTTTAACTTTTTTAATTAAAACTTTGACTAACAGAATTCTTATCGTCTATGACAATGTGTTCCATTTACAGTAAAGATAAAGAGATATAAAGATAAATCATAATCATTTTCGAAATTATATATAAACCTTATCATCAAATTCAAAATTCAATTTTTCTGTGAAATATTCCCCCCCCCCCCAAGAAAAATTTGAAAATTCAAAAAAAAAGTTTTTGAAAACTAAAAAAAATAATAATAATACACTTTTGAGAAAAAATGCCACCGCAAGGAATAAAATTTTATAAGCTCGATATCACAAATAGGGAAGAACTTGAAAAGAAATATGTGGGTAAGTATGATTTTATATATTAATATTCTTATAATATTTTTTTTTTTTTTTAATTTTCAAAAAAATTTTTTTTTTTTTGTTCCTCGCTTTTTAAAAGATTTGGCAAGTTCAGTTCTGGGTAGTTCGGTTGAAGAATGTTCTGATGAATTTTTTGCCAAGGCAATCAATTTATTAAAACCTGGAAAACCGATACGCGATGCTGGACGTTTTACCGAACGTGGTGCTTGGTACGATGGATGGGAAACTCGAAGGCATAATCCTGCTTTCGATTGGTAAACAATTTGTTTTATATGAATTTATTTTATTTAATTTTATGATTTATAATGATGATGATGATATTAAAAGTATTGAATTTTTTATCAGGGTTGTGATTAAATTGGGATATGCTGGGCATATCACTGGCTTTAATATCGACACCGCCCATTTTAATGGAAATCACGCTCCAATAGCAAATGTGGAAGTGTGTTATTCAGAAAAAAATCCCCTTCACACTGATAACACCGAGGTAAATTATACTGTAATTAATATTACGTACGTTCGGTATGTGCACTTGATTTTATTTAGATCATATTAATCGTATGAATATTACCTTTTTTTTAATAGTGGATAGAAGTACTTCCCAAAGTTGATTTAGAACCAAGTTCCGAACATTTCTTCGGGATACCAAAGACTCTACAAAAGGTTTCTCACGTTCGGTTGAATATCTATCCTGATGGTGGCGTGGTATGCATATTTCATTATTATCTCATTATATCACTATATCACTATATCGTATTATTTTATCCCATTGTCGTATATTTATCATAGGCCCGATTTCGGGTATACGGTATTGTAAGTGCAAAATGGCCATCGGATCCTACTACTCCAATAGACCTCGCATTTATTGGTAACGAAGCTGTAATTGTGGCCTGCAGTGACCAGCATTATGCCAAGGTCGAAAATATATTATTACCTGGCCGTGGTGTGGATATGAGTGACGGTTGGGAGACTAAGCGCAGCCGCCAAAAAAATCACTTTGACTGGGTGATTGTGAAATTGGGTAGTCCGGGATATCTAGAAAGTGCGGAAATTGATACCGCGTTTTATATAGGAAATTATCCACAGGAGGCGACTCTTGAAGGTTGCTATTCTAAATCGGTAAAATTTATTTCATTTTTCTCGCGTTTATTTCGCGTTTATTTCTTGTCACTCATTTCGTTTATTTTTTAAATAGTTCATTCCTGATAAAATAACGAAATGGACTCAAATTTTAGAACGGTCCAAATTAGGACCTCATAAACAACATTTCTTCAAGTTATCCGTTAAGGATATAAAATTCTCTCATGTACGATTGACTATCTACCCCGACGGGGGTATCAAACGTTTACGCATTATAGGTCGTCAAAAACCCCTGTTACAAAATAATTTTAATGATTCGCCTGTACTTCCTCCCGTAAATTGTGTTATCGCTCAACCATTAACTTATGAATCTTATGCTCCTTATGGGCATATAATTCAAGCATTTCAGGAACCGCAATCTATTTCACAATTTGTGACCACCGTTACTCATAACATTTGTGTAACACCTGCCAATCAGGGAACTGCACGAAAGTATAATCATATAGCACCAGTAATAAACATTCGTCAGAACGATATAAATAATAAAGATAGTCAATTCATACCAAAGGCTACTCCAAATCTAAGTTTATATCGTTGTTTACCGGTTAAAAAGCCGGTTAAAATTGATTTGTTAGAGCGACATTTGTATTCTAGTCAAGCATTTATACCAATGTGTGGTGGAACAAACTATTTAATCGTTGTTTGTTTGAGTGATCACGGTAAATATATAATATAATATAATATAATATAATATAATATAATATGATAAATCATTTATTAAAGAATATATTTTTATTTTCTTTAAACACTTAGACGGTAAACCTGATTTAAAAACACTCAAATCATTCCTATGTTCAAGTTCTCAAGGAATTAATTATTACCCAGGTGTATGGCATCATCCTATGATTGCACTTGACGAGGTAATTCATATTTTTATTATTGAATTTAGTCTTTAATTTCTTTAATTTCATCACGTTTTAAACAATTTTCAAATACATAATAAAAATAGACGACCAATTTTGTATGCCTGACGCATGAGTCAGGTGTACCAAATCAAGATTGTGAAGAAATTGAAATTGTTTCGCATAATATTCAAATTAAAATAAACAATAATTAATCGTTTACACAACACCTAATTCATTGTAAAATTTTTTAAATAGAATACTAATATAGATATAAACAGGTTATCTTATTGTTTCCTAATTAATAAATGTAAGCTGGTAAAAAATTACACGTGATAAAATGGTTATTCTGATTTTTTTTCACAGTGAAAATAGAATTCTATTTGAGTTTTCATTTCTCTCCAGTGAAAATAGAAATTCTATTTGACTTTTGACATGGGAGACACACGTAACGATAGAAAATATATCAATGATCCAATTCATGTAAATTTTACTTTAAAGTATAAAGATTGTAAAATAACAAATTGTAATAATTGTAATAATTCATAACTTATAAAATTTAATAAAAATATTAGGGATATATGGAATTTGAGGATTGGGCCATCCAATTCATTGATACTCCACAATTTCAAAGATTACGAGATGTTAAACAACTAGGAGTTACTTATTATGTTTTTCCCGGGGCAAGTCATAATCGATTTGAACATAGTTTAGGTGTGTTGCACGTGAAATTTTTTCATTTTTTATTTTATTTTATTTTGTGTACACAGATTTATGTTTCAATTTTTTTTTTTTTGATTCTTTGACTATTGATGGACCTTATAAGGCACTGGTCACCTTGCTTATAATTTGGTAAATCGAATTCACCGACAACAACCGGGTCTTGACAGTTCTGAAACGGATTTGAAATGCGTCACTTTGGCAGCTTTGTGTCATGATTTAGGTAAATTTTATGGCTAGAATTGATGATCTATCAAATATATATATTTTATAAATTAAAGAATCTATTATTTCATGAAATTAATGTAGGACATGGTCCATATAGTCACGTATTTGACAATGAAGTCATTCCGACTCTGAGGTTTTTTTTTTTTTTTAATAATTGAGAATTTATTTTAAATGTGTTAATCTTTTCCTTTCCTTCCTCTTTTTCTTCTTTTTAATAGACCAAAACCATTTGAATGGAGACATGAAAATGGTTCTGTTATGATGCTGAATCATCTTATCGAGAGTGAAGGGATTGAACTTTCTAGTGACGATATTAAGTTTATTGAAGCACTTATTACTGGTGAAAAGTTGGGAATGTAAGTTGACTTAAAACAAATACTTTTAATTTTAATTTTGATTCGAATGATTTGATTAAGAGATTTTTTCAACTGTTCATATAGTAAGAGATCTCCTTACCTTTTCGATATCGTAGCCAACAAACGTAATTCAGTTGATGTTGATAAATTTGATTACATAGAAAGAGATTGTTATCATTTAGGAATGAAATCCAAATTTGAATTTTCTCGTCTCATGCAGTTTTCTCGGATAATTGATGATGAAATTGTATATCATCATAAAGAAAGTTTTAATATTTATGAATTGTTTCATACTCGTTATTCGTTACATAAAAGAATTTATACTCATCGCGTCAGTAAGTAGCTTTATTTATTTATATTTTAATTATAATCATTATCCATTCAGTTATTTACTATTATTATTATTTATTATTTGTAGGTAAGGCCATAGATTATATGGTCAGAGATGCTCTCGTGGAAGCGGATCCTGTATTTCATATCGCAGATTCTATAGATAATCCTGAAGAATATCTTAAATTATCTGACAGTATTCTGACGAGAATTGAATACAGCGATGATCCAGTACGTGTAGAGTTAATATATATATATATATTTATATTTATATTTATTAAATTCTAATGTAATAGATTTTCTTAATAATTATTATTATAATTACCTAGGGATTAGAAAAGTCGAAAGAGATCATAAAAAATATTCGACATAGAAAATTATATAAATTTGTTGATGAATGTTTGATTCCATATAAAATGGATATAGCAGAGGTATTTTATTATCTTTTATTAAAATTTATATATATATATTTTTTGAATGAATGGTGAATGTATTTAATATATATTTCATTTTCCATTAAATAAATAATCTAAATAATTAACTTGAATTAATTCCAGAATAAGCTCAACTCATTTGAGATAGTAAGTCATCAAAGTGGCAGTGATTTAAATGAAGATGATGTTATTGTAGAAAGATTAAAGATGAACTACGGAAAGAAGGATAAAAATCCCGTTGATAATGTAAAATTTTATGACCGGTATCGTCAAAATGAAGGTAAAAAAATCTTATTATTTAATTAGATATATTAGATATACATGAAATTACAATATTTTTTTTTTCTTTAGCATTCAATTTATCACGTTCAGAAGTAAGTTATCTTGTTCCTGAACAATACGAAGAGGAAATCGTACGTATATTTGCTCGTGATTCAAGCAAGGTTAAACAAATTCAAGAAGCTTTCCGAAGATTAACAAAGAAGTTAAATATGGATTTTCCAAATAATGAATTAATTAAATTAATTAACAGTCAAGGTTTTTCAATTCCTGAGAATTATGTACCGAAAAAATTAAAGCGTCATCGGTCCTTTACTAATTCGACTAGTTCGGAGCGTGCATCACGTGTCGCACGTATTAGTACTCCAGACACTTTATAAATATTTATTCTATTTTGTCAATACAAAAATATTCTATTTATTATATTTATTGTATAGTAAATATTTATTTTTATTTATTTATTTATTTATTTTATTTATTTATTTTGTTCGTTTTGATTATTTATATGTACTATTTATTATTAATATTTATCATTTTTTTGTGAATCAAAAAAAATTGTATAAAAATAATTCAATTTCCTTAATTTAATTCGATAAATATTTTTGTGAATCACATAAACTAACTCATTCACGCTAAATCCGAACTAGAATTAATATCAATCTGCAAATAAACATTCTCTATAATTTATTTTGTCAAATTGCAAATAGAAATATTCCATCTAAATGAAGTAAATAAAATTTTTTTATTGGATCCAATAGATTAATTAAATAAAGTAAATTAATTAAATAAATATCTTAAAATCAAAAATTAGATCTATGATTATCATAATCATCATGATTTTTTTGCTCTCTCATAAGCTTTTTTCTCCCCTTGTTCGTTCTCAAGTATACCCATAATACGATTTATTTTCTTTTTGTATGCAGCATCTTTTTCTTTAATCAATCCAGAACTTTGCCTGGCAATAAAATGATTATCTTTACGTAGTTCTCTGATGGCACCTTTACGTTCTTTCTTGTATTGGGACCTTAATTTATTTAATTTGGCACGTTCACGATCTGGATCATAATGTTTATCAACCGAAAATCTATTTGATTATTTATATATATATATTTGATTAGTTGTATTGATTATTAATAGTGATAATAAATTATTTATTTTCGAAAATAATTCTTACTTCTCTTCGAACTTTGGAATATATGTAGGAATTGGAATAGGTCGATGATGTTGTAATTCCAAAGGTCTACGACTTTCTTTTGTAAATTTTTGAAGATTTTCTAATTTTCCCAGTACATCAGAAAATTTCGCCTAGTATATGAAACAAAATTTAATTCATTAAAATAATGTTAAAATAATGTAAAAATGAATGGTTAAATGCATCGTTAAATATACCTTAACAATTTCAGAAAATTTATCAATAGGATAGAGCGATATTATCTTAGAAATTGGACTAAAGAGTTCTATAAATGCGGATGTAGAACTATACAATTTTGCATATTTACTGATTAAATGCAAAACAGCGTTTAATACTGAAACTCTAAATAAATAAAGAATTAAATTTGATTGTAAGAAATATTTGATAATATATTTTTATATGAACGATAATATAAAACGAGATAAAAACCTAAACTCGTCTTTATTAAAAATATCGGAATAATTCTTTTCGGAAGATGTTATTCCTAATAATTGTGAGAAATCTAAAGGAAAAACTTCATTGATTTTGCTTGGATCCTTAATATGAAAACTCATTATTAATTCTTCTGTTAATGGGAATGTGCCTGGAATAGATTTACTGGAAGTAAATGTTCCTTTTGGCGCAAGACATACTAGTGCACTACAAAGGAAATTGAGAACTTCGGGACAAATACGTTGCGACAAACTTTGAGCCTTTAAAATAAAAAGAAAATATTAAAATTAATATATAATTAATTTATGTGTATATATATATATATATATATTGATCAATTAATCAATTTTTAATTAAAATAAAATGAATTACCTCATGCATTAAATTGCATAAAAAGATTCCTGCTACCAAATCGCGACCAAATGATAAAGGACATTGTGCAAGATATTGTCCCATAAGCAAAATAGTTGGTGTGACCACAGGATGATGAAAATCGGATGATGGAAACACTTGTAATGAAATTCGCAACAAAATAAGTTCTGAAGCGGAAGGAAATAATGATTTCGATTTTTTTACTCCTAATCCCTTCGTTAAATTAATTTGCATTGCAATAATTTTTTCGATAAAATAATCCTTAGCAATTTCAGGTAATTGATGCGCAAGGTCGAATATATGCCCCACAAATTTGTTAATAAGGATCATAGGGATAGGATCTTCTTCTGAGGAGCGATATAGGATATAATCCATAAGGACTGGAAATAATTTCTTTTTCAAAAGAAAAAAATTTCCAGTAATAAAATAATAAAGAAATTAGAAATTAAAAAATTATATAACTCATAAATTTTTGTATATAAAATAATATTCTTACCTCCAATTTTTCTCTATTGTCCGCTGAGAGTTTAATATTATATAATACACGAATACGATGTATAACAATGGGGACGTCATTATCGTCAATATTATCGATAATTTTTAAAAAATTTTCAAGAGATGTTGGACATGGAAAAGTGTATGGTAATTCCTTTTTGTCTTTATTTTCTTTGGAGGTAACAGACAATTTATTACTTTTATCCAATCTTTTTTTTGCAAAATTTTCATTTCCTTTATCGATCTTCACATTATTTAATTCATCTTCTTTATCGATATTTGCATTACTTAATTCATCTTCTTCAAATGCGACTTGTAATGTATCATCTTCTAGATCATCGTAATTATCCTCAGTATCTTCTTCATCATCGTCATCATCATCATTTTCTTCTTCGCCTTCATTATCATCATCATCATCGTCATTATCATCACCTTCTTCGTCTTCATTATCATCGGTAACGCCCTTTAAATTTATTCCTTTACCAAGTCCGTACAAATTGTAATCATCAGAGATATAATCATCTTCAAGATCATCAGCAATCGGTTCTCGTTTTTGCCTTTTATGCTTGTCTTTGTCATCTTCGGATTCTGAATCCAGGCCTTCCATACGTCGTTTGCGTGCAAACTATATTAAATTGATGAATTAATAATTTTTCACACTCACTTTTTTAAATAATTAAATTCAAAAAACGAACCTCCAATTTTTCGAGTTTTTCTTTTTCCTCCAAAGCAATTTCTTCTTCAGTCTTTGTTCTATCAGTTGGCCTACCGCGCTTTTCAAATGCCAACTCACGCACATGCCTATCATATTTATCATCTTTGTCACCTTGTTTTAATTTTATCTCAGAATTCAATTGATTTCTTGATGTAAATTTTACTTCTTGAGACTCTAAATTTTTGGCTGTTGATTGGGGGATAAGAATATTACGAATTTCATCAACTTCGTTATCCAATTCATTTCTTATGCGTTCATCAGTTTCTTTTTCGATCATGCGTTCATACTAAATTGAAAATTATATGAATATATAAACTGACCATTTTTTCAAATTCTAGGATATAAAATTTTCCTCACCTTATGCATTTTACTCTTTGAGATAATTTCTTTCATTACTTCGACTTTAGATTTTTTATGGTCTACTTCCTATAATAGAAGTATATACACAGGTATATGTACTTTATAATTTGAATAATGAAAAGAATAATATAAAATAGTAATAATTATAATAACATTGTTTTCTGAATCCTCAAATCCACCAAAATGATTTTTGGTAACAGTATCCTTGTCGATAATGCCTAATTAAAAATAAATATAAATAATTAAAAATAATATAAAATAAATAAAAATATAATAATATCAAATATAATATAAAATAAATATAAATTCCGAGTAACTTTGTTTCAACTAAAAGGAAAATTTAACTTTACCTTCATCACTTGATACTAAATCTGGCTCATTGAAATCATCATGTAGAGACAAAGATTGACCATAATGTGTCAAATCATCTTCATCTCCAAGATTGAATAATGACAATTTTGATTGTCTCTATAAAGTTTGTTTCCATTTTATTTTTTATAAATATGGGAGATAATTTTTTTTTTTAAAAAAAAAATAAAATAAAAACCAACCGAGAAACTTTTAAATACCTGTTTTTCTCTCGTAAATCTCTCTAGCATTTTATCTTCAGGTGATAAAGTAGGATCATTCTCACCAAATCTTCGATCAATCATTCCACCTGCTTTATTCTTATTTTCCATTTCAACGAGCAATGTTTTCTTACGCTAAACCAATAATAAAAAATAAATTGAAATAAGTATTAGCTCTAGATGAAATTCAAATTAAAGGAATAACCCTCAAAAAATTACCTTTTCGATTCCAATTTGTCGGTTTAGTCCAGGCCTTCCTTGAACACCTTTTACCCTTTTTCCCAAAACATCATGTTTCATTCTTGTAACTTTCAGTTCGAATGGATTTATTTCATCATTTAATTGGTTTAACTTTGTCTTGATATCATTTTTTCCGCTTTCTATAGGTGTTCCCCTTTTTCTCTGTTTTTTGCTAATGCTCGAACGAGAAGTTGGGCCAATAACTCCAACTTCTTTCAATGTCGTTTTGAGACGTTTTAACGCGGATCCACCTTTTTTCTGCGATTTTGCATTCATATATTCCTTTCTTTTTAATTCTTTACTAATATAAGATTACTAAGATCTTATACACCATCACCGATTAAATCACTAAATCATGTGACTTATTAGTAGATTTTATATGAACTGGTAACACAGTACATCTGAGCTCTTTTCCAAATATGACTCAGATCCGCATTCATATTCTCAGAGGTGAGTAGTTGCATACAACTAGTGTTTCTATCCATTTTCTTTAATCCTGAACCCACTAAATATTATCAACGTACAGTATTAAAAAATATACTCTTTCATATCTTACCCGATCTAGTTCTACATCTCAACTTCTTCCCATATGTACCTTAATCAAGCCAGGGATCGTTTACTTGCATTCCAAGAAGACAATCATTATCGTTAAAATGTATCACTCGAAGCTTACATCATCTCAAAGCTGAACGAAAGCCCCCTGTTAGAATTCGTTTGGTCGATGGAAAAATCATAACTCACGAAATACCTCTCTCATCACATGGAATAGTAACGAACAGAATCTTTAGCTTGATATATCTGGGATAATCAATTACTTGGCACAAATGAAGAAGATCTTATTGTGAGATCGAATAGTTATTTTACGGCTGATTTTACCATCCAACCGCGAGGACTTCCCTGACCCTCAGCTGGCCAGGGATCTAATTCAGAGGGGAGACCATATCCAACGCTGGTTGTTGAAGTTGGCAACAGCAAGACTATCCCAAGCTTACATTGTCTTTCGAAATATTACTTTTCTTCACGAACAACTATAACACAGTGACAGACATCATCATATCTTTTGGCACGGCCATCCTTTAACAATAAAATTTCTCACGGATACTATGGACGTTCCACTTACTAATATTACTGGCGTTGTATTGGATTTTTACCAGCATGCAATATCCCTGGCATTCCAAATTATCAATTGCATATCCTTCCATTGAACTTTTCAATGGTGCCTCTGGTGGCATCTCTACTAGCGCAGTTAATGGGTTTTATTTGGATTTATGGGAATCACAAGATTTAATATTGAATGGTTTTTAACTAATAAATTTCTGAAGTGAGTGATATTGCTTTTGCCAAAGAAAATAGAAAGAGCTCATCGATATACGTTTTATTTAGCATCGTCATATTTGAATTTATTACAATAAACATATATGCAAAAAGTAAATGCTGACAAAATTCTTTATTACATTCTTGGATCACTCCGCAATAAAATACATGTTTATTATTACAAATAAAATATAAGGTACATAAATGCCAGATACATAATGCTGTAATAAAAATACATGATTAAGAATTGTTATCTATTTTTTGATTTTTCTTGTACACATCTTTCTGGTTCATAGAAAAATTTAAATAAAATTCTTTATCATATGCAAATTTCGCAAGAAAAATTCTCGATCATATCAGAATAAATTTGGATCATTACATGCCAAGTAAACGTGATTATATATATGAAATCAAGCCACCAGAGCTAACTTTATTAATATGAAAAAAAATACACAGTTATTTATTGCTACAAATAAAATATATAAGGCATTTACACAGGTCGAAAAACCAAATTTCGGGTATTTCGGGCCCTATCGGGTACCCGACTTGTGCCGAAGATCAGGTACCTGATATAACTGTAATATAAAATTATAAATAAGCCGTTTTTAATTATAATTAAATAGTCAAAACTCTACTAAGTAAACTTGTAGCTAATAAAAATATATATCATAAATATAATTTTCAGCCGTATTTTATTAAAATTGAAAAAATTATTAATGTTTTAATTCATACAGTTGTTCAAAATTTGATCATTACTAATTCTCTCAATTTTAATGAAATAGGTCTAATATTTTTATAGATAATGTAAATTTTTATTACTACAAGCCTACTTAGCAATTCTTTGACGATTAAGTTATATAATTAAAAACTTTTATATGTAGCTACGATTGCAAATTATTTCTGATTTTATATTTTGATAAATTACATCAGGCATGAGTTATAAAATGTGATCATAACTACTTATTAAAGTTTAATTATATACCTAATTGCCAAAATGTTACTAAGCAGACTTATAGACAATAAAATCTATATTGTTTGTAAAAATATTAGACCTATTTTATTAAAATTAAGAATTAGTAACAATCAAAGTTTGAACGGAAAACAAATTAAAACGATAATAATTCTTTTAATTTTAATGAAATACAGCTGAAAATTTTTATGAATTATAGTTATTTTTATTATCTAAAAGTTTACTTAGTAGTGTTTTGACAATTTTATTATATAATTAAAACTTTTATATGTAACTACAATAATGGCTTATTTATAATTTTATATTACAGTTATATCAGGTACCCAATCTTTGACACAAGTCAGTGACCTATCAGGTATCCAATAGGGACCTGAAAAATACCTGAAATTTGGTTTTTTGACCTGTGCATATATTCAATATATAATTTATAATGAAATCAAATAATTACTGTAAAATTTTAATAAATAAACTTTATTACTAAAATATGAACATATGAATATATTTCTTGAATTCTGATTGGGTAAAATAGCATATGTGATACTTATATAATTGAGAAAAATTTTTTTCCATAAATAAATTCTTTTAAATAAATACATTCAAATACTATAATATGAAAAAATCTGATTATTAAATTAAATTTTATTTAAGATTTTCTAAGTTTCTATTATAGAGATTTTCCACAATATTATTTCTATATTTGCATACAAAATAGTCTATTATAATAAGGTGAAATATTTTGGAACCCAAAAGCCAAAACAGTTTTTCATAGAAGACAAAATCATTTTACTTAAAACCTGAAATTTTTTAACCACTCAGATAAATTCTTTGATTAAAAATACATTAGACTAAATATTTTTTTATTTCAATATATAGAATATATAGAATAGATATCTCAAAAATCTCAAAAAGACAAAATATTTCAAAAATTAGAAATCAATTTTGGAAACATATATAATTATTTCCATTAATTCACAAAGATCAATAAAAATTTTTGATCATATTTTGATATAAACAATTAAAAAATTTTGATTAATTGAAAATATGAACTAATGTTTATTAATTAATTTTATAAAGTTTTCTTTTGATATCATATATATTATTTTTTACTATTAAGTGATGATATTCCAAAGTAATAAAGTGAAAATTGAAAAAAATATTTTAATTGGTAACCATAAGATAAATCATAATTCCTATATTATAGATTAGCTAAAATTAGTAAAAATCACCATCCTATTGCATTCTATATTATAAATTAACTAAAATAAGAATTTCTTTTTGATATGGCAATTTTTTTGTATTTGATCTGTGTCAGAGATAAGTTGTTATATGTAACTAGTGTTTCTTTAATCATATACTAGTCAAATATAATCATATACTAGTCAAATATAAAAATTACTGTACCAAATAGTAATTCCTATATTATAGATTAGCTAAAATCATAATTTCTATATCATAGACCTGCTAAATCAATCATCTTATTTTATCTTATATTATAAATCAACTAAAATCAAAATTTATATTTACATCACCTATTCTTTTGTACTTGACCTGTACTAAAATTACTAAATATTATTAATGTATTGTATTAAAAAAAAGAAAGATTACCTTCTTAAATATGATTTTTTATATTTTACCTAATCTAGTTCTATACATGTCATCCAAATCCCAAATTATTTTGGCATTTCAGCTGCCAAAATTCAGTTTTCATAGTATTTGAAATTTGGAATTTGGGATTTGGCATAATTTGGGATTTGGAATTGTGGCAATTAGTAATTTGGGATTTGGGATTTGGAATTTGGGATTTAGCATTTTGAATTTGGGCAGCATCTATATCTAGTTCTATCATTTTAACTGTCATAACTTTTTTTAATATATAATCTACTTCATTTCAATTAAACACAGATCACATTAATTAAGCTAAGAACCATTTACTTGTATACTAAGAAAAAATAAAAATGAGTGAAAATATGAATTCAATTATTATTGTTGAAAATATATCATTTAAAACTTATATTGAGTATCTTAAAACTGAATAATTAACATTTATTTGATCAATAAAAAAACTATAGCTCATGAAATACCTTTCTCATCACATAGAGCAGTAACAAGTAGAATCTCTAATATGATATATATCTAAAATAATCAATCAGATAGTATAATACTAGTCAAATACAAAAGAATCACTGTACCAAATGGCAATTCCTATATTATAGATCAACTAAAATCAAAATTTCTAGATCATAAATCAGCTAAAATCAACTGTTTTATTTTATCCTATATTATAAATCAGCCAAAATTAGAATTTCTATTTGTGTCACCTTTTGTATTTGAAAAAAGATCTTATTATGGATCTGAATAGTTAATATACTTTACTATACTGCTGACTTTACACAGGTCAAATACAAAAGAATAGATAACCAAATAAGAATTACAATTTTAGCTGATTTATAATATAGGATAAAATAGGATGGTTGATTTTAGCTGGTCTATGATATAGGAATTCTGATCTATAATATAGAAATTACCATTCAGTACAGTGATTCTTTTGTATTTGACTAGTGTTATCAATTACATATTCCTGTCATTGAACTTTTCAATAGTTCTCTTGGTGGTCTTCCAATTGAAGCAATTACTGGGGTTTACTTAGATTTGTGGAAATTAAAAAGTAAAATGTTAAAGTATTCCTAACAAATTTATTTGTAATTGTGAATAATATATTTTGGAAGTGGAAAAAATGGAAGAAATAATATTAATATTTGATTAAGTTTATAATAAAAATTAAGTTAGATTAAAGTTTTTGTTAGCTTTATCTTTTTAACGGTAGAATAAAGCTTTTGTTGGCTTTATCTTTTTAATCATCACATTGCTATGTTGTATAAATTTTTTTCATTAGGTTGTATGAGTATTGTACATGGACACTGTTGAACAGTACTTGAACAAAAATTATTTTTTTAAAACATAAATAACGCAAAATTTTATTATAAAAAATTACTTTGAGCTATTAATTAAAGTTGTTAAGGATTGATTTTTACATATATTTATAAAGTTTTAATATACATTTATAAGCCAATTAAGGCTATGGACGGCGCGAGCGCGGACCTTGGACAGTTAAAAAAACCCTTGGACATGTAAAATGTACTATTATGAGTTGTATGTATCGAAAATATTTTTTTTTTGTGAAATATTGGAGTCACATAAATGAATCTTCGAGTTTAACAATATGTAAACTTATACTACAATTCCATTAAATAGATGAAAAGATGACAAAATATCACCATAAATTAACCACTCTGAATCTTTCAACAGATTAAAGTTGCAATGGGTGCAAAAATTTTTCACGTAACTTAATAAATGAACGTAAATTTGCTTTACTCTATTCAGTGTGTTACAAAATAATTTGAAATTACAACCAATTTAAATTTTCAAATCAAATAAATTATTTTTTAAGATTATTATTTTTATGAAAAAAAATTTCTTAAGATGCTATATTATTATATGGTTTGCTTTAATCCATTTAACCGAAAAGGTCCAAACCCAAATCATCATCTGATTCGTCTTCTGGTTCCTCTTCCTTAGCTGGAGCAACCTCCCTAGTGGTTTCGGTTGTAGTTGTAGCAGTCGTGGCGATCGCAGCAAATGCAGATGGATCTGCAAGGTATTCCTTGATCTTATTTTTTTAAACAAAAATTTGATCAATATAGTATTAGAAAATTAAATATATCGAAAACCAAAAAATTTTTTCCCATCAGTAAAAAATTAGAGTGAATCAAGTTTTAAATTCATTGAATAATATCTCGTTGATTAATAAGGGTCATCATATGGCTCTCTCATATTTGGTTCGATATTTTTAAAAAATCAAGAATATTTTTTTATAATTTTCAATTACCTTTTCGGAACCAGAGAAAGTATAATCAGTAGCAAGTGAAATATGTAATAACGTCTTGTACCCATTGATGAGAGAATGATGTACAGATGCGATTGTCGGATACCCAATTGCGAGAGAGATCGAAGCAATATTCCTGATACCATTTGCGATATGTTCAAACAAGGTTGATTCCTCGATGTCAAGAACCTCAGGTGGGAAGGTGAAACCATTATCATAAATTTGAAGAACGGTCAACCCATATGTAAAGGGAGAAATGTTTAACATGTTCAACAAGGTAGCCTCAGAAGCACCAACTTTACTTCCAGCTTTCAAAAGAGCTACATCATTAATAATTTCAATAGTACCACGCGCAATTTTGGTCGGGACTCCTAAAGCCTGGAAGAAAGATGTCTTTCCTGGTTCCATACCAGTATTACCGGCAGGAACAATTACATCATTAGGAGCAACTGCCCCCGCTTTGGCTGGTGCACGAACCTAAAATTGAAATAATTGTATATATTTTATGATTTGATTTTAATCAATTTAATTGATTTTAATACAATAAAAACATGTCATACTCTGTTAGATAAAATTGTATCTCGTGTTTCTTTTAAATCATCTTTTGTGAACACAAAACCGATGTTTCCCTTGACATGGGGTAATAATTTCTCATATTGAGGGTTTTCACTTATTAGAGTTCGGAGAGCTCTTCTGACCATAGTGTTCTTTCCCATCAAAACGACTGCCTTTTTACGAAGAGAATGACGAATCTGATGCATTTGATTGGACCCGACATTATCAACATTCACAATAAAAATGGAAGGGTATTCCTCCAGTAAAGATTTGAGTTTTTCAAAATATTCAATCTTTTTAGCGCGACTGTCTCCCTTTGACATCTTGAATTTTTTGCAAAAATATTCACGTGTTCAAGGGGATCCTATCCGGAAGCTTAAAGACGAGTCTAATAAAAATAATCAAAACGGTATATAATAAATTTCTTTGCTAAACGTTGTTAACACGAGTCAGATCTTTAAACTGAATTTTACGTTTACTTGGTGGTTTAAATAAAAGAATTTATTGGTCAAAAATCAAATTATCCAAAGGGATCAAATGGATGTGTTGATTAATGAATGAAATCCAACGAAACGACTTAAAATGAATATTTAATTACATACCGCAAATATAATAATTCGCGAGAGAGGAGGAAACTTGTAAGATCTTTGAAACATCTTAAATGCATGTAATAGATTGACCAATCATATGTGATCAGATATTTTTTTATCCGAATTAATACAACTTTTTTTAAATGTTTCAAAAAATCGAAATCGAATAATTTAAAATGGGAATCGTACTGGCCAAATTATGGCGCAAACTCACTAGCAAAGAGGAAGTTAAAATCGTGATTGTTGGATTAGATAACGCCGGAAAGACTACAGTTCTGTATAAATTGTAAATATTCTCATAAGATGTGTGATTATATACTTTTGGATGTATCTTTACGAAAATAATTTAATTAAAATGTTTATTTAAATAAGATTATTAAATGAAGTAGTTGTAACGACACCTACTATTGGAAGTAATGTAGAGGTATGAATATATAAATATTGTATACATGTTTTTATTAGATAATTATACTCGATTTGATGATTTTTGATAATTTATCAATTTGTTTTGGGAATTAGGAAATAATTTATAAAAATATACACTTTTTAATGTGGGTAAGTTTTTTTTAAAAATTTTTTTTTAATGGATCAAGTTTGATTTTGGTGAAAACTGATTTTTTATTCATAATTGTGATTTTCAAGGATTTAGGAGGACAAGATTCTTTGCGAACATCATGGAAAGCATATTATATAAAGACAAAGGCAGTTATCATGGTTATTGATAGCACAGACAAGGATCGACTTCATATATCAAGAACAGAGTTACATACAATGATGGAAGATGAGGTATTGAAAATTAAATAATTTAAATAAATTTAAATAAATAATTTAATAATTAAAATATAGAATTTAAATTTTTTAGAATCTTAAAAGTTCAGTTCTACTTGTATTTGCAAATAAACAAGATGTAAAGGGTGCATTATCAGCAGTACAAATTTCAGAGGCATTGAATTTAACAAGTATGAGAGATAAACAATGGCATATACAGGTAAATGATATTAAATAATATTAATTTATAGTTGACATATAATAATAATAATAATAGTAATAATTTAATAACATTTGATTATATTTGGTTAATATAGCCATGTTGTGCTTTAACTGGTGAAGGGTAAGTTATAAGTTCAAAAAAAAAAAACTCAATTAATAAATTTATTAATTATTGTTTTTTTTTGTAGATTATTTGATGGATTGGATTGGATTGTTAGTCAAATTGGTACTTCTTGAACTTTTAATATAAATAAATAAAAATGATGCAAAAGATTTACAACAAAGATATTAAATTTAATTTATGTAAAATAAATTTTGTAAGATATTGATCAAATAAGTTTATTTTTAAAAATATCTATTAATTATATATTATATTACATCTATTATTATAAATTATTTATGTTTAATCTAATAGATAAAATTTATTTAGAATTAATAATTAGATAATTAGTGAATAGTAATGTCTTAGAATAAGCAATAAATCAAAAAATACTTAAAATCATTACCTAAATCAGGAAATAAAAAGTTCAAACAAAAATTTCTCCATCCTTATCAATACATTTTATTAAGTCTCTAGCTTTTCTTTTTTCTTTACCTTTAGTATTATTCTTTGTCGAATGTTTATTATGACTTTTCTTTTTAACTGTCTTTTTCTTTAAAGATTGCGCTACACGAGCTTTTATATCAACTTCAGTAAGTTTAATGTTTTCAGAAAATGGCAAGGTTTTCTTGGTATCTCTGTGAGCCTTGTATTTTCGGTTATTCAGAAGTTCTGGATCCAATTCAGTTTTGATCAATTCCTTGTCCGATTCATTTTGGATAGTAGAATTTATTTCTTCCGATGATGTTATTTCAAGACGATTCATAGAATTTATCTGATATTTCAAATGAAATTAATGAAATCAATGAAATCAACAAAATCAACGAAATTGTTCTTATACAACAAAACTCATTTTTACCATGCCTACATTTTCCGTGGAATCGCTATCATTTTCATTTTCATTTTCATTTTCTTCTGATTCATTTGATTCTTGATCAAAATTATGGACGTCTCTATCATCACTATCGTCACTATCATAATTATCTAACGATTTGCATATTTCATTTTGATACTAATAAAATATTAGGTATACGTTTAAGGTTATTATTAAAAAAAAAAAAAAGAAAAGGAAATTTGATAAATTATAATTGAAAATACCGTTTCCAATTCTTTTTGATATTGTTTTGTGAAACCGCTTGCTGTTACTTGAACATCTAAATCAAATTCTCGATTTACATCAAGTTTGAATTTGGGATATAACATGCTTTCATAATTATATTTCCTTCTAAAAAAAGTTCGTATACATTCTACGTCGCGGTTAAAATACCATTCAGCATTTGGATGCGATATTGATACCATTTGTGGAAAATCGATTAAAATGGGATCTCCATTTTCTTTAACAAGAATATTAAACTCATTAAAATCTCCATGAATAAGGCCACATTGTGCAAGCCTTACAATAAGATTCATTAATTCGGAATAAAGTTTTCCGGGATCTTTTATTTCAGTGATTTGTCGTCTAAAATAAATGAAAAAAAAAAAATTAAAAAATAATTATATATAAAGTTTTAAATATAAATTAATTACTCAATACTCACAGAGGATATGCATCAATAAATTCCATTACTAAACAATGTCGACTGTTATCAATTGGTTTAGGGACAGGAAATCCATTTTCATGTAATATCTAATAATAAATTTTTATAAATTTTTATATTTGGTAAGAGTATGATGATAAATTTATTGTTATACCTTCATAAATGAGAACTCTTTAATAGATGCTAGTCTTGACATATACATCCAAGATGCAGATTTTCGTTTTTGAAGATAATCACGTTTTGATTTAATTGCTCGAAAAGAAATGCGACCAAGTCTATTATTGACAAAAAAAAATTATATTAAAGAAAAAAAAAAAAAAGATAAATAAAAATTACATTAAAATTAAATATGCCAACCTGTGAATCTTTAGAACATGTTGATTTTCATTTTCATCAGCAACAATGTAAATATCTGTAGAAAACCGGTCAGCAAAAAAAAAATTAAAGTCAAGAAAGACATTTCGAATGAATATATATATATTGATTTATTAATTTACCTGCCTCTTTTCCAACACCAATTTGATTTCCTACAGAATAAATGCTACTTCGTTTTACAAATGTCTTTAATGACAAGTAATCATAACCACCATAAGTTAATCTATATCCATCATCTATTAATTAAAGATTAATTAAAAAGATTCTTAAGAAAAGATCTTATATAAATAATTCCATAATTTGAAGATCAAATTCATTAAAATCTAAAGATATTCTTACATTCTGCATTTTTTACCCTGGATATAAGATTTTTCTTTGCGAGTTCACCTAATATTTTGTGACTTCCACCGTGTCGTAAACCAGCTATTTGGGCAATAAGTGGTGTAGGTACTATTTCATGATTCTTTGAACCCATCTCGACCTTTAAATTAAAAATTTATCTTTTAAGGTTGTCCTCAGCGAATTCTCAGATTTAATTTTTTAAAAAATCTTACAGCTGTAAGAACACGGAACTCTTCCGAGCTCATATAACGTAATACTTTTGCATCCAATTTCATAACGAGTTTTTTTTTTTTGAATGTATTATCGTAGTAGTATATCGAATCTAAATAATTCGATAATCTAAATTATTCGATTGATCTGTATTAAGCGATCGCCACAAAGTCACTTACAATGCATGCATACGTGGTGTTACAGTGAAACTTATCCAAATTTGGGAATTTGGGTGGGTTTTTTAAATTAAAGAGTGTTTTCCCCAGTTCTTCCAATGTTAATTTGAAACCTTTTGTATATCACACATTTTCTCCAGTCTTTAGGAATCAAAGCATTTCTTTTAATAAATTTGTTATTGCGATTATTATTCTTAATTTAAAATTACATTCATTGTTCTCATGGAGAACCCCGAGATAAAAAAATCTCACGCTTCCAGACCTCAAGAATGGAAGTCACTTCAAGATGTCGTCGCTTCCGTAAATTGTGAATCCCGCGACAAACTGGTCTCCTTTATTCACGGAAAAGCTTCGTAAGGGCATCACAAATATTTTGATTTCGACTCTCCTTTTAATAAATAGCGTATAATGTAAAATATTTATTTTAGGTTAGATACGACTGAGGGCGATCGTAGAAAGCCTTTTATGTTAAACTTTCTAGTTCCACAAAGACAACAATTTCTTAAACTTAAGTCACTTGTCAATTGGTCTGAGAATGCGGATGTTATTCGTAATTGCGAGGCAAGTTTATTTTTTGTTCTAATTATTATTTGAGAAATTAGACAAGTTATTAAATTTATTTTGATTATTTATATTTATTTATTATACGTATCTAGTCATATCATCAAGCAGTTCAAAATCAACAACTGAAGATTAATCAAGTATTATATTCGCTTATAGATTTCAATTATGGTGTAATACCGAAAACAAGGTATTAATGAAATTTAAAATATTCTAATAATTCATTCATTCAATTTAATAAAATTTATAAAAATTTAATAAAATTTAATATTAAAATTTAATAAAACCGTTAATTTTTTGAAGTATTCGCTGCCCGGATATAACGACCTCAATTGATGTACTTACAACAGGTCGATATCAAAAGTTTCCCAAAATAATTGAGGTATGCATTATATCAATATCAAATCTTTCCTTTCTAATTAATATAACTTATATGCTTAAATAATTTTTTATATATTATAGGAAACTCTAGCACCAAAGATAGTGTCCGATAAAGAAGTGAAGGAAGCATTAAAGAAAATAAATACAGATATTGAATTACGAATTTTAACCGAAGAAGTGCTCCCACCTGCCATGAAAAATTATCATGTGGCAGATGGGCGCATAACGTTCAAAGTCAATAAAGAATTTGAGGTATTTTTTTAATATTAATATTACATTTTCCCTATATATATATATATATATATATTTTAAAGTTTAATTTTACAATTATTACAATTATTAAAATTAAGAATTATTAAATTAATAATTTAGGTTGTTTTGACACCAAATGTCGCGGAAGAAAATGTTTATTGGTACATATTGGACCTCAAATTCTTAATTCAATCTGAACATGATAAACTCTCTAGTGGTATGTGGAATTAATTGATCTTAAAATATATTTGGATGATCATATTTAATAGTCATAGTAACGTCAAGCGTCAAACTTCTTTTGTCATTTGTATTTTATGTAATACAGATATTGATTTATTTTTACATGAATATCAAATCGAGCATATTAAATATACTGTGCAACAACTTCTTTATCGGCCTCAACCTAATCAATTACTCGTTCAGCAATCAGCAAATAATCAAATGCAAGGAAAGGAATCGATTTCTACGAAGATTCCTAAACATCTGCCTTTATTGAAATTGTACGATTATTTACATACATTATGTTTAGACACCCAACTTGAAATTCTATATTATCAGGTATTCAACTATATATTAAAATTAAGAATCAAAATAATTTTAATATAAATCTTAAGAATAATATAATTAATTTATGAAAATTCATTATATTAGGCCTATCGTCTACATAGAACACGTTGGGCAGATAATTTGGTTGTTAATATGGATCAAACACATACAACTCTAAAAGTTTTCTATTGGAGGTAAAGGAGTATATTTTTTTTTTTTTTTTTTAAATTTATTTTGAAATTTATTTTACATTCTTAAAAAAGCTAATAAATTTTTTTTTGATTTTTTATTTTAATTGATCTTTCGTTTTTTTTTTTATTTTTATTACAGTTTGATAAAACATGGTACGCGAAATTAATTCAGAAGTTCCTTTCTAAATATTATTTAACTATATCGCAACTATATGCAACTATATTACAACAGAACAAAGGCAACAATCCCGTCGAGTTCCACCATCTAAACCTCAGCAACCTATAAATGAAGATGTTCTCGAAATAACAATTACCGAGGATATACCGAAAAAGTCCTTGATACATTCTTCACGGAGTAAATTAATGAATTCAAATAGAGCAAATTGGTTATCTGATACTTCAAAAATCAAATTAGGTGTTCTTAATGATGGGAAAGGATTAAATTGCCCTCGTAAATTTTTACAAGCTCGTTGGAGTGGTTTAACAGCCAATAACTGGATAGTTTTAGATTGGGAATTTGTGAGTATTTATCAATTATATTAATTATATTTAAATTTAAGAAATATTTTATATTATATAGTCGTTTCGTTATTTCTTATATGGATTTCTTATTTGGATTTTCTTTATTTGGATTCTCTTTATTTGGATTCCTTTTACTTGGATTTCTTTATTTGGATTTAATCTTATATACCAATTCATCGATTTTTAGGATCCTACAAAATTAAATATTGAACACGTCTTGTTATCTATAACGCAACAACACGCTGATGCTGTAATACGTAATCTCAAAAAGTCACTTTCTGTAGGTTTTTCAGAAAAAGATGTAGAAATAATAGATGGGGATCAAGGTAAGTAGAGTGTCGAGATAATTTTTTTGGTTCTTTTATATTTTTGCTAAAAAAATGATTGAAAAATGGGTCTAAAAAATGGGTTAAAATGTTTTTATATATAAAGAATTTCCGGAAGATTTCTTAAATGACGAATCCCCAATATCCGATAAAATAGCAAAGAAATATTTGAAAATAATTAAATTGCGTGTATGGCTTACATTGACTAGATGGGTAGATATAAGTGTAGATATTCGAAGTGGTAGAATTGTTATAGAAGAAAATCAAAAATGTATAGATGAAGGTAATTTTAAATTTTATAGAAATATAATTTTTGTATATTTCTTATAATTAAAAATAAATCTTTTACAGATAGAATAAAAATGTGCGAAGAAAAACTTAGTTATGCATCCAACAGTACAACTGCTGCTGAAACCATTTATATGTTAAAACGGATAGCTATGATGGATCAAATCGAAAAGTCAGCTTCATTCTTAAAATTTGATATTCATCATGGAGTAATATTACGTAAAGATGATTACTCTCGACTGGGTACAACCCAATTATTATTCCTTCGATTCCCCCAATATAAAAATTACTTTATTATCTGTGGAATGATAGAACAAGGTTTACGTTATTGGTTGGTTCTCTTAAGGTATTTTATAGATAAAATGCAAATACAGATAATGTTTTGATAATATTTCGGTAATATTTTCGATAATATTTATATATATATATATATATATTATTTTTCTAGCCGAGAGCCCCCAATTGATAGACCTATTTTTGATAGATATGTGAGAGATCCTACCCATCGATTATTGTCCATTCAACTAGTTAATATCGAAGATTTACAGCTGTTAAATCATAATGTGTCTCAGATTAATCTAGAACATTTCGATTTAAATAATAAAATAAATCGTGAATTATCCGATAAAAATAAAATGAATAGGAAAGAAAGTGAAAACGTCGGACTTAAAGAACGTAGGAGGACTAGTAGTATTTCAGGAAAACGTAATTTTAATGAAGTTGATAACAATACAGGAGAAATGGATCTACCGCGGAAAAGAAAAGTCACACATTTAGTTGCAGGGTAAAAAAAAAAATTTTTTTTAATTGATAAAAGAATTTATAGAATTAATATAACTAAATAAATTTAATAAATTTAGATTTGAAGAAGAAGTTGTTTTATTAACTAAAATATCAACAGTTTGCCGGTATGTGTATACATATATAATAATATATATATTACCAATGAATTTAAATAAATTCATAGAGAATTCATGATTATAATTCTTTCTTTTATTATATTTGATTTTAACGTGTAGTGCTCGTATATCCTATCGTAAGGTCGAAGAACAACTTCGATCACGCAAATTATCGTTTTCTCCCGTTCAACCAAAAAGTTCTATGGAATTTCTTGATTCAAATACTCCAATATCATTGAATTCTTCTATTCCCGTGTGGAAGTTAAATAAGAAACAATTATTATCTAGACTTCCCATGGCAATAGATAAGACTATATACATTTTCGGTGAACTTTATCTTCGTTATGTTGGTACGCGTATGATAGACTCATCAGTATCTTCAGTAAGTAATTATTTCTAAATTATTATTATTATTTATTTATTTTTATTTTTTAAATTATAATAATATAATAATTTATTTTAATTTGATTATTCCTTAGATCTTAATTTCTACATGCCTTAAACTTAACAGTCTACCAACAATAAGTAATATTGTTTCAATAAGTAAGTTATGATTTAATTAAAAATTTATTATTTCACGATCGAAAGCTTTGATAAGGATATTAAAAGACGTGCTTTTTTCTTTTTTTTAAGATCATATCCATTATGATCCAGCCTCACAGGTGATTTCATTTAATTACAAGGTCGATGATTCAATTATCGAAAATTTCTTAAACGATTGGAATAATATTGTAATGATATGTCAAGCTGCTTCTCAAGGTTTGTTAATTATTTTATTTTCATTTTTTTTAATTCATTTTTATATTTTCTGAATAATTAATTAATCTTGAATTTTTATATTATATAAAAAGTGAACATTCAAAAATGGGAAGCAAACCCAATGGTTAAATTAGTTCCTTTTGATTTTGAGAAAATAAAAATATATTATTCAAAGGTAAAGTTGAATTATTAACTGGAGTGTATTGATGGAGCGTATTATTAATGGGGCAGGATTACTTATTATTTATTTTCTTATTACTCAGGATTTATTCGTCGAAATAAAATGGAAAATCGATAAATATGTTCTTCGTTTTGGTACCGATGCTTTGAAAGGACGCAATCCTCATCAAATAGTAAATTATTATCTGCAGGAAATGTTTTATGAGGATCATAATTTTGATGTTTTGATTTCGGTAAAAATTTCATTTCGTTTTTTTTTTCCCTATGTTAAGTGTTAAAGTATCAAAACTAATTCTTGATAAATTTTCTTTGTAATAGACGTTAATTTATACTGCACCATTGTTTTCGATAATAGATGAATTAGAACTAAACAATAAAACACTTGTGGGAGGATATTTTCTAAATGTAATACCTCGATCCTTCAAAAATATTCGATTAATTTATTCACCAAGGTATATACATATTTAATTATATCTGGATTTATTATTTCTAAATTTAATAATAATTAAAAAATTTATAAATTTCATTTTTTTATAGGATAACACCATTTTCAGAATCGGAAAAATCCCCAAGATATGGAATAGATGTTACTATTCGCGAAGACGATCATATAGATTTGACCGATGCTTCATCTCGTGTAACAAAATTACAATCAATTCCATTATGGGAAAAACTTTCTGATTCAATAGGGAATAATAATGATATAAAATCAATTCCCTTGATGCGTTACGTTTCATTAACTGTGGGATATATTATTCCCATTAATGAATGTCAAAATATTTTCAAATGGTTAGACAACCATATTCGAAATAATGTATAATTATAATTAATGGGAAAGTATCAAAAAATTTCTTTTTTTTTTTTTATAATGTTTTTCAAAGAATGTAAATATTCTTTTCCATTTGTATATATAATAATTTTAAACCCCCCAAAAAATTTAAAATAAAATTAAAAACAAATACTAATTATTAAATGTTTAGTGAGAGATAAAAATAATTCTTGGCTTTTTTTTTTATTTATAAATAAATAAAAATACTTCCGAATATTCAAATTTGAAAAAAAAAAATTATTATTTCTAATTAAGTATAAATTTATAAATTCCTGAATAACAAATCGTTCTTGACGTAATTCTCACGAACCATTGATATAATCCTTCAATTGTATTAATTATATTAATTATACAATTCTTTTTCCTTTGTATAATAATTCTATGAAACTAATGGACCTTTTCCATTTTGTTTACCGCTTGACATGAATTCAAGTACATCTTCCAATGATAATTTTTGTTGAGTTCCAATGTCTTCATCTTTTGGTTTAGTATTTTCCTCTTCAACCTCCAACCTTCTTTTAACATCCATTTTTCCAATTATGTCCTCACAAATTAGTGATGCTGTTTTGGCAACTTCTCTATGTTCTTTATATCTTATTTCCCATTCTTTCTGTAATTTGACCCATTTGGCTTCATCATTCATATCTTCCTTTGCATCTTTTTCAATTCCATCTAACCCTTCCTCAATAGCAACCTCGAGTTTGATTTGCTTTTCTTTATTTGCAATTTCTGGAATAGGTTTTGTTCTCAATAATGTAGAAAATTTTTCTTCTTGTTCAACTGGTGGAATTTCTCTTGGATGAAGTATAACCTTTTTAAAGTTTGATTCAATAAACGTGTTTGAAAGACCAGTATGCTTTGAGAGAAAAATGTTGTATCTATTAAGATAATCCACCCTTATTTATTAAAAAGATAATTACATACATATATATATATATATAATATTTATTTAAAGTAAGAAATCAAAAAAAATCCTTTTGATAATTAAATATCAAATTGAAAATTATGGAAATTTTACCAACTAACTTGCGTTAGATCGTTGATTTTAAGAAATTCTGTTTGAGATTCATCAACTTGCATCATTCTTGATCTAACAGTTTCGATCTGATCATAGTTAAACATCGTATTTGGAGCACTTGAAGGATAGTTTACTCTAGGTGTTTGTGCCATTTTTTTTAAAAATCGATATGAAATGAAACGAATGAAGCACTTATATAGAAAATGGACAAGGTCATGTGATATTAATTTTATTTAAGTAGTTAGGTGCCAGTTATATAGAATGGGTGTTGCTGATAAAATTACGCGATTAAATAAAAGTTTATTTGACAAAAATCAATTTGTTGCAATAAAAATCTAAAAATCTGTAACTTAGCTATAAATAAAAATATCTGATAAAAATTTAAAATTCTTGAAAATGTTACAGGTTTTATTACATAATTAAAAATTTGTTAAATAAATACAAAAATTAAAATTTTAAAGAAAAATTAGAAAAAACAATTAAAGGTTTGAAGCAGTAATAACCATTTTTTTTTTTTTTTAATTTTGTATAAATAAAAATAAAAATAAAAATTAAACAAATAATTGTAATTTAACCATCCTTTGGTAAATTACACATTTCACAATTTACTAATGAACGTGCATTTGTAAAAGTACAATGTCTACAGCTCCATTCAGTTCTTGACGATGTACTACTGCCAACACCTCCATCAGATAATGAACTTCCATTTGGTAAATGATCTAATATAATAAATTATTTAAAATTAATATTAAAGAATTTGTTACTAAAATAATTAAAATAATTAAATATATAATTAATCTAACTTACTGCTTTCTTTCATAATAGCCACCAGGGTTTGCCACCCTGTGCTTTGTGCAAGTTGAATAGCATCTTTTTCTTCATGTGATAGAGCAAGCCTTACAAGTGCTAAAAAATCATTCTGAAATAAAAATAAAATAAATTAAATTATGTTCATAATTATAAAATTTAATGATAAGATTTAGATTTAATAAATCAAATATAAATAAAGGAATAAATTAAAATACCTCATCTAATACACCACTCCCTTTTATAAAAGTTAATAAATGAAAATCCGATACTTTATTAACATGAATATCTCCACCTTCGAGTCCAAGATGATTATACAAACTCTTTAGATCTTGTTTTTCTACTTTATCGCGATTTTCAATAGGGAAATTTGTAGGTGAGGTGAATAGTGGGTTCGGAACAGTTGGGAAACCGTGTGTCAGCTGAAAAAGATAATTTATTTTATTGTGAATTTATTATGCGAATTAAATAATAAAATAAAAAGAAATTTTTAGAAACACGTACATTAACCAATAAATATTCTACAGGAAAACAAGGCTTTGCGCTTTCCTGTACATTAACTCCATACTCATTCTTATATTTATAAAACACTTCAGGGACATATCGTTCCGATGTGCTCTCTTTAACTCGCATCACACCAGGGTCTACACTTGGTTCGATTATGTCTGCTGATACCATAGCTGAACAAGTGTTCGAAACTTGATATGCCGAAACATCGATATCTCCATTCTCATTACCAGTTACTACACAAGTAACGAATCTACTATCAAATACTCCTGAAGCACTCCATTTAGAATGTGCTTTATGTTTGAGTTGCATAGCTGCGGAGAAACAACACTCTTGAGATGAGAGAAAATATGAATTAATATGTCTCTTACATATTACTTTTCCTAAACCTGATCCGTCATCAATTAAATCAGTATAAATCATTCCGACCTGATAAATAATAATAATAATAATAATAATAATAATAATAATAAAATCATATAAAAGAAACAATTTAGTAAAAGAGAATCAGAATTAAGATTCAAGGTTAAAAGACAGAACATTAGATTATGTTATCTAACCTTAACTAATCCACAATTAGCAGCAACTTCATCAACCAATTGTTCATGATCCCATGGAAGATTAAGTGATAACCCATCAACTTCATCCTCCTGTGGAGGTTCATAAATAGCTTCAACTACGGCCTTTACACCCAATGGAACATCAGGGTAAGACTCATAACGTCCATATAAATAACCGAAACGTTGAGTTGCAGTTGATCGCCAATAATTAATGAATTCATTAATTAAACTAGATACTGAAAACTCTATGTGATCCACCATACGATATTGCTTTTATAAAAAAAATTTCAGGTAAATTATGATTAAAAGTGTATGTGTGTTGTATATAATAAATCCATACCTGAGGTTGTAAAGTCACTGCGCTTGGTTGACATTTTGTACAAATACCTAATGGCCATGGTGCATGACCACCTTTACAATTTCCTTTTACATGAAAATTGGGTTCTTCTAATGGAGGAATAAATTTAACGTTTTGCTTATTTTGTTTATTAATTTTACGTAAATAAGCATGAAAAGACATGTGTTTTATCCTATTTTCCGTCAAGTAATTAGGATCATAAGGCTAATTATATTTTGATTGAAAAAGTAAAAAGGATTTAATTAATTAATTTAAAATATGAAAAAATATGAATTACACGAATTGAAATAAAAAATTCTTACCTCTAAAGGCATACAATAATCACACATCCCTTTAGACGCGTGTTTACAACTAAAAATTTAATTAGAAGTTTTAATTTATATTACGTTGTGCAATTGACGCGGTAACATATTAAAAACGCGACTTTTAACATACAATTTCGGATCTCTTTGACGTTTTATTAAACCATCTTGTTTCTCCAGTAAATCATCAACCGAATCTTGTTTGACTGGTGTAGTAGATTTAGTCGTCTCTTTCACTTGTTTTGCATCTACTACTTCCTCGAAAGTGACATATATAAGATCTCCATGACTTGAATAAAAATAAAAATAGTCTTGTTTGAGTTTTAATTGTTTAAAGAGAACATAGAAGATAATTGTATGGCTTTTTCACCTGATTCCAAGTTTATTAAGGGATTCTCCTGAAAGTTCGCTTATGAATTTACCAGCTGATTTTGGCGTATCTGATATTCTAATGGAAGATGGATCAGTTCTTAAATGGCTTGCAATCTAAAAATCAGGGACGAAACATTAACATAATAATTGGTAAAATAATTAGATATAAAAATTTAATTTTATTCGCGAACCTTATTTCCAAGTACAGAAATATCGTCAATCGGATCTGACTCAATACGAAAAGTACCTTCCTTTGTACGAACGCGAACCAACTGTAATAGTATATACAACTTAAGTGAAAAAGGTATAATTCAGTTTGAAATTAATTTATAAAAAGAAAAAATATTCTTTACCATTATGACGATCTGTTTAATGATAAAAAAAAAAAAGAATATTTGAACTTTTTCGGTTTCAAATTTCAAGGATAACGTAATAACGTATATAAGCAAAAATTTTTATATATGAGGTAATTAAAATAAAAATTTCGTGTAACCGTAATTTTTTAATGGTCAATCATCGAAGCGCATGGAATTTTACGTTCATATTAGATCAATATCAAATGAAGTAGAAATATTAACTCTAGAAGAGTTTGGATAACTGAAAAATTAAATATGATGCAACTAAAATAAAATTCATAATCTTATTTAAAATACGTTGATAAATTTTCGGAAAACATTATAATAATGTTTTCCATTGTAGACTGCACAAAAGTTCCGATATTCCCTTAATTAATTTCATCGAAGTAGAATTTGTAAAGCTAAAAAGCTAATGATATTTAATAAGGTAAGTATATAAATGATTAAAGATATGAATGAATTTCAATTTTTCTTGTATATAAAAGTCGATTTTGTAATTTTTGCGCAGCTATTGTACAAATATAATATTAGTAATGTTTACTTTGAAGTTTATTATTAATTCCATTATCTTTGTAATATTAAAAATTGATAAAAAAAAATAGCGAAATCATATGTGAGAGAAAGGAACAATTTTATTTATTCTTATTTTAAATATATTTCTCGTTATTTACATATCTTAAATCTTAAAAATCTTAAAAAATCTTAAAAAATCTTGAAAAATCTTAATAATGAGTCTTGCTTCTTAAAAATATTGCACATACAAGTGTTATAGCATACAAATTTTGAAACGTAATTGCGCAAAGAAGTATCAAAACGAGATGAATTAAAAAAAAAAATGAAAATGAAAAATTTTATGACGATCAATTTTTCATGTTTTTAGTACAAGTCGAAATTTGATGAGTCGTTATGTGGGACGGCAATATATTGCCAAATATTGGATTCTAGTGGTAATGATTCAAGTAATCCTTCAAAAGGGAATTGTGAAGGAACGATATTTTGTGTGAAATTACAATCATAATTCCAACTTTCTCCTTGTATTATCGGAAACTCGGGAAAAAAATACGAAGGTGACGTTGGAAAATTTGTGAAATGTGTTTCACTATCATTAAATCCTAGATCAAAAATTTTATTTAGAGATGGTGATTCTTCGATACTATTATCAAAGTATAATTGAGTTGATTCTTGATCAAAGGGTTTATTAAAATTATTAAAATTAATTGGTGTCGAAGAATATGACGAAAATGAAGGTGATTTTTGGAGTTCAGTGACTGGAGGAGTAATTGATGTCGAAGAACATGACGAAAATGAAGGTGATTTTTGGAGTTCAGTGACTGGAATGGTTGGAGTGGTTGGCAAGGAAGAACTTTTTATAGACGTTGATGTTGACGGTTTTTTAAATGATATGATGTTCCATTTCTCTCGTTTTCTACGACGTCCTGATTTTGGGCTTAATTCATTACGTAAATCGAATGCTTCTTTGGCAAGTCTTTTATATTCTTCCTGTATTAATTATTTAAAAATAATACAGTTAAACTTGGGTATAAACTTGGATAGATATAAATTTTGATATGATTCCTAAAAAATTACCTTGACAAGCTCGGGTTCTTTTTTCCAAGCCTGTGATGCCATTGATGACACAATTGGCATTGGTAAGTAATATCCTTTTTCACGTGCAGCCCCAATAAATACTTTACGATATATGATGAATGCATTTGGAGCTTTAGCCGGAATTTTACCATCCGGTTGTTTGACGATTAAGGTTTTAAGGTCAATGGAAGGTGGATAAGGAGGTATAATTAATGGAATGGGTCCGGCGTTTAGAAGTTGATTTGGCATGGAGGGATTACTTGAATCTATAAAAATACAATTGTGGGAATTTTTCTGGCCTTTGCCGTTTTCATTTTTGGCAAAGTTCATTCTTAATCGTACTTTTGATCAAATTTTTCTTGATCTTAAACAACAAACAAAGTAAAAAGAAAATTGCGAAGTATTTATTTCTTTATGTTCTCGAAAAATTGTTTTCCTGGATACGATATCAAAAGTGGGCTTTTTCCTAATATGGTAAGAGATATTACATTAATACGTGGCTTGGCTAATTTGAATCATCTTCTGTGTTTAGTAAGATCGTTTGCATAAAATTATTTCTTAGCAAAAATAGGAAGTAACTTTACATTACATATACTCTTAACGTGTATGGAATTTCATAATAAATAGTAGATATTACTATATTAATAAAAAAAATTTCCGATATTTAAAGATTTTATTCTGATGCTTTTGATATTTTTATTGTTTTACCTTATTATGCTTTTGAAAAGTCAATAATTCCTTTATTATTAAAAACCTGACATGTTAAATGTTAAATACAAACTTTACTTTTCCAATAATACTTGAATAATTATGAATATTCACAATATTTCACAAATTAAATTAATATAATGATGAAGTGGAAATAATTTTATGTAAAAGAAAACAAAATTCATGATATTCTGCCCACTTGTCAAGTTTTTTGTTAAAAAAATTCCTTATATTCATATTCTTCTATTTTTTTTTTTTTTCAAAAAAATATATATATACAAAAAAAAAAGGTCACCTATTACCAATCAAAATTCTAAACCTCTCGTCGTTTTATTATTATTTATTTCCACAAGTATATCGCCGCACTTCTGGATGAACGTGCATTCCTAAAAAAATCACAAATCTGTTGTTCTTTTACAAACCGCTAATGAAAACATTGCTATTACTGAAGCTTCCAATGTCGATAAATTAGAATTGGAAAAATTTCATGCTAATGAAGCTTGCTTCAACAATTTTGGTAAATGTAAAGAAAATGAAAACAAACATGTTATCATTGTTGGACATAACCTGTAGTCTTTTTACAAGACGCTAATAAAATATTGTAACTACTGAAGCTTCCGAAAAACTTCATACCAATGAGGCTGCTGCTTCATTTGATGATGAAACCGCTTCGACCTTATTAATCAACTGAAAAAAAAAAAATCGAAAATTTTTTAAAAATAGATTATATATGTAAATGTATTAATATTTTTTTCTGATATAATGATAAATTGTAATCAAAAAAATGATCATGTTTAACGTGATTAGTTTATTCCTATGCAAAACAAAAAATTACATGCAACATATAAGAATAATTTAGAAATTAGAAATGATAAAGACAAATAGGTAACTTAATAAAATACAAAATACGTGTTGAAGCACGTGATGAACTTATACATATGTTTGCGTTAATTTTAGGGAACCAATTGTATAACCCACGTTATACAAGCCAAGCATTGTTTATTAACGTTAATAATATATACAATACTTAATTCATTTGAGATAAATAAAAGATATTTATAAAGAGAAAAGAAAAGAAAAAAAGATTTTCCTAAGATAATAATGCTTGATAATTAAATTTGTCTACAAATCTTCCATTTGAACTTCATTATCCACAAAAGTATACTCGGAATCATTTTGCTCTGAAAGCAAAATTTCAACTACTTTTTCTACATTTCCATAATATTTTTTCAATAATTCTTCATTTTCCTTATCATTTCGGAATCCCATCGAACGTAATGATGTTAATTTTTCATTGATTTCCTCTTCAGTCATAAAAAAGTCACCACGAATCCATGGAGGGCTCCATTTACGAGCATTCTGTGCTATGGATTGACCACTTTGAACTGCATTCTGTGCTATGGATTGGCCACTTTGAACTGCATTCTGTGCAAAGCGTTGAATTTCATCAAAAATATTTATATTTTCTTCATCCGAGATATTTGCTTTCACATCACGGAAATTTCGTTGTATATCTGCAATTTGATCTTTAAACCATTGAGTCCACATCTCAAGATCTACAGGAATATTATGTAAAATTTGATCCATAACATTATTAGCTTGTTCTATAAGTCGTGGATGTTGTTCAATTAACGGACGAAATTGGTCAATTAGTTTTTGGAATTGTGCTGCTAAATCAATGAATGGTGGTTTGCTTGTTTGTTCCTCTTGGTGATTTTGTTCATCATAAGGAGATTGATTAGAAGAATGTTGTTCTTCAAAACTGTATTCCGCCTTTTGTTTTCCCTTATTACTTGGGGATACTACTTCATTAGTCTCATTAATCTCATTGGTCTCATTGGTCTCAAAACTTGAGAAATATTGAGAAAGTTGATCTATTTCCTCTACTTCCAGGTTACTGATATCATTGTCTTTATTGCCTTTATTGATATCATTGGATTTATTGTATTTATCGTCTTTACTGAAATTATTGTCTTTACTGATATTATTTTCAATATCTTTATCAATACTACTTTCAATAATACTACTTTCAATACCTTTACCAATACTACTTTCAATACCTTTATCGATATTACTTTCAATACCTTTATCGATATTACTTTCAATATCTTTGTTTTCTATCTCATAAGGAACTATAGTAAATTTCAAGGTTGAAGAGTGAGGTTGAGATAAAATTTCTTGAAGTTCTAAATCAGAACGTAAGGTAATAATATCACTATCTTCATCCGTGTAAGTTAGAGCAAAAGAGAATGTCGGAGGAAAGGAGTATAAAGTTCGAATAGAAGTTTCAAGTTCTGACCATTTGGCATTCTTGGCAATAGCAAAGCGACGATTCGTTTTTTGGTAAGATACTTTGATACTTATATTCTTTTCCATTTTATTTTTAATGAAATTCTTTTATTATTATTAGTGAAAATTAAAAATTAAAAATTCGAATTGGTGTAAAAAACGTGCGAAATTGACGCCTTTTTATATATAAATTTTTTATGCAATGTGGCTTACGAATATCGAGTGACTAATATATCTTACGTATGGCTACATTGCGTTTTATTTTATATCAAGTTTAGTACACAAATCATACGTAATGGTTCACGTGAGAAATGATGTAATCTCATTTATGCATTCGAGGGTATTCGAGAATTTTTAACAATTAACTAAATATAAGATTGTCTAATTAATAACTAAGATTATTATAATTCGATTTAGTTAAATTATATATAATATATTTGAATAATATTGATTCTAGGTAAAATATTTTTCTTAAAGACAAAAGTATTTTATGAGGGTACATCTTCAAGTAAATCGAATAATTTGTCCTACATACAGATACAAAAAAAAAAGAAAATCAATAAATAAAAAAAAAAAAAGAATTATCAATTAAATTAAATGACCATCGATTCGTTAATTCGGATTTTACCTTGCATAGAATTTGAATATCGCCATAAGATTGTTTTTGCTGCACGTGAATAACATCCTTGGTATTTAGAACTAACAACTCGAAAAATAACTTGACGGCATCTTGTCGTTTAGCCTAAATTTTTTTTTTAAAAAGAAAGTCTTAAATAAATAAATAAATAATAATAATAATAATATCAAAGAAGACAAACCCAAATAACCGAATTATGAAATAACTTACCGTGCCAACAACTTGATCATAGCTCACAACACGTGCTTTTGGGGTGTCAGATTCACTTATTTCCTCGTGACATTTACTTCTCAGAAGCTTCATTGCTTTGATCGTGTTTTTACTGAATGTTGTTTCTGTATTTTGCTGTTGATCCTCTTGTTCTTGATCAAAAATGGTTATTCCTCGAGGAGATGGGGAATCTTTTTAAAAGTGTATAAGAATCATATAATAAATTAGATAAAGAATATATAGAGCAAAAAAGGTTAAATATTTTTTTTAATCAACGTTTACCTTCGTAATCAACTGGAGTAATCACTTCAGCATCGCCACTTTCGTGATGTGACATCTGTAAATATAATTAGATAACAGTATTAGATGTCAATATTAAATGTCAACATTTAAAGATAATAATATAATAAAAATGAATTTCTATTTACCGTGTCAAAATTATTATCAAAATTATTATTGTCAAAATTATTGTCAAGATTATTATCAATATCAATATCATATTCTGATGTCCGTTCTTCCGGAGTAGTTTGTATAATTTGTTCTTGTTCATGAATAGAAATATCATCCTGAACAACCTTTTCACCACCTTTTTCTTTATCAATATCAGTGTTTTTGGGACTTTGTCCTTTGTCAGCTTTCTCTGAAATATTTTCTTGATTAACTTCCTCATTTCTTTCAATATTTTGTGTTGAATCTGCTTTATCAGCGATGAAATTATCATTCGTTTCTATAATATCTAAACCATTCTATAAAATATATTATAATCATTAATATCATAAGTAAATTATAAAAATTAAATAAATAAATTACAGAATTGTTATTTACCAAATTGTCATCATTCTCAATTTCAAAATGATTCTCTAAATGAACGCTTCTTGATGGACCAGCTTCATTTCTTTCTTGCTCATGTTCTTCTGGAGGAGGGGTAAATCGTTGTCGTTTTCGAGCAAATAAATGTTGAAATTCGGGAAGAATATTATGAGGAACTTCTAAATCAAGATAATAGGAAGCACCCATTTTACGAATTTCTCCTATTCGTAGTAATTTACGTGATGATGGAAGATAAGTAGGCTTAAAAAAATAATAATATAATTATTTAAATATGTAATTATTAAACGAGTGAATATCATAAAATGATTATAAAATATTTGATTAAGTCTTTACCTCCATCGTAATATCTGATGTATCCTTGATTTGATTTGCGATATGTTTATTCGGTAATTCTGTTAATTCATCTAACATTAATTTACGTTTTCTTCGAGTTTGCGTTATTGGTTGATCAATTTCCTGATTTCGAAATAAGTCCTCTAAATAACAAATCAATATTAAATTATGTTAAAATGTTGAACATTTCTTTTAATTATTTATTTTAATAATAAAATTTCAATTTACCATGATGTTCGGGGCTTAGTGGAGACATAGGAGTTAATCTTTGAGTATCTGGTAACATTTCTTCCTGTACTCTACATTATATTAAATTTTTAAGTTTAAATCTATAATTTTTTTTAATTCCTTTACGAAGATCACGAACAAAGTTGACCTACCTAGTTTCATTAAGAATTAATTCAGTTGGATCAACATCCATATCAATATTAATACCTGGATCTAAATTTCCAGGGCTGAGACCCGATTCAATCTCAATCCTTCTTTCTTGATTTTCTTCTACTACTTCTGTCACTTGAATATCATCATTATGATCAAACATTGGTATATCATTATCTAATGGTTCTATATCATTATTATTGTTATTATTCACCAATTGTTCATCATCTAATGTTTCCTCAAGAAGATCGAGATCAGGTCCTCCATCATCTAACATCATTAATGGGTCATCCTCCATGTGATTTTTATTACCACCGATAATATCGTCCATTGTAAATGAAATATCGTGTTGTGCATCCCTCCCCATTTCGATGTCAAGTGATCCTTCATCCCCCGCGTGACTATCAGATTTACCATCGAGACCTGTTATTTTGGGATCCAGATCATCTTCCAAATCTAATTCAAGACCTCTTCCATCTTCTGTATCAAAAGCATCTCCGAGCAAATCTTCCCCAATATTTAAATTTAATGAATTATCAAAATTGTCTCTGATGGTTATGTCTTGTGGTCGAGAAATATTAGAACTTGTTGTATTAACTGGGACTACGTCATCCCACTGTCTAATTTATATATTAAGGTTAAGTTTTGTCAATATTAAAAATAAACATATATATAAATAATAAATACTTTTGACTAGAATCAGGTAACAAAATATCAAATTCCGTAATGTTATCGGGTAATGTGATAGATTCAAAATTTGCGATTCGTTGATCTTCGGGTATATCAACTTCACCTTGTCTAAATGCCTTCATACAAAAAAAAATAATAATAATATTTAACACGCGATTATCTTAGATAAAAAAAAAAAAGTTTATTTTTTTTTTTTTTGATATATATATTCAGATAATCTATCTCTTACTAATTTAATTTTGTTAAGAGCCTCGGTACAATCTTCTAACAAATATTTCGCCTTTCGCGAATATATGCGAACAACTCCCAGTAATAATTGACCTGATAATCTTAAAGCCATTGGTTGTTGATCTTGTTTAAGGATTGCCCCTTTAAAAATAAAATTTAAAGATTTTATTATTTATGCATATATATCTCTCTCTCCTTTTTTTTTTAAAAAAAAAAAAAGACTTGAGTGAATATAAAAATTATTAAAACTGGAATAATATATACATACCTACAGAGGACTGAATATTTGTTTGCAAAAATTGAGTTTTACTTAATTTTCTTTCCCAGTGTGCTGCTAACCACACTCTAGCAAGTGGGCCCTTTTTTATTATTTTATACAAGTTAATGAAGAAAAAAAAAATAGGAATTAGAATATAAGAACAAATTAAAGTTGAATACCTTTTTCGACAAAATAGCTTCAGAGTAAAACATTTTGTCAGGTCCTTAGATATAGGTGAGTTTTAATGGCAGTTGTTATATTAAAGAAATCGCGAAATTAAATATAAATATATTTCACGCTTTTTTACAGCGAGTTCGTAAATCGGAACACAATTATTCACAACAACAAATACTCCGCATTTTTAGCATTTTAGGCCAAAATTCATAATTTGTGTACTTGATCGACTTGTCGCATATAAATGAATAGTCACGTGATGTACGGCCCCCGAATTACGTTAAATAGCAGAATTTTTTTTTTCTTCACATTTTTCTTTTTTTTCAAAGTTTTATTGTTAAATAAACAAGCTGAAAGAAGAATTTATGAAAAGGGATATTACATTTATTTCAACAAAATAATTCTTAAGTTATAAAATTTTCTTTTGTCAGCAATGAGAGAAAGGGAATTTTTATTAGAATGCTGTAACTTCCAGTACCCACATCTTTTTTCACCTTTCTCACCTTTCTCGTGTTAAAAAAAAGTTGAATTAGATTAAATGTAACGGCTAAATTTATTTATTATATTAAAAATACTAATAAATTTTATTTGAGCAAATAGTGTTTTATTATGAAATTATAAATAAAAGCAGAGATATTTTTAATTTATAAATAATGATAATGTTGTATATATATTAATATGTATATATATATATTATTTCCCTCTCTTTTTTTTTTATTGACTGTCCATATTTTCATAAGACATATAACCACCTTTTCTTCTAAGTTTATATCTCGTATAAGATTCCAATTTTTCTTGTTCTACGGCTCTTAAATTATTAATTTCATTTAAGATAGCACTATCTAAATCACGAGGAGACATCTTTTTAGATTTCATCATTCTTTCAACATCCTTTTCAAATTTCCTTTGACCATTCAATCTTTTTAACCATTTCTTAAATTCACGTTTAAATCTTAAGGGGGTTTGACCTTGTTCTATGAAGGTGGTGGGAACTCTTAAGGAAGGGTCAAGTTCCATTTGAGCCAATCTTTTTATTAACATATCATATTTTAAATCACCGGGAGCATCCACAAATTCTAAAATTGCCATAGCGGCATTATCCCATACTCGATAACCTAATTTATGAATACGAGTGTAACCACCTTCACGATCTTTATATCTTTCTGCCATTTCACCAAAAAGTTTGGGAACTGTTAAATGATGTTCCTAAGAAAAGGTTTTATAATCAACATAATATTCCACAATTTCATCACATACATACATATATATATGTAATATGTGATCATGATTTCCCGATCTCAAATTATATTACTGACTAATTATTAAACTCTATTTAAACTCTAATTGAATTTGATTAAAAAAATACTTGTTAATAAAAATAAAATAAAAAATGATATAATACAAACCCGAAGAAATTTACAAGCTAACACTTTTGCAAAAGGGTCTTTTCTCTTTCCAAATGTTACCATCTATTATAATAATAATAATAATAATAAATATAATAATATATATAATATATAATAATTTATAATAATTTATAATAATTTATAATATTTATAATATATAATAATAACATATAATAACCTTTTCAGCTAGTTTCCTTGCTTGTCTCGCTTTAGGCAAAGTAGTTTTGATTCGATCATATTTAATTAAAGAGCTAACCATGTTTCTCAACATGGCCACACGATGGCCACTCTTGCGGCTAAGTTTATACCGAGATGCTCGCATTTTGTTAAGTAAGTAAAAAAAAAACTCAAAGTTAACTAATCACCTTCTCTCTCTATATATACATATGTATGCTATGTTAACTGATGGCAACATATTATTGGCTATTTGACATTGATAATCAATTCATATATATATATATATATCGGTATAAAATTTAATATTAAACAACGAAAAAATGGCAGAAACCTCCTTCGAAAAAAAAATAAACGAAACATATAATCGAGCTCTTAAGGATGGAGGATTACTTTATTTTGAAAATACAGTAATTGATAAAGTAGAAAATGATATAGAGGTACTTTAAGTAAATAAATTATTCTCACTCAAAGAGAGTTTTACTCAAAAGTTTACAGTTTCAAATTCGACTTGCACCAAGTTTAGCCAAAAAACCTACGGATAATATAGGTAAAAGGGAAATAATAGCCTACCCCAATAATGCCAATAACAATGATAAACCCAAAGTTGTACCCAAAGTTGATCCATTTGCACCATATGATCAACAATTGTTCGTAGAAGAATATGAAAAATATATTATTCTTTTGAATAAATATTGTATAATTCCAAAACATCTCTTGGTAGTTACGAAAGGTAAATTTAAATAATTATAATAATAATTATAATAATAATAATAATAATAATAATAATTTGATTAATTGATTATTTTAATTGATTTGTTATAGAATATGAGAGCCAAGCGAATCCACTTAATCCCAATGATTTCGATGCATTGTGGCATTGCATGAAGCAAATCAAGAGCCAAAAATCTCTTGCATTTTATAATTGTGGCGAACTTTCGGGTGCAAGGTATTATTTATTATTATAATAATACTGTGTTTATTGGCATTTATTATTATTATTATTATCAACATTTAATAATTTATATAATCTATCTATCATCATCATCATCATCACTATTCTTTTATCCATCAAGTCAATCACATAAACATATGCAAATTCTTACATTATCTGATGATCCACCTATGAATTCACCTATTTATACTATTCACGATAAGAAACCAGGTGAAATTTTCGAATTAGCCGAGTTACCTTTTATTCATTATGTGTCATTTATTGATCCACCGAAATTGTGTGATAATGAATCGAGTGATAATAAATCGAGTGATGATGATGGACCGAGTCAATATTTGAATAAAATATTTCATTCAATGCTTTCTGTTTTGATTGAAAATTTACATAATCAAATATTATCTTCAGAAGAAGGAGAGAATGAGGAAGAAGGAAAATCAAGTTTTAAAACTTTATCTTATAATTTTATCATGACACAAAAATGGATGATGATTGTACCAAGATGTAATTCAACTCATGAACAACAAATAGATATCAATTCATTAGGATTTGCAGGAATGTTACTCGCGAAAAGTGAAGAAGAATTAGAATATATAACGAGAGTTGGAATTATGAAAATTTTAAAAGAAGTTGCAATACCCAAGAAAAATTTATAAAACTTTATTAAATATAATTCTATGTAATAATTTATTTAATTTAATTTAATCCATTTTTAATTCATTTGATTTATTTTTAATTAATTAATAAATTATTTACATAAATAACTTTTTATTTAATAATACATAATAATAATAATATTATTATTATTATAAATTAACAAAATATTTAATAATGTTATTTAATAGAAGCATTAATAATATTAGCAACTTTACAAAAATCAGAAATGGTTCTTAAAAGGTGAACATTTTTAGTATCAGGATTTGTCCATGATGCAATTTTCTCCTGAGTAGTTATTAATCCAGGTTGTAAAGTTTCCCAAATTTTTTTCTTGGGATTTAAAACTTGATCTGGTGTACCTTCTATTATATTATATTTTTATATTAGATTATATTATTTATATTATATTTTTATATTAAATTTATATTATATTTTTATATTAGATTTATATTATATTTGTATTGTATTTGTATTGTATTTGTATTATGATATAAATTAGTAATTTATAATGAGATAAATAAAATATAAATAAATTAATATAATAATAGTAATAATAGTTTACCTTGATATCCTTCAAAATATACTTTTTCACCAGGTTTAGAACCTACAGGGGGTTCAACTAATTCCACTTTGCCTTCAGATGAAGTAGCTGCTAAAACCATTGCAAATGATTTAATTCCTCGCATTCTATTATTCAATATTTTATAATATTAATATTAATATTTATAATATATTTATAATATAATTATAATAATATAAATAAGAATAATAATAATCATAATCATAACCATAATCATGATCATAATGATAATAATAATAATAATAATAATAATAATAATAATACTTACGCCGCTGGTTTCAAGTTACACACCAAAACTACATCTCTATCCTATTTTTGATTTCAATGAATGAATGATGAATGAATAAATAAATAAATAAATAAATAAATAAATAAATATTTAAAATAATAAATATATGAATATAAATGAATAAAATAATAAATATATGAATGAATAAATAAATATTTAAAATAATAAATATAAAGTAATCATTAATATAAATACCTGCATCTCATCTAATGGAATATGTTTAACCAATCCACTAACAACAGTTCTAGGATTCTCTTCACCAACATCAATTTGTTCAACATATAATGAATCCGCATTTGGATGTTTTTCTACTTTAATAATATGTCCAACTCGTAAATCAAGTAAACTTGGTATGATGGGAACTGTTACACCACTACTTGAATCTTTCTTGGAATCTTTCTTGACTTCTTTTTTAGATTCTTTTTTGGATCCTTTTTTATCTGTCTTGTTGACTTCTTTCTTGGATTCTTTTTGATCCGATTTTTGTTCGTTAGATTGAGATGATTGAGATTCAATTATTTTGGAAACCTGAAATAATTATGATATAATATATAATATAATATAAATATATGGTATAAGATAATATAAATATATAATATAAGATAAAATAAATATATATAATATAAGATAAAATAAATATATAATTATATGTAATATAAAGATTATATAAAATTACTTAATTAATTATTATAAATAGAATATAGGATAAATCTAGAATATAAAATATAATATAAAATATGGAATAAACCTTGGGAGCTTCCAAATTAATTTCTACAAGATTTAAACCACATCGTGGAGCCAATTCTTTAACTGCAGTATTTTGAATAAAATTAAACCATCTTGTCAAATTAGGAATACCAAAACGTTGTTGATCAGATAATTTAACCTAAATAAATTATTTAGATATTTAAATATAATAATTAAAATTATTATTATTAAATTATAAATTATTATTAAATTATAAATTATTATTAATGTTAAGTGAGATAAATAAAGTGAGATAAATAGTGAGATAATAAAGTGAGATATTTACAAAATAATCATAAATCCTTGTAAATGTAACCAAATCAACTATTGTTAAATAATTTTCTACAATATAAGTTCTGTTAGCTAAATGTTCATCTAAATCCTAAAAGAAAATAAATATGTAAGTATTGAATGAATAATAAATGTTAAATAATGTAAATATTTGATTAAATCATTTACCTTTGCAACTTTAGAAACTTTAGATGAATCCTGTTCAATTACTTGTGTAGTATTTAACCACTTTTTAATCTTTATAAAAATATAAAAATATATTTATATATAATTATTTATATTTTTTATTTTATAATTATTTTGAAACTTACTTCTCCTTCAATAATATTGGGATCCTTCTTATCATCAATTACTGTATCACCAATTACTTTATTACTACTAATACCGAAATTTTCTGATAAATAAGTAATCACGGAATTTGATCCTGAGATATTTTTCCCATCTGGTAATGTTAAACAAGAATTCTAGAATATCAATATAAAGTTATCATTATTATTTTATTATATATCTATAGTTTATTATATTATCATTATTATTATTTATTTATTTATTTATTATTTATTTATTTATGACATATGATACAGATGAATGATAATTATAATTATTATATACATATATATATTATATTCTTGTTACCTCACTATTAGATTCCTGAATATTAACATTACTAAAAGAAGAAGGGGAAGAAGGGGAGGAAACTAAAAACTGGTAAACAAGTTTGGTACTATGGTCGTTATTGGCAATAGAAAGTGTTGTTTGGGTGGTCATGGTTGTTAAATATTTGCGATACAACAATAGGTTATAAGTGTTGTAAGTGTTGAAAGTGTTGAAGGGGAGGAGGGTGTGGCGAGGAGAAATTGGAGTTGACAGATTAGATTTTTTTAATCGATTTAAAATATTGCTTCTCACGTGAATGCACTGTACAACACGTCTTGGTGAATTTAAACCCATTTTCTTTAATGAAAAAAAAAAAAAATGGAATAACAAGAAGATAAAGATAAAAGATAAGAGATAAGTAGCAGGTAATAAATAATAAAATTAAAAATAATAATAATAAATGATTAATTAATTAATAATAATAATAATAATTTATAAAAGTAATAAATATAATTTATAAATATAATTATAAAAATAATAATAAAATAATTGTATGTATATTTGATATGTTATTTTATTTATTTAATGTCTTCAATCTTTGGAGGAAGATTTTCACTAAAAGCCAAAATATATTCTTTCAAATTAATTTTGATCTGATCTTCTTCACTAATAGATTTAAGGTTCAAATGACGAGGACTTTGTAAATGCTTTAAGATTCCATCATAAGTAAAAATTTTCAAATCACCCATACCACTCGAACACAATTTGCATTCAAAAATTTTATAAATTTCCAATTTTCTCATTTTCACTTCTTTCACAGTTAAAAATAATCCAGGTTGTTGTTGAACTATTGTAACTTCTTTTGATAATTTTGGTAAAATTTTAGTTATTATAAATTTATCTGTCCAAGGTATTCTTATATCTCCTTGGTTATTAATGTTCTTCTTATTCTTCTTGTCATTATTCTCGCTATCGTCATAATCATCATCATCTTCTTCTTCTTCGCTATCAAATTTATCTTCATCTTTATCTTCTTGTTCTTCTTCGGTAACAACTATTTTTTCAACTGGAGGATTCCTATAAGTAGGACAATGTTTAAGAAAATATATTTTTGGATCACATAAATCAGTAACCACCATGGGTTTATGAAAATTATCAATTTTAACATATTTCGTTGTTTTGACGGTAGCGGATAAAACCATTTGTTGACCGTTACGAATAGTTACGGATCCTAACATCAAAGGGGAAATCATTTTTCTTCTTTCTAAAGCTCGAACTGATAAATTTGATAATGTGAATTTTACACTGGGAGCTCTTAATTGAGGCCAAACTGATTTTATTAATTCAATTAATCGATTTTGTTTTTTTATTATGGCATCTGATATTGAGATATTATAATGAAATTTATTACGAATGATGGGAAGATTTGACGGTGATTTTAAAATTTTTTCATGTGATGACTGTTGATGGCGTTCAAGTGATGATGATTGTGATGGTGGTGGTTGTTGGTGATATTGTGATAATTGTTGGTGACATTCAAGTGATTGTTGTTGTTTTTGGATTGTTTGTGAGAGCGGTTGTGGGAGTGGCTGTTGTGGTGGTGGTGGTGATGGTGGAGAAGGAGATTTTACAGGAGGAGGAAGAGGGGATTTTACAGAAGATTTTACAATGGTAGAATAAAGATCATTCGTTGGTATTGTTGTTATTTTTGGTGGTGTTGTTGTTGTAGTTGGCGTTATTGTTGTTGTAGTTGGCGTTGTTGTTGTTGTAGTTGGCGTTGTTATTGTTGTAGTTGGCGTTGTTATTGTTGTAGTTGGTGATGTTATTAATGGTGATGGTGTTATTAGTGGTGGTGGTGTTGTTGATCTTGTGGTAATAGCAGTAGTAGTGGTAGTAGCAGCAATTGTTGTTGTTTCTGTTGTAATAATTGGTGATTTAACATTAAAAACATTCACATTTTGATATCTTCTTGGTATTAAATAACTATTATTATGGTCGTTATTGTTATTACTGTGATCATTATTATTGTTGTTATTGTAGTTGTTAACATAATTATCGTTGTGGTCAATAATTCTTTCCCTTCTTCCTTTAAATTCAAATGATTCAGCACCTCGAATTCTATTATCAAGATTCGTTGAATTAATTTGTGAAAGAGGAATTGGTGGTGGCGGTAATCGTGAAATAATAGATTTAATTTTAAATTGCTCAATGTTACCATCTTTATTATCTGGAGGCCATTTATTATTTTTATTATCATTGTTGTTATTATTGTTTTTGTTATTATTATCAAAATTGGTTGTGGTTGTTTTGGTTGTGGCTGTTGTCATGGCTGTTATTGTTTTTGTTGTAGCAGGAGTGGGAATAGGATTAACAGTTGAAATAATTGTAGTAGGAGTAGAAGTAAGAATAGGAGTAATAGTACGAGTAGGAGAAGTAATTGGAGAAGAAATAGGAGAAGTAAATCTACTATTATTGCTAATATTACTGGCTTCTGATAAACGTCTTCCATAATCTTGAAGTTCAGCTAATGTAATATTAATTTCAAAAGGAAGTGAAGTAGATGATGATGATGATGATGATGATGATGATGATGATGGTGATGATGCTGATGATGAAAAATTATAATGATTGGATGATGAATTTAAAGAAACTGAATCGACGGGTGATGATGATTCCCGATTTAAAGAATTACTATTTGAACTATTTGAACCCATCTTGTTGTTATTGGTTGAGTTAATTGAATTAATTTTGTTTATGGAGTTAATTTTATTTTCAATCTTATTTGAATTGATTGAAATTGATTTAGGATTGATTAATTTAGTCTTAATTGAGTTGATTGAGTTAATTGATGATTTGATTGAATTGGTAGTTTTAATTTCAGCAATTTCAATTTCGGCATCATCAATATCAGAATCATCATTATCAGAATCATCATTATCAGTATCATTATCAGTATCATTATCAGTATCAATTTCATCGGTATCAATTTCAGTATTAATTTTAATTAATTCATCATTAAAATATAAATCATCCTCTGATGAAGAAGATGAAGTATCCCATCCGGATGGTGGTTGAGGATATGGATAATATCCATTTTTTACATCCCATGATGATAAAGAAATTGATTCTTCAGAGTTGGTAATTCTCCACCATTTACGAGATTTTCTAATTTTATGATTATTATTATTATTACTTGATTTTTGACGAGAATTAAGATTGTTGAAAGAATTATAATTATTATTATTAGGTGAATTATAATAATTCATTTGAAGTGGAACTTTGGAGGAATGATGAACTTCTGGTAATGATGATTGTGATGATTTTGAAGATTTAGATGATTTCGATGTTTGTAATGATTGTAATGATCTTAATGAATGTGATGAAGGTGATGGTGGTGATGATATTAATAAATCATTATCATCATCACCATCATTTTTATACTTGATTCTCGAAGACATAATAGATTGATTATTGTTGTTGTTAAACATTTTTTTATTTCTTTAATAAAGTTGTTCTTAAAATATTTAAAATATTTTAAAATCAAATTATTTATTGTTTCTTTATTTTCTCTTCTCTCTTATATTAATTTGATTTATTTAATTTATCTTTATTTTATTTACGAAAAAAAAAAGTTTCAAGAACAAAAGGAACAAGAAAGAAAAAAGCGTGTTAAGAAAGTGAGATTAACGAAAAAAAAAATCAGATTATGGGTATTTATTTTTTTTGAGGATTTGTTTCTGGATTAAGTTTTAAACGTTATACAAATGCACCAAATGCACCGATGTACAGGGGTATCTTTTCTATAATCAAAAACAATAACAATAATATTTCCTTATTTAGAAATATTCTAGATTTATAGAAATCAATATTATTATTTTTATTAGCATTTTTCTATAATCAAAAACAATAACAAATAATATTTCCTTCTTTAAAAATATTCTGGATTTTTAGAAATTAATATTAATATTATTTTTATTTCTTATTTTTATTTCTTTTTTTATTATTATTTTTTTTTTAATTTACCATTTAAACAAACAAAACCATAAACATAAAGACCAAAATTAAGTAAAAATTGAACATCACATAATTTCCTTTTCTTTTTATAATAATAATAATTTTATGTACAATTAAAATATATTAAGATTAATCTCTAATAAAAAAATTATCTCACATATTCACAATACCTCAATACCTCAATACCTCTCATAATTATATATAATAAATATAAACATTTAATTATCATCAACTATTTGTGGATCATGTGCAGGTGGACCATATATTTCTTCACATCTTTTTTCAAATGCTGTAACCATTATTTCATTAATTTGTTCTGTAAACATATTAGATACTTGTGCATAAAGTGGTGATGAAAATTCAAATTCTATATAAAAATCTAAATGACAATGGGTTGGTGGTAATTTTTGATCTGGTATAAATTGCCAAAGTGTAGTTAAATGATTAAATAATGAATCTGCTGATGCTACTGCCTAATATATATAGTTATTAAATATATAAATAGGGAGAGATATATAAATAAATAAATAAATAAATAAATAGGATATATATATATATATATATATAAGGGAGATAAATAAATTAAATATATAAATAAATATTTTTATTCACCTGAACATAACTTGGCCTTTTACATGTAACTTCTGACACATAGGTTTCTGAATATCCTATAAATTGTACTCCTAAAGCAGCTGTAAGTATTTTCGTTCTTTGATCAACATATTGTGTTTTTAAAACTTCCGAATTAATACAGAATGGAATAAAATTGTAATAGTCATCCACATTTGATACAACATCAAAAAGTTGTTTTTGTGTATACCTAAATAAATAAATAAATAAATATACATATATAGATAATATAATATAATATAAATATTATGAAAATATTATGAAAATATTTGAAATATAAATATTAAAATATTACCCAACTATTTTATTTCCAGTATAAGATTTCTTGGATGACATAATATCCGAAAAATTAAAGAAGTTACGTTTTTGTTTAAATGATGTTTTTGGATGAAATAATGGTAACGGTCGAGATAAATTAGATAAATTGGATAAATTTGTCATATTCGTCATCATGGGTGAAAAAAATCTTTTAAAATTTAATGATGGAGGAGTTTTAAAAGATGATGATGTTGCTGTTGTTGTGGTTGTTGTCGCCGTTGTTGTTTTTGATGATGATGAGGATGAGGATGATGATGATGATGATGATGATGATCGAAAAACGTTGGTTATTTTGATAAAAGATTTTTTGAGTAGCATCTTTTCTTTTCTTTTCTTTTCTTTTCTTTTCTTTTCTTTTCTTTCCTTCTTTCTTCTTTTCTTCTTTGATCAATGATAAAATTTTCTTAATAAAATTTTTTTTCTCTCAAATTTTAGAAAATTATGATACTACTAAATATCTGATAAAAATGATTAAAATGAATGATAAGTGAGCGAACTTGGATAAGAATTATTTATTAGAATTTAAAAAAAATTTTCTTCTTAGAATTGAAAGAAGAAGAAGAAAAAAACACAGAGAGAGAAAAAATAAATTAGATCCTATTTGTTAATATTAATATATATTCTGTTTATACTTTTTTATCATGAGACTAAAGAAATGCATTAATAACGCCCATTAATGCTATTAATGTGTATTTGATGTCTATTTAATGAAAACAATGAAGAAAAAGTGTCAAACTGTATCACATGGTAAATAGGGAACATTGTGAACCGCAGTTGATCATCCAATAATAACCAATTAAATTAATACAATTAATACTATTTATTTATCATAATGGCAAAGGGTGAATAAAGACTGAATTAAAAATTTTGATGAATTAAAAAAATTGCCAATTTTAATTATATGAATTAGTTGTGATTTTTTAAAACGTGATTACTAGGTTAATATAAGAACAAAACGTGGTTACTATAAAAACAAAGAATATTAAAACGAAGAATAAATAATAATTGTTTTTTGGAGAGTTCAAATTTTAATATTTTTTTAATACATAACAATAATCACATTAAAATTAAAAAGCACATGGAATAGCGTGCAGTCAACATATTTTCACCATCATAATCATTATAATAAATTATAATATACTTTTATTTTTGGTGGTAGCGAATGGAAATAACAAACAATAATATAAAAATAATAGAATTAAAAAAAATTAAGTCTATTTTTGGTTAAGATGTAAAAAAAAAAAAAAAATAACAATACAATATCATTACTGTGTTCATTATATTATTATATCTACTAATATATATATATATATTGGTTATATAACGGAAAATTCTGAGATGAGATTTTTAATTTATTCTGAAATTTCTGAGATAGGGTTTTTAAATGGGGTTTTTAAAACTTAAATTATGTTGTTTGTTTCGAATTACAAAAATTACAAAAAATAAATTTCCGAGAATGCTTAAGTACCATGACTTTCAGATGCAATCGGTTTAACGATTTAACTTTTAAAACAATGTAAAAAGAAATTAAATAAAGTTGGTTTTGATATTCTAGCCCAGGTTATAGGTTTTCATTTTCATATTAATAACGCGTTAAAAATAGAGATGCGATGGACGATCTAGAAAGATCAGCTAACCATGTGCTATTTTACACGACATTTCGAAAAGGAAAACCTTAATTATTAAAAAAATTTTTAAAAAAGTTAGAAAAGATTGTATACAAATTCTGATAGAGAATGCCACGATAACCCACGTACGTCTCACTTACGAGAAAGGTTATTTATACTAAATTTTGATCAAATTTTTTTTGGATATTTAAATGGTTTGATTTCTCGCTTCAACTTTAGGTTATTGTTTTTTTTTATTATTTAACTATCCTTTCTTTCAACTTTATTCGTCTTTATTTACGTCTTTATTTACGTCTTTATTCATATCTCTATTCATCACCTAAATTTATTTAATACATATATTATCAAATCTATTGTCAATATAAATTTCACAATCTTGATTTAAATTCAAATATTCGAAAGATTTATAAAAAAAAAAAAAAAAATCATGTCAAACGAAAAAGAATTTGAACAAATTAATGATAACGATATTGTAATTCCTAAAAAACCTCATTACCCTCCTACCATTAAACCTCAAGACCTTCTTCCAAAAAATTCTAATAGTGGAAAACTTGTTAGAATGCCGAATGCATTTATTGTTTATCGTATAGTAGTTTGTCAATGTTTAAGATCTCAAAATATTTGCATTACTATGCCAGATGCCTCTTCTTTGGCATCTGAATTTTGGGCACATGAACCAATTTATGTAAAAGCTACTTATAAAAAGATCGCTAGTGAAGCTAAATTACTTTACGATAAACAATTATCTTCTAATGATAATAATAATAAGGAAGAATTAAAGGAGATGAACTTTAAGGAATCTAAAAAATCTAAAAAATCATCTTCCGTTGTGGTAGAACCTAAAAATGAAAATATGGAATTTACTACCGCTACTACTGCTATTACTGCGGAAAATCTTAATTCCGAATTAATTTCGTTTTCTTCTCAAAATATTTATCATCCACAACAAATTCAGGAATTTAACTTCCATAATTACGTTTATAATAATTATAATAATTACAATGATTATAATAATAATTATAATTATAATGACTACAATGATTATAATAAATATAATAATTATAATAATAATGACTATGACAATTATTATGTGTGTGATAATCAAATTTATTCGAATGTTTACATTTTATAGCTTATCCTATTATTTAAATTTTTTATTTTCATCATTTTCAAAAAAAAAATAATAATATGTTCAAAGATATATCATGAAGATTTTTATGAATAATATATTTATATATGACTTATTGAAATTAAGATTTTTCTTTTAAAGAAATAAGTTTATATGAAACTTTAAGTAATAGAATTATACAATAGACACTTTATTTCCTCATTATATATTATTTACATTTTATACATTATTTTTTATACATTATTTTTTTTTATAATTTTTATAATTTTTTATAATTTTTTTATAATTTTTTATAATTTTATGTCATAATATAAGAATATCATTTTGAATCGTTTTATTTAATTAGATTTTTTTTTATTATAGAATTCGTTAAAAAAAAAAATTAGTATATACGTTATGATACGAATATCATACTTGAATCGCATTTTTTTAAAAAAAAAAAAAAAAAAAAAAAAAAAAAAAAAAAAAAAAAAAATTAGATTTTTATTTTTAGATTTCTTTAAAAATTTATTTTTTACTTTTTTGAACGGTAATATGGTAATTTTTGGATAATTTATGGGTAACATGGGTAATGTGAACCTTTTAAACCGTGATTTATTATGGATTTATTATGTATATTTATGAAAAAAAAGGATTAATCCCTCGTTTCTTTAATATTTTAAATAAAATTTTTTTGGTTGAACAACTATCTGATATTATCACTATTCAAAATTTCCAAAAAAAAAAATCGAATTCATATGATAAATTAATTTATTTAACTGATGATAAAAAAAATGCTCGCATTATTTTTTTATATTCATTCTAAAAATTTTTGGCTTAATTTATTTATTAATTTTACTAGACTCTACATTTCATCTTTTTTTTTATATGACAAAGTTATTTTAAACCTTTTTCTTTGATCACAAACTCTACTATCAAACAACCAGTGAATTCAAAAACAAATATTTATCTTCCCCATAAATTTCAGAAAAATAAAATTCACATAAAAAGCAAAACTACAAATAATTAAAATTATTATCTTAAAATCTTATATTAAACTATCATCCACTATTTTTCACCATAATTGAAAAAAGAGAACTTGATTTTTTTTTTTCATTCGATACGATCAAGTAAAAAAAAAAATATAATAAATATTGAGTATTGATAAACATCTCGAGTTCTTACTAATAAAACTGTTAATATATTATTATCTTCTGCTTCTATATCGATCTACTTTTATCTAAACTTGATTTCTATAAAAAATTGATGTAACTATTTTTTTTTTTGGTATAAATCTAACAATGTTCTTAAATTTTACATTATTAAATCTATCGCCGGTAATCTTCAAATGTTCATCAGCTGAAAGCAATAAATAGATTAGCAAAACATTTACATGTGATGTGTAAAAATCGTAAGAGCGATTGCAACTATCCACGAAACACATGTCATTTTGTAGTTCAGAACCTGGGCTTTTTATAATACTATTAACACCTTGGTAAAAATTGCTTCCCATTGGGTAAAAGTTAAAAACCAACTGTTTTACATAATCTCGTGGACATAAAAGTTCTGCGTTATAGTTGATCAATTCAATTCATCCAGATATCATATATGAATTGCATTTATTATCATTCATTTCTAAATGGAAATTTTATTAAAAAGAATTGATAATTCCCATCTAACACTTGAGCTAATTGAATGACGGGATAAAAAAAAAATAAGGATCAACGATCTAAACTTACTTCAGAAGCAAAAATATATACCTTCGAGATCATAGAGTTTTATTAACATTTGAAAAAATTAATGGATAAAAAACTGGATTTTTGAGAGAATATTTTATTTCCGGCACTAAGGAAAATGATTTCCGTGAAGTTTTCCAATTTCGTTTATTCAGCACAAGACAAAAATGTCACGACTTCTACATATAGACAGAATTACCATGTTACATTTTTTCAAATTTAGGTTTCTCCTTCCAAACCAGAACAACGAACGAAAAAAACCTCCTTTAATTTTTTTTTTGTTTTGTTTTAATAAATAATAATAAACAATCAGATTCTTTTTTTTTTTTTTTAGAATAATTAATTTTTCTAAAATCAATAATTCCCTTTAATTAATTCAAGTTCCCATTCAAGTTTTTCTCTCAAGTTTTCTCACTTTAGTCAGATTAGCTTATTTCCTTTGTACCAAGACAAAATTTAATATGCAAAAAAAAAAATTTTTTCTAAATAAATAAATCATACAATAAATAATAATTATTAAATTTATAAATTCAAACAAACGAATTAATCAAAGAAATATTTACAAAATATTTTCGCAAGGCTATGGTGGCTTAGCCGCATAAGATATTAGAGAGATAATGAGCGAGATGAATAAGAGATAAACAAGATTTCAGATTTTCATTGGATATATTAAAATGTGAACGAGAAGTTCTAATTCATATAATAAAATGTCCCCCAAAGAAAAATTCATTTATTCTTAGTGGTAACCCATAAATACTTCGTGATTCGAAAAATTATTTGTGACATATTCAAAGAATGTTCGGGAAATTGGATTCACTTTTAAGTAGTACATTCGGATATAAATATATTAAAAATCACAAATAATAAATATAATATTGCATACTATTTTTTTTTTTTTTTTACAAACATAAAGTTCTTTTACTAAAAAAAGAAATATAAAAACCTAAAAATAGAAAAAAGGTTTTCATGGTCCTTGCGTATTATAATAAATAATGTAATGAATAAGGAAACTTTAATTTATTGAAATCAAGAAATCATTCGTTCAAAAAGGAATTCTATATGAACCAAATTTTTTTAATTTCTTTCTAAATACTAAAAAATACGTAGTAGTAATATGGGTCTTGAAAAACTTTTTTTTTATCAGTGTATTATGAATTATATTATGTTGCCCCCTATTTTTAACTAATGTAACACTAGCATAATAATAAAACACAATTTTAAAAGTAATTATTCTTTTAAAGGTAAAAATATTATTTTATTGAATGCGGGTGAAATCAACATTTACCTACCAGTTATCTTAAAACAAATTATCTAATAAAATTAATTAAATATTTTTTGCAGCGATTTGATTACCATTTTATGCAATATTTTTCCTGGTTTAAGAGAATCAAGAAAAAAAAAACAAGAATGCAAAGATATGTGTTTGCCTCAAGTTTAAATATTACATATTTTCAATTGCCAAATTTGTCTTCATAAAAGTGACGAAAATGACAATTTGAATGATTTAAAAGTCATTTGACTTATTAATTTATTCAACTTACTTATTCGTTAAACTTACTTAGTAAGTTTACTTTTTAAAAGAATTTATGTTTTATACTAAAATATTAAAACCAAGAGCTTAAAGGACGAGACCAAAATATAAAAGTATCAAATCTATTATTGCAACACGAAAATAAGTATGATTCGCTGTATTACAAAGTTATTGCATAATTCATCGTGATATTTAAGGTTTGTCCCGTGAATGAAAATTAATTAAAATAAAATTGCTGCGAAATATTATTTGATCAAATATTTATTATTGCTTATGTAGACATCATGACACATATAATTTGAGAAGAATTTGTCGCATTCATTATCATTCATCCATTATCAACCACAGCGAGAAGTGACAAAACCACAGATTATTATTGGTAATAGTATTCACGGCAACTTTCACAGCAAGCAATCTTTGGAATTTTTTTCGAGGAAATTCCGATTAAATGAATTCATTCTTCCAAAACCATCTGGAACAAAAAAAAAATAAATAATTGAATTTACAAATTTATTATAAATTTTTTACTACAATAATAATCATTATATTGTTATAATTATTATAATCAAAATAATTCGCTTGAAAAAAAATAGGTCACAAATATACTATATTTAAATATGCTGCATATTATAATAGTTAAATGAATTTGAATGTCACACATGATTGGATAAGTAGTAACAAAGAACGATGATAATTTAAAGTCCAATTATTTGAATTTACAAAATTACAACATTTACCTAAAATTTACAACTAATAAAATCGTTATTTCCTATTTTTGTACACAATACAAACTGTTCAATATTTACTGTATTATAAGTATTAATAGATATTAATAATTATGCAATAAATATTAAAATAATATTTGATCATAAACAAAAGATATTTTTAAAGGAAAAAAAGAATGATATTTATTTATAAACGAATATAATAATTTTTTTTAGTTTATCTCTTTTTCGTGTTTATAAAGTGCTAAAGTTGTTTTTCGTGTATAACATTTGTGATATTATATGTGATATCGACAAGTCATGTGAATGTCATGGAAATTTTGAATTCTTAATTTGTATAATTAAATGGTAAGTATGAATTTGATAATTTAATTCAATTTCATCTAGCTATTTCTATTTCTAATTACTTTATTTAAAATACGAATTAGAAATTTATTCATAATTATTAATTCGAATTGAATAAAATGAAAAGATATAAAAAGAATTAATGCAACTCTATTTCATTCATTCTTAAATGTCCAATTTTATATTCTTACACATTTTTTCTATCCTTACTATTCTTACTCAAAATATATAATTGTAATATTTCTTGGCATTTCTTGTGAATATTGTAATCGAAAACAAATGCTATCAATGCTATCATGTGACATAAAGCTTCTCAATGTGATTAATTGGGGGAGATTTCACAAAATCACATCATATAAATACATTATCGTATAGGGGAATGTATCATGTGGCTAATTTCTTTTTCAATTGAATATTTATTTTTGGTATCATATATTATAATATATAATATATTATTATATATATTCTATAATAGTCACAAGGCGAATTGACCAACACTTATAAATTTTTAACTTTAAATCTTGTAAGTATTGTATTAATATAAAAAGATGCAACCAATTATGGAATCTCCAATTCGGAATGCTGTAAAAAAATTTTTTTCATTCTAATTTATGTAGAATAATAAGTTTTTTTTTTTAAAAAAAAACAATTGAATACTATTAAAAAAACAAGCTGACCTTTTTTAGTCGTAAAAATTGTATCCGATTATATATTGATTTGATTTTTTGATTTTGATTTTAAATGGAAAATCCCGGTATCTTTGTTCCATATAAATAAAACCTTTTTCCTCTCATCTGTTTTCTCTCCAAAAAAATCTCGAGAATCAATTCATAAAAAAAAAATATACATATTTAATATTTGTAAATTTTCTACTATATATTTTTGAAACAATAAATAGCTTTTATTTTCAATAATTTTTAATATATATATATTTTTTTTATTCTATCTAATTTCTCATACTTCTCACACTTCTTATTAACTCCTCATTATTCCTCATTACTCAATTATCTCTTAAAGCTTATATTATATTTTAAACCTCGAATCTTCAATTAACCCATTGACATTTATACAATTTATATTATACACATATAATCACGAAAGGCTGAATTTTTCTCTTTTTTTTAAAAAAAACCCAATATTCTATTACAAATTTTTTTTTATTTGACATTTAATTTTTTATAGAGAAAAATGAACAATAGATACCAGCAAATTCCTTACATTTCAACTATTATGTCACCACCACTCTCCCCAAGAAAATTTAAAAATGAAATTCTTAGCATTAAAGTGGAAAATGCAGTAGGTGATAGTGAAAAACAGGAGATGATATCGACTTCGCCTCAGCCACCACAGCCCAAAGAACAGAATGATAGAAAAATTACTAAACCAAAGAGTAGATTTCGAATGTTTGTATCGGATGCACCATCAGCTCTTTTAGATTTAATCAAACGTTCAGAAATTAAGAAACCCGCAATTAATACTACCAATAACGAATTTAAAATTAAAAAAAATAAGGCTAATCATCATCATAATAATCACGTGGAAATGTATAGTCACAAGACCAAAACCGGACCTTTACGTTCTCGGCATCGTAAAAACCCATGCCCAGTAAAATCTCCTTCAAAATCATCTCCGGGAATTACTCTTAAATTAGATGTTTTTACACCTTTTAAAGAGAACCCAATGGCACTTTTACACAGTGATGATAATCCTCATCCATCATCTTTATCTGATTGTAATAGTAATAGCTCACCTCCTTCTCTAACCCCTTCATCTTCATCTGATTTATCACAACCTTCTAGTCCAAATTCAGTAGTACAATTTAGGCAAAAGAAACAACGTAAGAAGCACAACATCAATACAAAAAACTCTAAACTTCCAGCGGTAGAACGTAAAAGAAAAAGTAACAGCCTTTCAAGAGTAATGGCTGATCGTGGTCTTTTAGAAACATCTTTTAATAATGTTACTTCTGGAGAAATCAAATCAATTCGTCTTCCACCACCACCACCAATGGAATGGGAGCAATTGATTGAAAACATTAATAATATGAATTTAGATATGGGAATTTTAAATCATATTGCACCTAAAATTACCTGGAAAGGTCAACCACTTTCTATCTCTCATTTACCACACTTTAATGCTTTACACCCTAAAGAAGTAATAGTTGCATCAACATTACGTCTTACACCAGTACAATATTTAACCTCCAAAAATACTTTGGTTTCAGCTGCTCAACGTTACGTTCAACGATCACTTCCTTTTCGTAAAAGTGATGCACAAAAATTACTTAGAATTGATGTAAATAAAGCAAGTAAATTATGGGAATTCTTTCAACAAGTAAAATGGATTTAATTATTTTTTTAAAAAAAAAAAAAAAAAAATGCAATATTATATCATTATTATTATTATTACTATGACCAACTAAGCTTTTCTTGAAATTCACAAAATAAATTTATTTTGTATATATTTTCTTTTTTCTTAAATTTTTTTAAAATAGATCTCTTTTTTTTTTTTTTAATCAATTTTATGTATACATCTTTAGAGTAATTATAGAGATCAAAAAATAAACCAAAATAAACATAAATAAATCTTTATGAAAAGTAAATATTTCTTTTTGATATTGTTCAAAGAATTTATTATTATTTTATTTATTTTTATTGTTTTTATTATTTATTTTATTGTTTTTATTATTATTTTATTTATTTTATTGTTTTTATTATTATTTTGTTGTTGCATTCCTCTTTGAATGATGCATATTTAACGACCGACATGCAGCATTTAATGTTTATATCAAATTTGCCAAAGTTATTTCTTTGAATTTTTTCAATTGAGTTTTTTTTTCACACCTAAAGTAAATGATCATCAAAGAATTTTCTCACATTTATTTTTATTGTTGATTATAAAAACTTTAACTTGATAATCTTTCTCTACGCCACAATTTTTAACAATCAATGAACTTCTTTCAGTGATTATGAATAAATACTTTTTTGGAATTTGATAACCAGTTTGCATCAATAAATTTACGAGTTTTATTATATTATTATTATATTTTTTTTTCCCTATCAATAAACTTCCCCTGGAAAAATAAATTCTATTCATCCCAAAATTTTTGCGAAAGAAAAAATATCAATATTACGTAAATTATTTATTGTATCTACCTTATACAGAAATTCATTATTTGAATAACTGAAAAATGCCGCCAATTAGCTAAGCTAAAATTAGTATAAATTCTTTCCAAATAAATTTGTAATTGCGGGGGCTTTGGTTTTCTTTTTTTTTTATATGTAACATTGGTATTTTTAATTAGTGTATTGTATATATATAGCTCATTAAATCGGAGAATATTTTATAAATGAATGAATATATGCTATAATTTGGTCTTGTCAAAGGTAGTGCAGTAATTTATTTGTAATTTAATTTGTAATTATTTAGTTTATATGCTTAGATTTTTTTTTTTTACTTTAATGATTAATCAAAAAAAAAAGATCATCTATCCGAGAGTCACGGATCAATATTAATTTATATTTTTTATCTTATCATTTGTACCTCCTGCCTCTTGACTCATTCATTTGTACCTCCTCTTGTCTCTTGGTAATCATTTGTTATATATCTTCTTTTCTAATTTGAATTTTTAATTATTGAGGAAACGCTAACCATTCTCCAAAAAAAAATCATCCGAACATCATGTAAATCATTGAACAAAATGAATAACAAAGAAATATTTGAATTCATATGTGCGCAGGCCGCGTAGCAATGTGAATGTCATATGTGAACACACAAAAATTAATTCTTTGTCAAAAAACAACCTTTCATCATCATTTATTTATTTATTTAGAATAAATAAATAAATGATAAAAGATAAGACTGAACGCAAAAAAATGTTGCAATTTTTGTTTCGATGATAGAATTTATGGACCAATTAAATTGTTACAAGTAATTGAAAATATCATTTATTGCTTTTGATTTTTCCACAAAAGGCTTTAGAGAAAAGTATCAAGTAAAAAAAAAAAAGAGAGAGAGAGAAGCGAATTCAAACTAATTCGTTAATTCGAAAAAAAAAGAAAATAGTATGGCTTTTGTTTTCTACTAGCTACAGCCAGCATTTGGACAGAAAAATTAGAATAAAAGTTGTTGACGCATGGAATGGATATTAAATTATCAAGAGAAAAAAAAAACTTCAAAATAGGAAACTATTAACTATTTTAAGAAATTTTCTTCCATAAATACATTAAACCCCATTAAACCCATTAAAAACCCATTAAACTCATTAAGGAGGAAATTGTTACCAAAAATAGTATATTTTACATTCGACCTTTCTGGAATGTATGATCGTATGTGTCGGAAAACTTATTATTTTTCTTTCTATACAATAACTGTTTTCATTGTTACGCAAAATTACCTTGAATTTGTCTTTGTCATTAAATTTTAGGTTTTTTATGGGCTTTTTCTTAAATTCTTCTATAATGACAAAAGAAGAAGGATCAATAGAATTCTTTTTTTATTGCAAATGATTAATACAATACAAATAGCCTTTTTGTTATATTTATACTGTGTTTGTTTATAATTGGATGATAAGGTTATCGTAATAGTGTTAATATGGCTTATCAGTTATTCAACCAAAACGAGTCAAGATCTAGATTTTTTTTTTTTTAAAAAAAAAAAAAAATAAATAAATAAATAAATAAAAAATGAAATAACCAGAAAAATATCACATTCTTTACGCTCCTCCCTTGCTCCGATGAAGAACAAGTTAATGAGATCTCAATCACAAAACTTGTATCTCTGCAAGGTAAAATGAATGAATTGAAAATAGAATTTCAAAATAAAAAAAAAATTATAAAAAGTATCGATTTGGAAAATCCGGCATTGAATTAATTAAGTTTTTTTTTTCATTGTAAGGGGCCATAGTAAGAGAGTGGCTTTTTTCTTAGTGGGGCATTTATTTAATTAGAGGAAAACAAGAAAATAAATCATTTTAATACATACATACATCTACATGCATCTCAGAATGTTTAATAAATATTTAGTAGTTTTCTTTTTTTAAAATAGGTTCGTTCTTGGAAATATGTGAAGGGATTTTTTTTATCCTCCTATTTTTTTTCCATTTCTTTGGTAATTTAAATTAATAATATGTTAATTAAATGATATTTGAATGATATATGGAGTAAAAATGCATAATTCTTACTTTTTTTAAGAATAAATGAATGTCACACATTTACTCATTGTAAATAATTCATTGATTTCTTCATTTATGCGAGAAAAGATTTAACTTGTTATTTCATGTTGAAATCACGTCTTTAATATTTTAATATTGCACCGATTATCCGAAACATAAGGTAATATAAGCTGCGTCGCCATGTTGCACGCAATAAATAATAGTAATAACACAAGTCTTCACTCCCAAATTTGGATATTTTTATTATTTTCTTTGACATTTTTCATTATTGTTTTTCTTTAATTAGTTCTTTTTTTTTATATCGCACATTTGTTAATTTTTATATTGAATTTTGAAATAAAGGAAGAAGGAAATAGGGAAATAATTAATAAGATAAATGTGAAGTCGAAGTATTCATAACATTTGATGTGCGAAAAAATTACAATAATGATTGAATTGGTAAATTATTGACCGTAGTATGATAATAAATAAAATTTTTAATATAAAAGGGTAAAACAGCCGAATTTACAATTAAAGTTGTTATCTGCAGTTGAGAAAAAAAAACGGCTTTGAAAAGAAGTAAATGAGGTATTACTAAAAGAGATGCTATTTGTGGCTTACGAAAAAACGGACGAGTCATGCAATTAACTGATATATTAACGCATATATAATTAATATGCTATGCTCTTTAATTGAATCATTTAACCTTATTATTAAGAATGGATGCGCATTTATAATTCTTACAAAATTATAATTTAAAGGGATTTTCTCGCATTATCACATTTTTGTGATATCATAAAAAATTTAAAAAGTTGTGATAAAAAAGAATTACGAAAAATATATACAAATTTGGTGACTATAATTGTTATTTAATAATTAAAAGAATTTCGTGTTTTTGAGTAAATGAGAAAAAGACCAATTAAATATCATGTAACATTAGATCAACTTTTAATCTATAGATTTTTTTTTTTAAGATCTTCTGATTCATTTTTATTTGAATACATGATATTAACAAGTTATTACGTGAAAGGTGTTTAATAATTTTCAAATTGTTAACAAAAATAAATGTACCTCTAAGATTTTACTATTGCTTAGTGTCAATTCGTTATTTCATTCTAACTATTTTATTCTTCTAATTGTTTTTATTCCAGTCATTTTAAAATTTGAATTAGAATACAAGATATAAATAAATATAATAAACAAACCATCATCGTTCTTTTTTTTGCACCAATCAAACTATTTTAACATATCACAGTGTGACACTTCTATAACGGACAATGTATATAACCATTTTTTGGGGCGTGCGAAATTTATTAAATTTATTTATTTTATTTATTCAAATAGATGCATTACCATGTTATATAATTATAAACAATAAATAAGTTGCGAATAGGAAGTTTTAATTTTTTTACTTAGGTTATACTGCAGAAGTATAGTACTGAGTCGGAGTGATGAAAGACTTTAATGAACGAATTGGGAAAAATTTCGGGTGGTTTATAGCGAATTATATCAATATTGTATGTAAGTTCCCATCGTTGTGACCGACTTACAATTTATGCCCCTGCTGGCCACGTTTTATTTTTAATTATTTATCAAAAATTTTATTTGTTAGACTTGTTTTATCATGTGATCCCGAAATAACATTCGAGAAAATGAATTTAAATGAATTGAAGAATATCGAAATTTCGGAAATGTCCGTATGATCAATAAATTATTTCTATATTTAAGACAATATTTGATCTTTAGTGATTGATCATATTTCCTTCTAAAAAAAACTAAAAAAAAAATTGATTATGCATAAAGAGGCAAATGATGCAAAATTCTTACAAGAATAGACTTTACTCTCACTCAAATGGATACGATATTCATTAGGTTGGACTTCAAAATTTGGTGAAAAAAAAATACGCAGTTACGCTAAATATGGAAATGGGTAACGGATAGAAATATAAATGATAATAAAATAAAATAACCTTTTAATTCTGATTACTAATGAATGTGAGGCATTCTATATGTGAGTGAATGGGTATTCTAAAATTAGAAATTATAATTATTTGCGTGGAAGGCCATTTTTGTATTTACTAAAAAGAAAAAAAAAATCTATAATTAAAGGTCAAAATTTTTCATGAATAATCAAATTTGATTAATTAATTTGATTAATATACATTGCATCGCATCCAATAAATGTTGAGAAAATTTTTGTTCATTTTATTCGCTATCATTATATCTTCTATTATTATTATTATTATTATTATTATTATTTATTATTATTATTATTATTTATTATTATTATTATTATTATTATTATTATTATTATTATTATTATTATTGAATTTGTTAAATAATTATAAAGACCAAATGTACTGCAGTTCAAAGATCTTGAAATAAAGAAATAATAAAGAGATTATCAATAATTATAGCATTGCACTCGAAATTTCTATTTTAATTATTACAGTAATTTCTTTTCTAATTTGTTTTCTTTCTAATTTATTTTCTCTTTTTCTAATTTGTTTTCTAATTTATTTCTAATTTATTTATTTATTGAAAAAAAAAAACAATCTTGAAAATTTCATCTACGTCGTTTAACATTTTCAATAATACTGAATAATACTTCTTAAGAATATTAAGAATATTAATAATAACAATAATATTAATAATATTAAAAATAATTAAATCATTATTAATATTATTATTAATATTATTAATCACCTGATTTTCAAATATGTCTGAAACCTACATTAATAATAAATAGAACGAAACTTATTGATGACCTTTCGTAGACAACAATTCAAATGTTATGTTTCTGACACTGGGATATTCAAATATTTGTAATATATAATTCAGAATAAATAAATAAATAGAATAAATGAATATTCCAGCATAATTATTTACCTTACATGTCACCTAACCATAATTATTACTATTGGCGGTTGATCCACTAAACAAATTTTATTTCTCATGCCATTAAAAAAAAGAAATTAAAGAACCTCTTAGAGGAAAAGAAAAGTAAGAGAAAAGTAAGATAAAATAAGAAGCTGAAAGAAGAAGAAAGGAGAAGAAATGAGAAGAATAAATTTTATCTTTAACCAAGAAGAAAAAACCAAAAAAACCATCGAATGAGTTAAAAGTGGTAGTAATACAAATAGTCAAGTGGTAATAATAATAATATTAAAGTGTTCGTATTTGGAAAAAAATTATTGTTTATTTGTTTGCCACATTACTTTATATTACTTTATATTATTTATTAGTTATATTACTTTAATAAAATTTAAGTTTCATTATATGTTAGTATATATTCTTTGTTATTGCATTGACAACAAAAATATCTTTAGCGCAAAAAAAATTACATTTTATATTATTCAACCTTCATTTTTTTTTTTTTTTTTTTTTAATTAACTTTTATAATCTTTGTATAAATGCTTTATTATAATATTTTTATATTTTTTTCATTGCCAATTAATACTTTAAATACACTTTAAAATACAAAATACACTTCAAAATACATTCTAAAACACACTTCGAAATACACCTTAGATATACTTTAAAATACACCTTAAATATACTTTAAATATTACACCTCAATAAAGAATATTATTATTATTCCCTATTTAGAACCATTCAAAAAGTTAAAATATATATAATTAAATTTTCACAAATGTTGAATTGTCTCTCTAAGCAATTTAGTTAGTTTGTCCAATCAGAATTAGACAATAAAAAAAAATGATATCATTTATAAACTCCGCCCCTGTTTCCGATGATTGTCGTATATTTAAAAGAGTTGAGTTTGTCCGTCTAAAAAAAAAAATATTTAGGTTGTCTTTCTCATTTTTCTCTTGATTAATAAATACCGTTCTTTGAATAATTTTAAAACCTTTTTTTTTTTTTATTAATTGTTGTCATTAAATCTTTTTTCTAATTTACTTTCTTAAAGGAATATTATCACTCAATTGGTGAATAGCTTTGGTTCCCTTTTTGACAACAAATAATTTTCATTTTCGCTTTCTTTGGCAATTGTTAATTATTCTAAACTCCGAATTAGGATTAAACTTTAAATCCATTTTTTTTTGTTTATAAATCGCGCAACCCCCTTTTTACACTTAAATTGTTTTTCTTCTCTTTTTTTTTTTTTTTTTTTGAGAACACTTTTGAGACTTTCACATTTAATTCCCACATTTATTTTTTTTTTAAATTTTAAACATAAAATTTTTTTAATAAGAAAAATGTCGTCTCAAAATCTTTCTTATAATACATTATTTATTTCACCTCCCCTCTCTCCTCGTTATAATAAAGGTGGAATCGATAACTCACTTTGTGGCAATACCCAAAATTTACCTCACGAAGAACCCAACAATTCTTCACAAAACTCAACAATTACCACCAATCCAAAGATTAACAATCAAACTCAGAATAAACCAAAGTCCATTTATCGATTTAGGTTAAGAGATGCCCCAAAAGAATTATTAGAATTAATAAATTTTTCTTCAAAAACATTATCAGGAAATTCTTTCAAAACCTCCGTCATTATTGGTAATACAAACTATATAAACGGACCTTTTTCGGCGGACACAACAGACACCAATAATGATCGTGTGACGGTGGCCACACAAAATTCATTAAATCTAAATACTGACAACAAAAAAATTAATAATTTCAATAACACCGATAATAAAATTTCCAAAAACGTTATAGAAAAACGTCAAAGAGTTCGAAAGAACCCTTACCCCAAAAAATCACCTTCAAAAATTTCTCCCGGGATCACTTGTTCCGTGGATATTTTCAAGGCGTATAAAGAAAACCCCAAATTTTATTTGGACTCTATTTATCCATTACCAAAAAAACAAGATCCATTGTTTTCTGACGAACTATTTCCATATTCTGATTCTGAAACAAATATAACTAAAAAACGAAAAAATCGAAGCAAGTCTAATAAATTCAAACGAACACCTAAAGTCAATAATCATAATAATAATAATAATAATAGTAATTTATTTGAACGGAAACGAAAAGGAAATAGTTTAACCAGGGTGATGGCAGATCAAGAAGTAATATCTACAATCAATAATGTTACTAATAATATTAAAAATCAGAATAGGGTTTATCAATCTCAAATATCTCAAATGCAATTTGAAGAACTTATGGCAAATATTGAGAAATTAAACCTCAATATGGATATATTAAATAATATTACACCTAAAATTACTTGGAAAGGTCAACCACTTCCAATCACACATTTACCTTATTATGACTCTTTACACCCTAAAGAGGCATTGGTTGCATCAACGTTACGTTTGAATCCCTTGCAATATTTAACATCGAAATATACGCTTATTTCATCAGCTTTACGATATACCGAAAAATCATTACCATTTCGTAAGAGCGATGCACAAAAATTGCTCAGAATTGATGTAAATAAAGCATCTAAATTATGGGAATTTTTCTCTCAAATCAAATGGTTTTAGATTTTCGAATATTTTTTACAATTTTAGAATTTTTTTGCCTCCTTTATTTTATTTTTTTCTTTTTAACATGTTTTCACATTTTTACTCCTTTATTTTGTACCTTTTTTTAATTTCATTTTTTCTATCTTCATTTCATTTATTTAAATTACATTTGCAAAAACATAAGATATTGTAAATAACATCATCTTCAATTAATATTTCAATTAATTCTTCAATTAGATTTTGTACAAATTTTTTTTATTTTTATTTTGTCCTTTTAAAAAATTATAATTATTATTATAATTATAATTTCAATTTTTTTTTTCACGGATGATCAATTACAGTATATAGATTGGGAGTATATAGATTTTGGGACAAGATTCACGTGTGGCGTCTTTTAATGATGTTTTTTTTATCGTTTGTGAAAATTTTTAAGAAACGTTTAAATAAATAATAAGGGACAAACAAAATTTATAGGGGCCTCAATCTAAATTTTTTTTTTTTTTTTAATTAAATTATTATATAATCGAAACCATTTTTTTTATTCAAACTTTAAATGTTTAAAATGTGTCATAAAAATCAAAAAAAAAATAATACAGTAATTACAAATATCATTGAGTTGTTATTGAAACACTGTGTACAAATAAAGATAACAGGTGAAGATTGAATTTAACTGAAAAAGTAAAATTTACAAGCCTTAATCTCATCTTCACCTAAATCAGAAGGCGGATGGTAATCAATCAATGATAATATAAATATGTGTACAGAATATTGTTTGAATGATTTTTTTGTTTCATACTAAAAAAAAATCTTATATCATCATGAGACGTAAATTGTTTATTTTTTTGGAATAATACGATAATTGATTGAATGAAATTTTGTGAAATGAATACAGAACGCATTTAAATTAATTTCATTTTAAAAATTGTGTGCGGTAATTTTTTTTTCTATTAATATTTAGTTAATAAATATTTTTTTTAGAGAATTCCGAAAGAGTTATGAAAGAATTATGTTTCGGAAGAACACCAATTATAATGTATTTATTTTCTCGGATTTTCATTCGGAATTCAATGACTACGTAATAATTATAATAAATTATAATAAATAAATTTGGTAATAATAGTATAATGTAGTATAATATCAAATGTATAATATCAGATATAATGTAATATCAAAAATAGTATAGTGTAATGAATTTTTTAATACAGCCACAAAAAGTGAAAAATGCTGTACATCCGCCACTCCGCCACAAAATTCTATTTTATGTTTTATTTTGAGAAATTACACTAATAAACTTGAGAATAAAGAAATTTAAATATCGAAATATAGAATACATTCATTATCATAAATTATTATTTTCCCAACATTAAAAGAATTAAGCTTTTCTCGTTAAATGATTGTCGATTGTTAAATGATGATTTTATTTATAGTAAATTTTAATATTTTAATCGTTATATAAATTAGGTCATAATATTTAATAACATCAATAACATCAATAACATCAATAACGTCAATAAAATCAATAACATCAATAACACAATAACATCAAAACATCAATAATCAATAACATCAATAATAATATAACGTATAAGAATTGTAGATCAGATGTGTAGTTTATCCTTAATTTGTCATATATTATTAAAAAATAAACAAACATTGTTACATTTCACCGAGCTAGCGTGTGCATAATTGTAATAAGCGTCACATTTTTGAGATACAATGCTGAATATTATTAGTAGTATAATTTTGTTGTTGTTGTTGTTGTTGTTGTTATATATATATTTTTATTTTGTCTTGCTAATTATGGAAAACTTCAATTTATATTATTTTCGGCTAAAGATTTTACCATCACTCGTTTTTGTGTCAATACTAGGCTTTAATGCTAAGTTAAAGCTAAGTGTTAATGTTATTAATTATAATAATTATTATTATTATTATTATTATTATTAGATAATTTCTTTTCTCTTTATTACTTTTCTAAATACTTTTAATCTATGGGCTGAATTGCATAATTTTTAATTCCTTTTAACTTTATTTATCAATATTATTTCATTTATTCTCACCTATTATTACTTATTATCCCATTTTATTCATACTTTAGAATTTGGCGTCGACGTTATTAATTAATAAGGTTTCAATTGCATAATTTTATATATTTTCATTTAATTATTTACTGTATTTACATTATTAATAATATGCATTTATTATTATTATTATTATCATGTTTTAATTTTTAAGACAAATTTATTATTAATTGAAAATTTTAAACCTTTCTCATCTTTCAGTTAGTTGTTCCGTCGTTCTTTTTTTTTCCTTTTTTATAATATACAAGTATTCTTTCTTCGGTGAATTACTATTGGTTACTTTTAAATTTTTTATATGATCAGATTATCCATATTTGTCATTGATTACAAAATTGAATTAAGAATATTAAGGATTGGTTCTATGGATAGGTTCTATGGATTGGTTTATTATGGATTAATTCTAGAAGTCTCGAAAAAATGTCAACCTTTTACTTATTCAGTTAAAAAATTCGGAAATTATTGAATTATTTAAAAATATTCAAGATCTTCCAAACGCATATTAACTTTTCCGTGAAGAAATAATTAAAAAATTATTGTGGAAAAGAAATTTGTTCTTTGGTCTTTATTATTTATAATCCAAATTCGTTCACTTTCTCTCAATTACTCACCATATTTATTTGTTATTATATTTATTTAATACATTTGCAATTGATGCGAAAGACAAAATACTGTACTTGAATTTTTTTACACAATGACTAATAAATCCATTCATTTAAAACACATTTTAAACAATCATACATTATCATTGGACAAATGTGTTCCAAAAATAAATTTCTTTGGAAATTTTGTTTTGTATTTTTGGAAAATTTGCTGCATCATAGAAAATTCAATGAACCTCTTAAAAAAAGTTTTTAGTTTTTGGTTAGATATCGTAATGAAAGAGATTGATAAATTTCTTTTTTGAATAACTCTTTGAATATAGTTTGAATAAAAAAAAACTTATTAAAAAAATTTTATAAAAGTTTCTTTTTGAGTGACATCAACTTTTATTCATTTCCTAATTCAATAAAAATTTTCTGTATGCACACCAACACGTACAGTAAGTACATCTTGAAGCAATTTAATAAAATAAAGCGATGTGGCGTTACAATAATAATAATAATTTTTAACTTTTGGCTGGCTTATTTAATTAATTATCAAAGGAAGTTTTTTTATTAAAACATTTTAGAATTGATTCTTTCTAAAAGAAAATAATTATTGTTAGTTATTATTGATATAAATATTTATTTGTTTTTTGTTAAATGTTAAATTTTGGACATTGTTCCTGATACAGTAAATAAATATTTACTGTTTGGTTTGCTGGCTGTTAACTATACAAAGAAAACTGATTAATAAAAAATAATTATGGCTTTCTAAAATTTCATAAAGAATAATTCTTTTTTTAATGTAAGAATTCTCTTTTATTTCTTTGTTCATTCGTTTGTTTGGATTGTAATTTATAATTTATGTTGATTTATGCTATATGCGAATCAAAATTATGTAAAAAAAAAACAAACCATATTATTGATAATTCATTTAAAAACTTTAAACAATTTTATTATCAATTTCTTATTTAAGGAAACTTTTTTTTTATATCAAATAAATTATTTTCAATTATGTAATATTTTGATTTTGATGGTTAAAATTTAAATATAGACAATTTTTTATCAATTATTATGAGTGATATCTGAAAATGTAAATATTAGATATAATATTGTAATTATAAATTATATTCTTTTTCTTGTTATTATTATTATTTGATTGTGATCAAGTGAATTTCCAAAGAACGACTGGATCATTTCTTTAATTTTTCAATGAATTCTTAATAAAATGATCAAATATTTAAACCCTAGATATTATAGATTAAAAACCTTATCAATTGCTTTGCCAATTGCTTTATCAATTTGCTTTATCAATATTGTGTTGATTTGCTTTGATCTTCAAGTAGTATAATTTAATCTAATTTCTTACACGTTTCATCTTTTCCGAGATAATGAAATTCATTAAATTGATTGTCTGAAATAATCTTTTCCTTGGGGTTTTTCATAACTTTATAAAGAAATCATTAAGAGATAAAAAAATACTTGGTCACAAAAGTTAAGTAAATAAAAATAATAAACAATGTGACCAAAACTACGCAGCGCCATTAATAAAAATAATACGATGTGACCAAAACTACGCAGCGCCGTTTCTTTATTTACATAATACAGAGCAATACACTAAATGTATATCAAAATATTCATTAAATAACATTAAATAACATTAAAAAATATTAATCAAAATATACACTAAATTATTTTTGAATCCTTAAATGCCACGCGACCATAATAAATTTGAAATTATTTAATCATAAAGCATCGTTCGTTGTTCTCAAGACACTTCTAATTGTAATAATTGTAATTTAATTACATTATCTAGAATTAAGTTTGTACCATTCAAAGAGCGTTTTTTATTTTTTTTTTCTTTTAATTGATTGTTACATTCTATTTTGCCTTAAAAAAGTAATTAGTGAATATATGCAATTCGTAGCAAAGAAATAATGTAATAATTTACAATTTTCTAATTTTCTTTCTTTTTTTGCATAAGGCATGAATGAAGACTTTGTAAATTATACATTTTTGTAAATTACTGGGGCGTTTTGGCAGATTTTACTTGTTTATTTATAAAAATTTAACTGTGCTTGCGCCCTATTACATTATTACATTAAATACATTATTAAAGACTAAATTGTTATATGATTTCTTTTGAAGTATAGAGGGGGTTTTTTTTTTGTTCTCGATATATGTGATATCTGTGAAATGTGTGAAATGTGCGAAATATGAGAGATGTACGAGAATTTGTCGTTAAGGAATTAAAAATAATAAATTCGACGCGAAAAATACAAGTATAAAAAATATAGTTATCGGAATTAAAAAACTGTTTTTAATTTATATTAACTATAAATTAAAATTTAAAATTAATAAAAATATGTTTAAATAAAAAGTTTAAAATAACAATAATATTATTATTAATATCGCTATATATTTTACTTTATGCATTATGTAATGTTCTTTAAAATAATCTCGCTGAAATTTTTTTTCTTTGGTCAGTACAACTTCATAAGGTATCAGAATAAGTCTATAATTAAATTCATTTTCGACCTATTTCTAATTATTCATTTCAATATATCTTTCAATAATAAATAACAATAATTATACAGTATTAATGATTTATGCAATCTGCATGCAAATTTCCCGGCGAAATTTCTACTGCCTTATTTCATTTGCTGAAAAGGAACACAGAATAAAAATTCGGAATAAAGTTATGTAATTGGAATTGGTGTTTGTGCGTATTTCCATAATCTCAATTACCAAATCAAAGAAGCCTGAAAGAAAGATACGATAAATGTATCAAATTATTTTGCCTCTATTTTTGGTCATTGAAATGAATTGAATTTGTTCAAACGAAAAAAAAAAATGAATTTTAAATGTTTACCAATATCGTCTTAACAAATTTATTACATTGCCGATAATTTATTGTCTTAAAGTTATTAAATTTCGGAAATTGTGTTTATTATAAATATGATTATTATTATTGAATATAACAATTATCCTAGTTATAATGACAATAAGAAAATGTTTCACGTGTATTATTATTAAATTACATTATATTTCGTACATAATTACATGATGACAAAAATGATTAATGAAACAAAGTTTAATTAGGTTCTCATATATTTCCTTCGGAACAAATCTTTAAAAAGTAAATTTAATAATATTCAATTTCCTCTCCCATCAAATGTTTCTAATTAGAATAGCTCTAATGCAGTTCTGGATATGGTTAAAATGTTTACAAAATTTTTTTTTTTTTTTTTTTTTTTTTTTTTTTTGATACTGTATTACAACATTACCAATATTACCAAATCTTACAAATCTTACAAATACAAAATACAAGATTGATCTTACTAAATAATTTTAAAAATCACGTGTAATCTCAAAGTTTTTCGATATTCTTTGTTATATTTATTTGATCAAGAAAGGAAGAAATAATAAAATATTGATTTCTCATAAAAATCAAATTAAAGAAAACGTATATAATGTAAATTTTTGGCATTCTTCTGTAACTTTAACTCCTTTCTTTCAAAACAATCCCATTTTCAAACAATTTAAACCAATTCACGTCCATATTTAAAATTACAATAAAAAGATGTCATTCACGTGATGCATCCGGATATTAAAGATATAAATTAATAATTTTAGCAATGAAAATGAAATGATCTATAAAATGAATCAATTAAAGATGTAGTCATGCAACCAAAGGAGATGAGCTCTTATCTGTCACATTTAAACTTTATTTTTGCTTTATATTTGTGTAAACTTATTAAATGTATTGAATAATTAATAAAATTAAATATAAATATCATACGTACATAGAAAAAAAATCCAAATAACCAAAATTGAATCCAGTTTAAAAGAAATTTATTAGGACCGAATTTATGGCATGAATCTTTGCAGTTTTAACACAAGAAATGTTTTCCAAACCAAGATTGATTAAGCATGATTTGTCCTTTTACTTCTTTTACTTTATGAATTATCTTAATTTGAGATAATTGGCATTAGTTAATTAATCATTCGAAAATTAAAACGAAAATATTTATCTCTGAAAAAGAAAATTGTGATATAAAAGAGAGCATATAATATGAGTCAACAATTATTTTAATAATATTTTCCAAATTCGAATTCTTTAAAAATTTACTGGAAAAAAAGTCAATATTAAACACCGATTGTTAATGAAATTTTATTTAATACATATTTATTTGTTTTATCTTTTCTTTTTCTTGTCAATTATAGAAACCATAGTATAAAATAAAACTTTTCGAGTTCATTCTATTACCAATGAATATTCATTAACGCAGACTTACAGAGTTTACACAAACCTAAAACTAAAATGGAAGAAATTCATAACTACAATGAATTTATTCTTTCAGCATCTTTACAAAAAAAAAAAAAAAACCTTATGATTTCGCAGATTTATCCCACGAATGGTAGTTTAAATCTATAATAATTTGTACATTCAAAGAATAGCCAAATATATTAAAAATGTTCTAAAATAATTATTTAAATGAGTTTCCTCCGATTTTTAGATACTTTTTTTATAGAAGATATTACACTTGAAATATACAATGTCTTACTAAAGAACTTCAGATCCTGTTCTTTTATTCGTCATCATTCTCAAACTATTCTTGATTTGGATTTAATATAATCAAAAAAAATTGAATGAGTTTAAAAAAATGTTAAAATATAATAAAGTTATGAGTGTAAATAAATGTGGTCCAGACTCAGTTTTAATACGAAGATATATTTTTAGAAATTTTCACTAACAGTAATGTGTGTAAATACGTAGATCACGTGTGCGATATTATGCATGATGCAGAAACGCAAAGCACCGGGAATATTCAAATATTCCTTAAAAATTAATTATGGGGAAATACCATTTAACCAATAGTATTAGTTTAACAAAAAAGAAACCTTCTATATCAACGTATTCTCTAGGCCCATATTTTCATAATTTAGAAAATATTACTGAAACCAAAATTTAAATGTATTTACCAATATAAGTTGTCTTGTTAAGTTTTAAAAATCATTTATGATGTAATTATATAATTGAATCTAACTGAATGCTAATAATTGATTGAATGAAATTTATTCATTATGAAACCTTGAATGTAAATATATGCGTTGCATATCAATTGTCTGACAAATTTCTCGTATATCGTAATTGAAGAAAAATCGGACGGGAAGAAAAATATTATTTTGATTTCGTGTTCACAACCTTCATATAATAATAATGCATAACGATCAAGTTTGTAATCAAAAAAAAAATAAGATTATCAAATCCAGGATTTTTACATCATGTTTAATATAACGCGTTACTAAAAAAGGTATTCATAATAAGAAATCTTTTAAAAATTTTATTTACCAAAATGTATTTTCGAAACATGTATCGACATACAAATATTGAAACCACAAAAATAATTGTTAAATTGAGAAGCATACATTGGTACACGAAATTGATGACATTTTTTTCAATGCAAAATTATTGTGTTCGTAATTTATTAATGATTCTCGCGATTTTATTCATCTACCTTACAACAATGATTATTATACTGAATCTATTTAAAAATAATTTAACACTAATCTTAGAATTATCATAGAAATCTAAGATTCAAGCTATACGCACATAAAAGTAAAAAGAAATTCAAGAGAAAATAATCGCAAGAAATTTAAACAAATCTTTTTATGAATGAAATATGAAAAAAAATTTTTTTTTTTATTTACCCCCGCCCCCCCAATCTCTATACAATGGAATGAAATCTATTTACAAATTCTGAATAAAGAGAAAAAAAAATATAAACTTCACTAAAAAATGCACTTTAGTAAATCAAACTAAATATGCTAAATATAAAGAAATCTATATTTGATATTTTTGCTTATTGTTTCTGCCTTGTTTCTGCCAGAAAAAAAAAAAAAGTTAAATAATTTTTTTTAAAAAAATTGAGATAGTTCAGATCCAGCGAACTTGTCGGAAAAATTCCCAGAGTTTACTGGCCTTGTTAACATCGATACGTAACAACTTTTGAGCATCGCTCTTTTTAAATGGTAAATTTCGTTGATTATATCTTTGAGCAGCAGAGATAAGTGTATGTTTTCCTGTTAAATATTGAACAGGGGTGAGACGTAGAACTGAAACTACTTGAGCTTCTGCTGGATGAAGAGAATCGTAATGTGGTAAATGAGAGATTGATAGAGGCTGTCCTTTCCACGTAATGGCTGAATCAATTGTATCCAAGACTTTGGTGTCAAGGTCAAGAGCTTTGATGTTAGTAATTAATTCATCGAATTGCATAGGTGGTGGTGGTGGTATACGAACTGACTTTATATCGTTAGAAGTAATATTGGAATTAAAAACTGATTCTAAAAGTCCACGATCTGCCATTACTCTAGCCAAACTGTTTCCTTTTCGTTTGCGATGAGGAGAAGATGCACCCAAACGTTTAGAAACAACTTGTTTGGTACGTTGTTGTTTCTTCTGATATGATCGACAAATTGGAATTGTTGTTGACTCGTGAATAGAATCTCTCAAATCATCTATAGAAGGAGGAGTTGAAGGACTAGATGCACAAGAAAGTTGTGATTCGGAAGGAGATGAGACAGAAGAATTATCGCTGATTAAAGATAATTTAAATTCAAAATCATCATTATCACTGTTGTTGCCACGTAAGATGTTCATTGGATCCGTCAAGTTAGGAGAAGTAATTGAAGGAGAACGAATAGGATATGGATTTTTGCGAACGTTTCGATGTCTACCAGAGACAAGTTTTTGATTAGAAGTATCTTCAGTACTAATGTTCATTGCAGTATTGAATAAATTATTGTTTTGTTCATATGTAGATGATTTATAACTTTTCAAAGAAAATCTGATCAAATCAGAGGAAAGACTTTTGGTTGGTGAAAGTATTGATTTTGATATTTCTATGTATTCCAAAAGTTCAGATGGAGCATCAGATAAACGCATTCTATATCTGCTTTGTTTTAATGAAGAAGTATTAAGTGGCTCATAAGATGTTGATGGTGAAGAAGGTTGAGATATAGCAAGAGCATCACTAATTTGAAAAGGCGGTGAAGGTGGTGGTGAAGGTAAAACAGGAGAATAATTTTTTTCTCCGAAATAAATTGGAATCTGTTTATTGGATAGAAACATGTTAGAGGAAATCATTTTTTTATGTTTAAAAAATATATATAGTAAAATTAAATTTTCTAATTTTTGAAATAATGTTTTTTTTTTTAAATTGTTATTTTTTTTTTGGGAAAAGTTGGCTTTATATATATAATTTGTAATTATCAAAGATCTGCATAATACACAAAATAAAGATATAAAAGATATAAAGATAGCATTCAAATATTTTTTTTAGAGAAAAAGAATAAAAAAAAATAATAAATCCAAATGTAAAGAATCTAGCCAATTAAAGGAATATATAAGAATTTAGTAGGAGATTCAATTAAATATTGCATAAATTACTTATTATATATAATTTATATAGTGATATTTATTTTATTGTAATCGAATTCAAATAGAAAAAAAAAATACAAGTAATTTTACAAGTAATTTCTTTTTTGGTTCAGGATTCATATAGTATATAATATTTTTCCCGCTATCCTTAATCGTCACATGCTTAAACTATTTTATATTTCGGCTGAATTATTGGTTCTCCTTTTTAGTTTTATCGGGAATTGCACCAAGAACATCAAAATTACTATGAAATTATGTAATAGCCTGCATGTATCTAATAAAAACACTGGAAAGAAATGTTTCATTTTCCGTATATTCGGTTTAAAATGAAATTAAGGAGGATCGGTAGTTTAATTATTGTCTCAATTTCTGTTTAATAAATATAAATTTTTGGTCTAGCAGGGAATTTTTTGAATTTTTTGGTTGGTTCACCACAAAAACAATCCCATTTTTTTTATTCCTTTAAATGAAACATTTTAAGCTCATTACATTTAGGAAATGAAATTAAATTTTAAAGTAATATTTTTGATGTATATTGTGTATAATGTTATGGTATCAAGTTTTGAATCTTTCGGAGATTAGATTCTGCGCCATATTATTAATACGTTATACAGGTGTTAACTGTGATCAATTAGTTCAAATTTCCACCGATTTTTTCGATAGAATGAATTTCTATTTTAAAATTTTTTTAATTTTTTACAAAGAATTTAACTCGGTAAACCATTTTTAATTTGTGTTAAAAAAAAATAAATGTTTCTTTGTATAAAATTTATTAAACCAAAGGTGGACTAAAGAATAGCATTAATAAAGAAATTACATTTATCAATTAGATCAAGGTATTATGCGCATTATGCGAATTGTACCATTAATTGTTAATTAAACTTCACCATCGATTAATTAAGAAACTTAATTTTAATATGATCATTACTTTAAATACATTATCTCATTAATTAAGGTTAAAATTCACTGGTATTATATTCATTATTAAGCATTGAAAAAAAAAACAGTTTTTTTAGCAATACTCGTATTTTTCAAAGCCTTTATTGTAAATTTCTACTATGAATTCTATCATTAAAATCTATGGTTTTAATATTAACTAATATTAACTTGAAAAAAAGTTGTTAGAATGTTTTGAAAGTTAGAAATTTATTCGCGTTTTTGAGTCACGATCAAAATTATGCGTAGTTTTAAAAATTATGGAAATTATGCCAAGAATTTATAAATATAAGATTTGTCATGTGATTTTCGTCGCGAATTGATATCGAAAAAGCTAATTTAAAATAAAAAATATTTTCTAATCTTATTAATTAAGAGTTTTGAATTTCCATTTCTATTAGATAAAGGTTATCATAAACTATTTAATTTTAAACTTTAAATAATTTTATTTGTTTTCGTTTAAAAATTATTCTGCTAATTTTTCAACTTTATTAATAATATTCATTTTTTTTTAATTCTAATTTAAAACACAATAAATATAATTCAATAACTGAACATCTAAAAATCAAAATTATAATTTATAATAATAAACTTTTTAAATATTGATTAGAGTTTTTAGCGTAACATTATTTATATATCTTATGTAAACGAGAGATTTTGAATATATAAAATTAAATACAAATTTAACTGATTGCCATCCTGAGTCGTGAAATTCATGTATGTATGCTTAATTTGCAATAAGTAAACCAGAGGTAAGGCCTCACTTTGGCTGTTAAAAAAACCGATTGCTAACATTCATGGTTGGTTGCAAATCGAAAATAGAAATAAATTTCGGCCAAAATTATGAATACAAATTTTGCCGAAATTTGATTTTTGTTGAGTTTATGTTGGCTGAAATTTACCAAAATTTCAAATAGCCGAATAAAAAAAAATGTAAAACTAAAAGAAAAAGCTACTACAATATCAACTTCCAATACATATTTTAAGATGATTTATGCTAACCAAAAAAAAATTTCCTTGGTCAGTAACATATATAGTGCCTTTAACGGTCCGGCTTGTGACAGATAATCCGCAGACTCCATAGCGGCTATCCGTGAAAAAATTCAATAAATCCGGCCCGGGACGGCTTTTCGGAAAAACGACCCGTTCGGCCCCCGGATATCAGAATATGAAATTACGGGATTTGCAGATATCCGTTATCATAAAATGTATTGACTAAAAATGTCCCTAAGGCCAGAAAACCTTTAAATTTTGGCTCAAGAAAGTGGAACATAATAAAGGCAGCCAGTAAACAAGAAAAAAATAAATTTTATATGTCGTTATCTGCTATTAAAAAAATCCGTTCACAACCCTCTCCAGATTTTGTATCTATGGATCGGACCACTAGAACTCTGATGGGATTCTATTACTTTCCAAGTCAAACCGATAACTTTAAACTATCAAGTCGAACTCTGTCGGTCCTATTCGGTCCAGCTCGGCTTATCTCGACTTAACAAACATTATCAAAAATGAGGAATTTGTAAATTCAATAACAAAATGCAATGCCACATAATTGTCTTCCAAATTTTTGGAAAACAAGATTAATGGAAACATCCTTCGTTGGAATTAAAAGAGAATCTTCTATAAAATTTTTTTAACATAATAATTAATAAATATTCAGATCCTTTTGCAAATAAACAGTTTCCAATGCTGAATCAGAGAGTAGCGAAAATAACTGTACGAGAATACAAGAATATAAGAGTATGACATGAGAATTTCTTCCCTCACATATAACTCTTTCGATATACTATTTTTAATCATTTAACTCATGGAAGATCACACATCGGAAGAATTATATTTCACATGATCTGGGTTCACAATCCATTTTTTTTTCTTGTAGAACTTTTACTAACAATCTTAATAATCTCGGAATAATCTTGAAGAATAATATTAATATCAATATTGCATAGAAAGTATTATATTCATTGTCTGTACTTAAAAACTTGATTATTACACAATATTTAAAATTGATAAATTTTCTTTAATATTTAAACTTTATTTTTTACGCCAAACATTCTTTTACATTCTTAGAGAAAATTACAACAAAATACAATGCTTAAACTAGAAACTTTCTTCGCGATCAATGAAAATATTCAATATTATTGGTGAATAAATATCTATTCTTTGTAAATACAAAATATTTTTGTTGATTCTTAATGAAACAGTTAATGAAACGGTTCTATCAATTTAATTATCTTTACTTGGTTTTTTATATACATATATATATTGAAATAAGATGTTTCCTGAGAATTGAATTCGTGACATCTTTTAAAAGTTCATGCATAAATTAAATGAAATTAAATTAATGTAAATTTAAAATATAAATTAAACATAAATTATAAATGAACATTTGTGAAATCACTTTAGCACTTTATTTTTTTATCACAAATTTATTTCTAAATGAACCCATAATTATCTTAAATATTAACAACTCCTCTTGTTCTTTTATTTTGGAAAACAAGAAATGAAAATAATAATTTATTTGCATTTTAACTAGCATATATACATCACATTTAACATTTATGCTATTTGATATCATTAGATATTAAGGGGAACTTCTAATGTAACCTTTTATATTAATCATGAGATCGTTGAAAACCTTTAAATATTCAATATTTAATAATAATAAATGGAAAATAGAGCATATTAAATATACTAAATTGTAATTTAATTAATTTAATTTATTCGGTAAAACTTTGATTTCGGAGATCACTATTACGCGTTGTCCGTAGCTAAAAATAGTATTAAAAAAAAATGCTTTATGCCTTTCTTACGTATATGATTAGTAATCTAGGCAAGGAAGATAAAATAATCACTGCGATTACTTCCTATATAAGTTTATCCTTTAAGAAAAGAAATTTCCTTATTTTATTTGTTTTATTTCTTTTATAAGATGATACCACGTTTTGGAGTCTAATGTCTGATGATGTTCTGTGCAACATGAGTGATCTTTTGTCACGTTAATATGCACAAATGTACAATAAAAATTGGAAAACAATATAAAGCAATATAAAGCAATATATATTAAGTGCATTATCTTTTGACAGATATATTAAGCTAGGGATCAGATCAAAAAATAAAAATATTAATTAACCGTTAAATTAAATTAAGTTAGTAAATGTTTATTATAATACTCATTATTATTTATAGCATTTATGACATAAATTTTCGCAATTTTTTAATGCATTCGAAATTTGAATTTTTATTGATTTGAATTTTTACAATTTTTTTTTTTTCAAATGAAAGTAAATGAAAGACTAAAAAATCTTAAAAGAATATCTAAAGAAAACTACTTTTCAAAAATTTCTATTACAGATATAATATCTATCTAAAATATTACATCAGAAATAAATAAAAGATTCATTTTACAGTGTATTGTTATCTATAATAAATTATTAAAAGCTTACTGCACTAAGTCTCTTTTTATTATTTCTTGCTATGCTAATATCAGCACAATTTAAATATAATTCTTTGGTAAGTAAAGCTTCCCATTTAAAGCGGAGGGTACCTCTAGCGCAACTAGTCGCAGGTAATGTAACCGTAGTTGTAAATGTACCAGTAGAATCAGCGCAATTTGGGAGAACTTGAAGATCTCTAAAATCGGAATCTGCTCCGGTGGTGGAAAGTTGAATATAACAAGTACCACGATGAGCAGCAGTAATTGTCCATTGAATAGTGGCGGTTTGTCCAGTTCTGTAAGTAGTTAATATTTCACCCGGTGGAAGTCCTGCACATGGTTCGTTTCTGGTTGGACCATTTGCAAGAGTGAATCCGTTACCTGAATCACCGGGAGCAAGTCTGATTTGGGGTTCTAACATACGACCGTGAGCTGAGACATTATCAACAAAAAGGAGTAAGGCGATTAAGGTGAAAATAAGAACGATCGTGCTGTTTTTTGAAATCATTTTGAATTTTTGAATATTTGGAAAATGGTATATATGTATTATTTTTTTTCGAAAATTTGACTAGCAAAATTTCAGATGTTAATAAATATTAATAAATTCGAAGCACAGCTTCAGAAAGATGAAAAGTAAGGATGCTTTTGATAATTCTTTTAAGATTCTTTTTTTTTTTTTTTCTTATCAAAAGAAAAAAAAATTTAATGATTGTGTTTGAATTGAATTTCAGAATTGAGAATTCGAAGGGGGTTTTTATAACTTCGATTCATCATATTAAATTTTTAAAATTCTTAAGTGACTTCTATAGTTCAAATAATGACATGGACAATAATGGTAATAATTAAAGAATAATACCATAAATGATGATGAAACGATTAAACGGTTAGGGAATTCGTTTTTCATTTAAAAGATCAACACCTTTTGTTGAACCAAAAAATTTTAATAGGTCAATTTCGATGATCTGCCAATAAATTTGTACATATTATTACACTAAATTGGTATTATATGAAATTGAATTCCTTTGTTTGAAGTGCGAAGTAATTTTTTCATGAACTTTTTTTGAATTTTTTTGCCTAAAATTATCTTGTAACCTGTTTCATTAGGTTTGGCAACTTAAAATAATTACTTGCTTTGAACTTTGCGTTCGTAAAATTGCCAAAATATTAAGTGAAGGCCGTTTCAGATTAAGTAGATTAAGTAGATTAAGTTTCATATGTTCTAAAATAAAGAAACCACCAACGACACTCGACAATTTAAGTCTCTTGATGTTGAACCATTCAAATATATGATGAAAAGATAGAAATCGTGATACTAGTTGCTAATAATACATAGATTTTTGTGCGTGCTAATAATACATATATTTTCGTGCGTGCTAATAATACATATATTTTCATGTGTGATGATAATATATATATTTTCGTGTGTGAAGATAATACATTTAGTGCATTGTTTTAATATCTATTTATTTTTAGTAAAATTTTAGTAATATAATAACGAATTTGAAAAAAAAAAATGGTCACGAGGACATGAATGATCTACTGTACAGACTTGTGCCGATTTACAATAAAATGCAAATTTATTATTTTTGTAGTTGCAATAAATTTTTAATTACAATTATATGAATTATTGATAAATTAAAAATGAATTAAAAATTAAGTAAGCGGTGTTTTATTTTCTAATGAAGTAAAGTAATAAAATTAAAGTTATTAAAGTTGAAATCAATTATAGTAAAATGGATCAAAGTTTTAAAGTTTTGTTGTTTTTTTTTCCGAAATGTTCAAAATGGGCTAATTGATGTTGAGAGAATTAATGTTTAAAATTATTAAAGTTGTTGGTTCCCTTGTTTTTTTTGGCATCACTTTTTTGCACTTAATTATTTGTAATATCTTGATAAAAAAATTTATTTAATGATTGGTGCATTTTGTTTCTTCCCTTCAAATCGTAATCATATGATCATATGATCATGTTCTTGCGTGGTTTTATTTTTAATGCATAAACTAAAACTTATTATGCTAATAAATATTGTTCTTGTTTCCCTCATTCACCGTTCCCAGATAAATGTGATGGCCTGGGCTTTTTTGTTTATATTAAATATCTCCGAAAAGTTTCATGCGCATTTATAAAACGTAATCTAATTTTTATGCACATAATATACCATTTTATTTTTTTTCTATTGCGTGATAATTTGCGTGAGAATCTAAAACAATCAAGATATTGTCTTTTGCCATGAGTTTTACTAATTTTTAAAATCCATGTTATACCCTTGAATATACTGAACAATGAATACAATAAATGTAATTGTTAGATGCACATTGTAACCATATATATTGTTAGAATCAAATTTCATGTGACTATCAAAATTCCAATTTTTTAAAAAATCGATGATATTTAGATTTACGAAAAAATTCATGAAATAAATATCATAACATTTAGACATTTACAAAATTATAGATGCAAGAAATGCTATTTTCCAATAAATCTTTAATATCATGATCAAATATTACATTCAAAATATCAAAAAATCATTAAATATTTGGAACAAATTTGGTATGATTTGTGGCTTGATATCAAAATTTGTACAATCAATGTACCACGGGCTAATCCGAATCAAGCACGGCCATTGTCATTGTCAACGACATCATAAGACGCCACACAATAAGTAACCATTTATGTTATATATGATCCAATCATGCATATTTTATTGTTTTATTATTTTATTATTTTTATTTCTATCAATAGTATAAAAGTAGCCGCCATTCAGCATGGAAAGAATTTCTTTTGTAAGCAGAATTAAAAAAAAAAATTTTCATATATTATTTTCTGAATTTGTCGATTTATTAATCCGCCGAACTTCTGAAATTAGGCATGGCGTACTATCCTATACAACTAAATCCGGCATTCTAAATCCAGCAATTGATCTCGGGAATGAATATGATCTTTTTAGACATGGGTTAGCCACTAACTAACAAAAAAAAAAAAATTTCTTAATAAACCCAAGAATGTATATAGAATATATACTAAATGTGATGTCAAAAAATGTTACCTAAACTTAATAAATACCGCAGGAAAATAAATTGAAAAAAAAAGATTTAAATTTTAAAATTTAAATATTTGAAAAAAAAGGGAGAGATAATTGTGCCTGTCCAGTAGATTTGATTGAGAAACACGGAGAATAACAATATATTTAATATTTTCTTTTGTTTCCATATTTCTATTGCTTTATTATTTCAATCAAAATATCTTTAAAAAGATAAAGTTTAATGGTGATTATAAATCAATTATATTGTTTCTTAATAAATAAGAGAATTCTTTTGATAAATGCTAAATTAATTTGCATTCAATATATACTTTATTGGTAAAAGAAGGAGTAATATAATATTTTTTAAATAAAAAAAAAAACAAACGTTCTAAAAATACGTGAAGTTAATCAACAATTTAATTAATGTGATTATTTATAGGTAAGGTGACAAATTTTTTTATGAAGTGTAATACATAATTATAGAAGTTGTACAGCATATCCAAATAAAACCTTTAATAAAAAAAAATTTTTTACTTTATTATAAATTTTTTTATAAATACATAGTCGAGTTAAAGTTCTTTATAGACATTTTGAGTTTACAAAAAATTTTCACCATCTTTCTTCAATTTTGGGACGGTTACTACACCCACTTTATTCATAACTAGCAGAGAACAATTAACCAACTAAACCCACCCCAGTTTGTCAAAGACAAAACCCCCTTACATAATAACCGTTTGGCTACTTTTTGTGGTTGGAGAATTAATAAGAATTAGCCGTCCAAGTCTCCTACTTTCATTGAGTCAGATAATAACCAACATTATCTTATACATTCTTTTTTATTTTTAAAAATTTTTTTTCTTTCTTTTTGTTAATTTTTATAATCAAAAAAAAAAAAAGAATAATGGACGTTGAAGCGAAGAGAAAATTTTGTGGGCTTTTGATGTTTGATGTACCAACAGTAACTAATAAAACATCAAGAAACAATGAAGTTAATGATATACCGTCAACGCGGGATGTTGACCTTTCCACATTAAATAATCAAAATTATGATTCTCGTAATTCAGATATATGTAATCAGTTCATATCACAAGATTGCATCTTACGTTCTCCTGATTTTAATAAATCATCAGGTATTGTTTTATCTGCTGGTGCAGCAATTGGTAATGATCAAATTACAACTAATTCAACGAATGTTAATAATATCGATGAAACATCTGGAAAAATACAAAAGAGAACACCAAGACCGCCAAACGCATTTATTTTATATCGTAGAGCTAAACAACCTGCGATCATTGCAGCTCATAGGCATCTTACAAATGCTGAAGTTTCAAGACAAATTTCAGATATGTGGAAAAGTGAACCTGAAGAAGTTCGTTTAGAATGGGAAAGATACGCTGATCGAAAGAAACTTGAACACATGCAAACTTATCCAAATTATGTGTATCGTCCCAATAAGAGCAAAACTAAAGTCGATAAAAGACGACAACGAAAGCAGACAAAAGATTTTTCCACCCCTTCTCCTAATACAAATGACATTAATGATAATTTGACTTCTACCAATACAGATAATTTTTCTGGTCCAGTAAGAAGGAAATCCACAAGGAATGCATCAAATAAAACAATATCTGGAAAAAGCATTGATTCAGCAGTCTCACAATCAACAATGAATAATGGATTCAATATGCAATCATCTTCATCTATCAATATGTCTAATCCAAATTCACGTAATAATAATATGCAATCAACGCCTTCATATGATATTTCGAATCCGGAAATTCCTTTGTTGACATCTCATTTTACAGATAACCCTGAGGAATTCGTTAATCCATCTGATCAAATGCAGTTGCGTGAAAACGAGTTCAATAAAATTCGTCAACAACGATATGATAATTCAATTTTACGTTATGAAGATTTGCAACAACAACAACACCATCAACAACAACAACAACAACAACAACATCCTCATCATCAAAGTAATGCTTCCAATTTTCAATTCGCTTCTATTAATGGATTAACCTCTTTCCATCATGCTGCCAACGGATTTCCACATCATCAAACGGTCGACTCGTTAGAATATTGCTTCGTTCCCGATGTGGCACAACAGCAACAGCAGATGATAGCAGAAATGATGCTTCACCACGATCAACATCCTCATATCACACCTACTGGTTCCGTTTCATCAGTTTCATCAAACAGTTGCTCCCCAACTTCTATACAATATTTACCTCAAAGCAATGGAAACAATATTAGTCCTTCTAATAATTCTATTGTTAGTAACACTTCATTTGCTGATATGCTCGCGGGATTCGAGTATCCAAATTATATGGGTGGTTCAGTGAATCATCAACACATGGGTGATGGTGCATGTTCTCCAAATCAATACCTTCAATGAAAATATTTTCTCATTAATTCATATTGAGAAAGAAGAAAAAGAAAAAAAAATGATAAAAGAAGACAATATTATTTATTAAAAAAAAAATAAAAAAGGGGGGTTTCCTTTTCTTGGGTTTTATAATGGGTGTGAAAATTTTAATTTTAATTTTTTTATATATTTATATTATTTATTTTTAGTGAGGTTTTTTTTTTTTTATAAAGATGGGATTTTTAGGGTTGGGATATTCCTTTAGATGTAAATTTCTTTTTTATTTCTTCTTAACATTTCATTGGAAGAACCCTTTTTTTATTATTGTATACAATTTTATTTTTGTTAATTTTATTTTTGTTATTCAGAAATATTTCTTCTTTACAATTATTTCCCCACTTTTTTTTCTCTTCTCTACCTTGTAGCATACATCTTGATTTGGTTCGTGATATATATATATATGTATATGTATATGTTTATATATATATGTTGCGCCTCAGATCGGTTCTTGAATAAGATAAAACCGGCCAAAATTAGGGGTGAATATTAAAGTATCTACCGTTTAATGATTTGATGATCTGGGCCGTTTTTATAATTCTGGTCAATCGACAGCATCTGAGGTGCCTCAGCTCAGCTTTAATCTGAGTTATCTATATCATACAACAGACCTACTTTAAATATCTGAATATCGTGATTCATAATATTGTGAATTTGGAAAGAGGAGACAATTAAAATAATAATTGATAATTTAAGTATTCTTTTTTCTCCTGTTTCTCGATAAAAAAAAAATATACAAATATTCACACCTACGCTCGACATTGTGAAAAAAAAAAAGAAGATAACAGATTAAAATTTTCATATTCCTTATTATTATTATTATTATTATTATTATTATATAAGAATTTTTAATATTTAATGTATCGTTACAAATTTTTTAATTATTTTTACTTTATTTTTTTTTCTTAATTCCTTTCCCTAGTAATACTTCACAGTAATATTTCACTTTCATGATAGAAAAAAGTATAGAAATCAATTTCAAATTTAATAATAATAATTTAGTTATCGATTAACTTTTATATATAATTATATTTATTTTTCCACCCATAAAATAGAACATTTTTGTTAGAAAATGGTTAAGTTATCATCTGTTCGTTTCTTTGACAAACAAAACAATTCTTTCTTTTTTGATATTAGAAGAGAATTAAAATAAAAGTTTGGGGTCAATTGTTGGTTTTTTGTTCTCTCTAAAAAATTTCGTAAAATTATTAATTGTATTGTTATCAATTGTCTTAGTGTCGTTGTGCGTTGGCGCATAATCTGCGTGAATGTGATAATGAAATTAAAATAATAAAGTGATATATTATTGACACTGGATAAAAACATCCCCGAGTCATGTGGCACATAAAATAAATATTCTATTTAAAACTTGTTTGAGATAATCAACCGAGTAAATAAATAAATAACTAACTATTGTTAATGACGGAGTTTTTTTCACAGTAACCTTTTGATTATTTTTATTGGTAATGTAATGAGTCTCGACTACAAAATGCAAAGAAACCTTAAATTATAATGATGTTTGCTCTAAATGCAAAAGAATGAATTCATGTTTAACAAAGAACGAATTCTATTATAAGATTCAAAATATAATACAACTTAATATATCGGAGTGGGTACATGTTACATGGTGGTAAAACGCATTATAAATAAAGTAGAACATAGATTGTGTTTGATAATATGAATGCTATCTTGTGTAAGGAAGTTAATAAGGAGTTAAAGTTGACTGTGTTAGGAAATTTTGTTTGAATTAAAAACGAATTGGAACAAAGAAATTCTCAAAAACCCGCGAAAATCCCGCGTGCGTGCCATAATATAAACAGAAATTCGGAGATTTGATTAATTGGGACAAAATATGTTTGATTATCATATTATCTTTGATAACATAATGTAAAATAAAAATATTATTCATCAACGAACAATGAACATTATTTTATAATTTTGCTTATGAGAAATATTATATTATAATTTTTTTCTTTGTTGTAATTCTGATACATATTGTTCTTTTCTCCACGATTACAAGTTGTTACAAACAAGATCTGAGTTAGCCTAGCATAAATAAACTGAAAGAGTTATTACAATTGTTCCCTTCTAAATATTACATAATTTGAATTTAGTATTTTTTTTTTTCGATTCTTTCCTGTTTTTTTGTTTATTTAAAAATATTACATGTAAATATAATAGTGGTAAGTGGTATCTCTTTCATAAATTTCCATCTTTTTAAAATCCCAATATTTATTAATACTATTAATACTTAATTGCATTCAATGGTCTATTTTTGTTTAAATCTTTAAATCCTTATATCTTTTAATACAATTCATTTATATTCTTAGACAGTTATTCATTTCCATATACTTGATCAAGGTCTTATTACATGTATATGGGAAAGCTATAAAAAAATTAAAGATGTGTAATTCCATGTGATTAATAGCGATTTATAAAGAATGTAAAAGTTTTGGAATAAAGACAGTAATATATAGGTTTTTTTTTTTTTTTAACTAGAACTGTATTAATTCTTTAGCTGTTATTTCATCCACTTATCTTTAGAAATGTGAAATAAACTCAGTATTTAATGTATAAATGTTGCCCAAATCCCAAATTCATAGTATTTGGGATTTCGGCATTTGAAATTTGAATTAGGGTGACAAGTATAATTTAATTCGATTAGCATATTACCATTTCCATCACTATTATATATATTTTTATCATCCTGAATTGTGTTATATTTGGGATGTAAATTTTTATTTTATGTTTAAAATTGTTGAGAGAAGCTTTTTTTTTATTAATAGATCTTATATAAATATTATTTCCAACATGTATTGAAATAATATTGGATAAACTTCAATTTCAAACCTTTTTCTTGAGATATTCGAATGAGATGTTCGAATGAAATGTTTTATAAAAGGTTATTAATATTATTCTTCATTTTCTAAATAATAATATTTATTATAATAATATTATCAGTATATTTGATAAGCAGTTCCAGAGACGATTAAATAATTTTAAATTTAAAATAAAAATAAAATAAAAAATAGAATATATTAAATCTTACGGTTTATTCGAGAAAATTCTTTATCCAAAAGTTGACCAGATAAAGTAGAATACGATGGAGGTATATACTCAGGATTTAATTCATGCATAAAATCAATCATAAAGGGATTTTCTACGTCTTTAAAAGGAATTCCTGTCATAATGAAAGCTCTAATTAAAGATTGATCTATTTGTTCTTTAGTTGCAGGTGGTCGTTCTTCATTAGAATTAAAATAATTAAAATGATCATTAATAGGTATTGTTTTTGATAAATGTTCAAAAATTAATTTTTTTTTCCAATATTTTCTAATCTTTTCTGGACATTTCAAACATTCCTTTGCAAGATGCGCCTTAAGTTTTGCTGATTTTTCTCTTGACCAAGATTCTTTGCAATGATAACATTCAGCTGAATAATGACCATCAGATGTTTCCTTTTTTTTATTATAATATTTCCATATCTCATCAGCTTTTGGACCGGGACCGCCTTTATTTAATTTTGTTTTTTTTTTTGAACGTGATTATTATTTTCAATAATGGAAGAATTATTTATTAAAGAGATATTATTGGAATCATGGGAAATGGGAGAAATAACATCTGAATAGGAAATAGGTAAATCATTATTACCTTGTAGATTCTCATGGTAAAGAGTTATTTCGCGTGAACATTAATCATTTTATTTCACGCGATTTTATTGATTATCAATTGATCTACAATCAACAGGAAATTTACTGCGGAAATTTTTATGGCATAAAAATTCCGGAAATTTGCGCAGGCTCCTGGAAAACCATTACATATTTTTGACCAGATCTTGTACATCTTTTATTATATATGATATATATAGATTGCCAGGACTATAACAAAAGTAGATACTTTAATTTCAGGTTGACAACTTTAATTTCAGGTTACAACTTCAGGTAGTTACTTCAGATCAGATATTAAAAATGGAAAGTTATGAAATTAACTCTTTAAGGATGTTAAGAAAATTGTATTATCTAAATGTATCTACATTAACTCTATCCTTCAATAAACCAACAAGTATTTCCATGACTTTTTTCACATCTTGTCGAAGTTTTGAATCATCCTTCAAAGGCATCTTTTTCAATTTCAATATGATATCCTTTTTCCTATACGATAAAAATTTTTCTGAAGTAAACGAAATAAACATCATTCTATTGCTAGCAGTGATAATTTGAAATCATGATATATATCAGTCTACATGTGCTTAATATAATAGATATTTATGGAAAAAATCAATTTGTACCTGTAGTAATGATTCCATAAAGGTATTCGAATTCATTATCAAATACCTTTAGCTTTTTTTTGAATTTTGCTTGATAAGAAATTGTAAGTTGCAAAAAATTTCGTCCAAATCCTATTTCAATATCTTTTTGTTTTGTTTTAGTTATGGTCATCAATTCTTCATTCCCGGTATCTTTGACTTTCTTAATTGCATAATCAACTTGACCTGTTTTTTCATTACCAGTTATTTCAAACTGGCGACATATTTCTTTTTTAGTAATTCTCATAGCAATTAAGATAGATGTGTCCAATATTGAAGAAATGTAATGGCATCGCTCAGCAGAATTACAGTCTGATGTTGTTGGACCATAGAGTCTTATTTTTAGGTTTCAACTCACTTATACACTGTTAAAACTCTTAATCATTGTCATCAATTTTTCAACAATTTCTATGAAAAATGAATAGTTTTAAAATTATGCTCCTCTAATAAAAAAAAAATGCCCGACTCTCTTAAAACATTTACCTGGTTTGAATGGTAAAATCCAATTCATGTGAGCTTCATCGTATCCGAACTTGTTAAAAACCTCTTTAGCATCTTTCTTAGTCATGCAATGCTGAAAATCTTCTTAATTTATTTTTACTTAGTCCCTTGGAGAGAATTATTGCAGGCCCACCCGGCATTCATAACTGCGAAATTCATCTGAAGTAGTCGTGAGAAAAACAAGTTCGGTGATCTACTCCTTTCGTAAAATTTCAAGATCCTTCCAAGACGGTTTCCTTCTGTAAGTATTTAATAAATTCCTCTGTATCCCAAGTTCGTACGATTTCAGTCATAGCCACCAATTTTTGAGGTTTCGGGTCTATTATTTTCGGAGTAAGCGATATGTTGTTCCAATGAGGTTCTGAAAAATCGTCTTAAAAGTTATTAAGACTATATGATAATTTCTGAGATCTAGCTTATCAGTCACTTGATTTCTGATTTTTGAGATGAATTTTTTATTTGTTGAAAATCAATTTGTCACATTTTATATTCGTCTTTGACAAATAATCAATTAAATTAATCCATTAATTAGTTCAAAGTAAATAATTAAACAACACTTTCTTTACTTATCGGAGTTCAATAAAAGGCCATCAAACATTTTGATTAAAGCAAAATAAAAAATATATATATTCAATATAAAATAAAATTTCTTTGAAACATTTTAATAGACAAAAAAAGAGAAAATAAAAAATTCTTTGATAAAACATTTAAATTGAACTAGTATTGTTATAATATTTTATGATAATTGTTATAAAAATTCAGTAAATCTAGTAAATCGTATAGATTGTATTTATTCTTCATCGTCATCATCGTCATCATCTTCTTCCGCTTCTTCCAACCATTTTGCAAACGGTTTTGCTTTATTACGAATATCCTGATTAGTTTCGGAATCAACAAATTCAACAGTACCAACCCGTTTAAAGAGGCGTTGATAGTTTGATGAATTATTGCCTTCAATCCAAACTGTAAAAACTTCTTCATCGAGTAAATCATTCTGATAGTATCCCATTAAAATTCCACAAATGACTTTACTTTCTAATAATCCTTTGTTTTTCAAAATGAGCTCTTCAGTAGCACCCAATAAAGTCCTCTGATCATCAGGATCAGTTACAAACTAATTTATAATTAAAAAAAAAAAAAAAATTAGATCTAAAATTAAATAAATCAAATAACTAATAAAATAAAAAAAATAAAAACCTTTTTAAATAATTTGGCCTTTTTTGAAACTTGTTTAGCGATTGCATCTGCATTTTTCTGATTTTTCTGAAAATTTTCGGCGAAAAGACCAATTACAAGATGTTTCATAATTTGATCGGAATCCTTAGAAATACCAAGTTCTTTAATTTTCTTATAAATTTCATTGTTGGTAGAACCAGGGTTTTCTTCTAACCATTCATTGAATTCATCATACGGATTATCTTCATCAAGATCAGCGAGGACTAATGTAGTACGGACATTATCTTCTAAATCTTTCATACGTTTTGCGACAGCTTCAGCAGAAGTATCAACAGCCCAATCATCATCATCTACATGATAATTGGAAGCAGGAAGTTCGCTGGCTTCAGCTTGAATACGTTTAGTTAAATCATCATCTGATCCTTCTTCTGTCACAGGAGATGGTGGATTCTCGCCATCTTCAGTCGACTTCTTATTGCTATTTCTCCTGTCCTTCTTGCCATTTTTTCCCTTAGGCGGAGAAGGTGGATTTTTCAGAATGTATGTAACAAGTTTGTGGCGCATATCAACTTCGGTTCTTTGACCACAGGCTTTGCAATCACGGATGATTTTCTGAGAATTACCCTTTCCGGTAATAATCTATGATAAATTAATAATACATCATATAATATATGTCAATATAATGTATAATATATCAACATTTAATGACATATCAATAATATATAATCTACCAAATCAGTTTCGGGGTTACTACAACCAGCACATAAAACAAATTTTTTGATAAAGATATCGAGCAATTCTTGAAGTCTGGGAGCGTCATGTGCCCCATTCACAATGTAACGATCATTTTTCTCGTCACATTTAACTTGAGCTCCAAGCTCACATCCAAAGAATTTGGTAGGATCTATTATTAAAGAGAACAATTTACAATGATTAAAATTATTTTTTTTAAAAAAAAAAAAAAAAAAAAAAAAAAAAACGCAAACAATAAATAACAACGACTTACAAGTTGGTGGACGACTCAAAGAACGTGCAATATCGGGCATATTTGGGACAACGGTCTTAATTCCATTGCCTTTGCCTTCGATCTATGAATTCAAAAATTAGAAAAAAAAATTTTTTTTTTTTTAGAAATATATTATGTTCAATGGACTTTTTTGGACAATTTTAATTCAGACAATCCATCATATAATATAACACCAGAGAAAAAATAATTAATCAATTTACCTTTGAAATAAGCTTGGGCATTTTATACCGGTAAAAACGATCTTGAGTGTTACCTCCGATATTAATGGTATCCATGATTGCAAATCTTAGATTTTATAACGCTAATTATACGAAAGTAGCGGAAAAAGTTGCAAAAAAATATTGGGAAGTATTCTAGTGTATATAGCGTCTAGGTTTCTAAATATTCTAAACTTTTTATTATACTCTCTTAAGTCATTGACTTCTTACGTTTATGTTTTTGAGAACGCTTTCTATAAATGTGTTGACACTGCTTTTGATGTTGTCTGTTTTCAAGTGATGGACAAAACATGAAGCGGTTGGTTGGCAATTCTTTTAAAGGAAAATAATTCGGGACTGATATAAAGCTTTCTCTGGTTCAATAAAAGCAAGTTAAAAGACAGAAAACAAAGAGGTAAACTTTTCCCTTTGGGCTGTCAAGACAGAAAACCTTGTCTATAAAAATGAAAAAAAAAATTTTTTTGTCAAAAAAAAAATTTAATTGATTAAATAGATTACACAATATTTTTTTTTTTTTGAGCCAATCATATGACGGATATAACAAAACGGCCACTATTACTGTATTATTATATTATTACTAATAAAAAATTATTCATGGTGAAAAAGTGTAAGACGGGTTTTTTTGCATTTTTACATTGATAAAATGGTTAAAAGATTTTTTTACTTATGGCTTTGATTTCCTTTAAGATTATTGCGACTATTGCGATCGATCTTTCCCTGACAACATTGAAGCTAGACGAAAACACTTAGAAGGAACACAACATAAAAATAAAGTTAAACAACATTATGATTCTTTTAAAGGTAAAACAGAAATGTTAAATCAAATATCTTGAATTTATAATAAATCTGTTATAATTCCTTTAGATCCCGTCGAATTATTGATCGAGAATAGTAAAAAATCTCGTTGCCGTAAATTTTTTGAGTTTGGATATTGTCCATTTGGTCTAAGTTGTAAATATTCACATGTACCAGTTGGATTTGATTTTTCAATAATTGATCCTCATAGTAAGTTTTTTTTTTTTTTTTGAGCACTATTTTCATGAACTATTTTTTGTACTTTATTCATTATAATATAAAATGGATTGTGATTTTTTCAGTGTATTTGGCTCAAAATCCACACCTTTTACCACAACAAAATTTCCGAGGATCTACATCAAAAGAGAATACTATTAATACAAAAATGATTCAACCAAGACAACAACTTCCAATATTCAAGTATAAATTTCCTACAGGTTTCCCAAAAGATTTACCACCTTCGTTGAGACCTCCACCTTCAACTGGCTACGATTATTCTTCATGTTCTCAGTGGTGATTATGACAATATATTTGCGTATTTTTTAAATATATCCTTTGAACACAAAACTATTATAATGATTTTTACCATACGTGCTTCTAACGCTTGCAAAACAGTAAGTTTTTTTTTTTTTTTTGACGTGTTAAAAAATATGAGAAGATCAATGTACAAAAAAAAAAAAAATTTTAAATATTTTATTAAAATATACAGAATGTACAGAATATTTTATATTTACAAGAGAAAAATATAATAATAATTAATTAATACTTGAGTTATCCTACTAAAAAAAAAAATAAATAAAAAAGTGTATCTTATTCTACTTTCACTAGATCGAGTAAATTTCCCTTTGGTTGCTTCATTTCTTCAGGAAAATATTCTAAAAGTTTCTCAAAAAGTTCTGTCCTTGAATTAAATAAATCAATTGGTTCACCTGGAACTTTTTTTTAAAAAAAAATTTAGATATCAAATCATCCTTATTATATAACAAATAATAAATAATCAATCTTTTACCTGCTTTATGAAATAAGTTAGAAGTTAAACTCTGAAACTTTTTGCTTTCTGATTCATTTGAATGATCTACTACTTGAGAAAGTTGTATTCTAAGATATATAAGTGCTTTTATAGTATCACCTTCTAAACACATTTCTCGAAATCTATTTAAAATATATATATATATATATATTTACATTTGGATGGCGAAAGATTTAAAAGACAAATGAACTACTAAAATACCTTTGTATCCGGATTTGAAATTTGATATTTCTCAATATAACATCAGATTCAGGTCTATTAATGAAAAAAAAAATCAAAGAATAATGTTATAAAACATAATACAAAATCAAAGTTCGAAAAGAAAAGAAAAAAAAAATGTTTAATGCAATTTATTTAATTAAATATTTACCTTACTAAATGTAAAGCCCAAAAATCATTCAAACGTTGTTGTTTATCAACTTCAGTTTCAACTGTTCTTCCACCGAATAAATATTGAACTTTATGTACATCATCATAAACCATTTGATGTGCATATCGAGGACATGGTTCCATAATATTACCACTTTCCCAATACTGTACATTAAATGCATCACTTTGATATATTTTATTCCACTTGCCTTTGGGTAAATTATAAACCCACAATGAATTTTTAAAAATTCTTGATTTTTTATCTCTTTTGTCTTTAAGTCCTGAAAGAACAAAAAATTCTTGAGTATCCACATCAAACGTTGTACGTTGAGTGAATATGACTTCTTGCTCTTCCAAGATTGCATAATCAGCTGTAAGCTCGTGGATCATATCCGCGTGAATGTCGTAAATGAAAAAATCACTATAAATAAAAATAATTTTTAAATAAAATAAAAATAAATTACCAAAAAAAAAACAAACAAATGAAAATATGGAAAACGGGAAAAATATAGAATGATAATAAATGAAAGACCTTAAAAAAGAATAATCACGATCTCCCCCTATTATATATAACAATTTCTCATCCTGATCAAATAACATAGAATGTCCAATTCGAGATTTAAACTGAAGAAGATTATCTGATGGTTTATCATTAGACCTGAATTCATATAAAAATTAATTTAAAGGAATGCAAAATTAATCATTAATAAAAATAGAAATAGAAATAATTTAATTACCTTATTAATTTCCATTCATTTGTCTTTATATTATAAGTATACAAACCACTATAATTATAATGATCTGCAACCTTATGTATCGTTCGCCCACCAAATAAATACATCATTTGTGCCTTTGAATCAATACACATTTGATGACCATATATCAATTGAGGTCCTCCAACCGACTAATCATCAAAATTGTTTAAAAAAAAAAAGAAAGAAAGAAAGAAAGTTAAACATTTTAAATAATATATATATTTTTAAAGGAAAAAAACTGTACACTTTATCAAATAAAGAAAATACAATCCAACTCAACTATAATATTATCAGTTGCTTACAAATGTGTTTTCACAGAGAAGATTCCATTCATTCGTTTTTATGTTATAACGATAAAAATCCGAAGTGAAATTTTCATGCCCCCCGCGAATATCACCAATGAATCGACCCAAAATGTATAATTGCTTAGTACTGGGATCCAAACTCATTTTATGATTTGAACGAGGACTAGGTCCCCCTTGTCTAAAGTTATTTTAATTATTCCAAATTATTATTTAGTTATTTCAAGTTATGTAAAAAACTAACAAAAGAAATAAGAGAGATATATATATAAGAATCTTAGTAAATTAATAATATAAAAATGCTTACTCTCTTGTATCAGAACTAATGAGCTTCCATTTATTATTATTTATAACATAAACCCAAAAATCTGATAAATTCTTATTTCCATCCCAGCCACCCAGTAAATAAATGTGACCAGCCTGAATTAAGAAATTATTCATTAATTTGGATATAAAATAAATAAATAAATAAATATACAATAAAAATAAAAATAAAAAATCAATAAATAAATAAATAATCTTACTTCAACATCAATACACATTTGATGACCGCCTCTCATACATGGAGATTCTCCATCTTTGAAAATTATTAAAAATTTCGAGTAAAGTAAAAAATAGTTGAAACGTAAGAAATAGTAGAGAAAGTAGAGAAATTAGAGAAAGTAGAGAGAAATTTAATATATTTAATATAATTACCAACATCAATTTTTTTCCAAAGATGTTTATATGAGCAACTACGAATATATTCTTCGAATAATCCTTTTTCTGAAGCTTCAATCATTATATTTTCAGTTTCCTCAAAATCACCATTTGTAACCAACTGTGTATAAATATTTGTTATTAATGGATCCTCCAACAACATTTTTGCTTTTGATTGCAAAGCGTTGAAGGCATCCAAATAATTCCGCTGCCTAAAGTGTTTCAAACAGAGTCTAATTGCTTCATTTTCTCGGTACTATAAAAAAACAATAAAAAATGTTTTTAATAATAATAATAATAATAATAATAATAAATTTAGAATTGAGAACAAATATAAGTATGAATATATATATGTAAATATATATAAGTATGAATATATATAATATGAATATATGAATATATATAAATATGAATATATGAATATATATAAATATGAATATATATAAATGTGAATATATGAATATATATAAATATGAATATATGAATATATATAAATATTAATATATGAATATATAAATATATGAATGAATATATGTATATAATAATAAGACTCACATTAATGTAATCAAAATAAGCCTTCTGTACAAATTCATGATCTCGGATTCCCTTCAATTCGACATACCATACGCTAAAACCAAAATCCGGGGCATACGAATTGAGAGGAACAATTTTAATATATTGGCATGGTAATAGCTAATATAATAATTAAAAAGAAAAAATAATAATATGTAAATGTAAATGTAAAAATAAGATAAAAAGGTAAGATAAAAAGGTAAAATAAAATAAAAATAAGGTAAAAAAAAAATAAGGTAAAAAGAAGATAAAATAAAAGAAACAATTCAATTGTTTCAAATTGTTTCATATTTGACATAACATTCAGTATATACATACCACTTGATGATTTACTTTATGCTTCAATCGAAATGATTCAGAACACGCATTATTTCGTAAACCTAAAAAAATAATGAATAAATTTTATTTCGATCTATACAATTTTAGTAGTCAAGTCATGCATCCTTTCTTGGTTTATAAAAAAAAAAAAAGATTAATAAATAAATATATAAATAAAATTCATATATCTTACCGCTATGTAATAATTCGATCATATTATTGGCAGTTAATCCACCATAAACTTTGAATTGTTTTAAATTAGTTACGTGTTCTAAAAAAATAAAATAAAATAAAATAAATAAAATGAAATAAAATAAAATGAAATAAAATGAATGAAATGAAATGAAATGAAATGAAATGAAATGAAATGAAATGAAATGAAATGAAATGAAATAAAATGAAATGAAATGAAATGAAATAAAATAAAATGGAATGAAATGAAATAAAATGAAATGAAATAAAATGAAAAATGAAAAAAAGTATTAAAAAGTATTAAAAAAATTATAATTTTATAAATGTACGAATAATAAATAAATAACTTAATAATAAGTATTTATCTTCCCAAACCTTTATAATGTTTACCAAATGTTATGCTATCTAATAGAGTTTTAAAGCAGTCAAAGAATATATTGAATAAAAAATGGTTAAATATTAATAATACAAATTAAGGAGAATAAAGCATAACAAAGGATACGAACAATGGCCATTGTTTCAAGTTTAATCAATATAAACTGTTGACTTTGATTATAAGCCTGATTATTAATTTTAATTGACCAGCGAGAAGATTGTTCTGAAGGTTTATCTTCCAAAATATTATTTGGATAAAAAGAAGCGGTGTACGAAGAATACGAATGTATTTCGTATGATAATTTAACTATAGGGTATTCAAGTTCAAGGTGTTGTTGTTTCTTGGTTGAAATCATTTTTTTTTAATTATTATTATTTATTATTATTATTAATATTATTATTATTATTACAAGAAAAAGGTAATTAGGTTCGCGATATTTTTAATTATCTGACTTTTTTATTATGACAAGCTAAGCCACGTATTACCACCATCACGGATACAATTTGCGAACAATAAATTTCACGAAAATAGAAATTTCATCAACATATTAATGTCACCGAAATAGAATTTTCACACAAAACGAGAAGATTGATTTTTTTTTTTTTTATACATGTAGAAATTGGAAACATAGTAAATATAGTAAATACATATAGTTTTACAAAGCAATGTCCAAATAATTTGCCTGCAAAAATGCTACGCGTTAAAAAAAAACTATGATACATTTTATATATATATATATAAATCACTATCAAAATAAACCACCCACATTGAATAAAAGGATAATGTTGATAATGTTGGGAGATAATAGGAAAAAAAAAATAAAATAAAATAATTTTTGAACTCACCAATTATATTCATTCATAATCATTTTAATGTTCTTTTTTTAAAAAAAAAACAAATAAGTAAAAAAGTAAAAAGTCATTAAAAACAAAAAATTTAAATTATTAAGAAGCACAGTCTTTACCCTGAAGAATACTTTCTACTATAAATTTAGAAACACATTTATCATCATGATTCTCTTTACTATTAAAATGAATAGTAAAGATATTCTTGAAATCTTTACAATCGATTAATTGATTTTTAACTTTTTTCCTCAAACTTCTTCCCATTATTAAAGCAATCCATCTATTTTGTGCTTCTATAAGTTCATTAATAAGAGGTAAATATGATAATGATTGTTCATTATGCTTTCTTAAAGCTGGTACAATATAAACTTTTCTTTCTTCATTGCGATCGTTACAATCATTGCGATCATTATTACGTTCATTATGATCATTACGTGAAGTCGTTGATGATGGTAGTTGTTCATTACGAAAAGTAGTAGTAATAGTAGTAGTAGTAGTAGTAGTAGTAGTTGATTCATTATAATTATTGTGATTTTTATTATTATTATTATTATTGTTGTTGTTGTGATTTTCATTATTATTATTATTATTATTATTATTTTTATTTTTATTTTTATTATTATTATTATTTTTATTATTATTATTATTTTTATTATTATTATTATTATTACGACCTGATCGACTTATTCCAGGTTGTCGATTTGAAGAATTATCATCTTTAGAATTCTCTACCAATAATAAATTATATTCTACAGCATCAGAATTAAAGTAACATTTAATATCCTTGGCAATTGGTGAAAACCGATAAATAAGTAATTCGGTAAAAGAATAAACTTTCTTTGATGAATTTAATGGTTGTCGACATTTATTTTTCATATTAGTTGAACTTGATCCGGCTCTTGCTTGATGATGATTTTGATGATTTTGATGATTTTGATGATTTTTCCTCGTCCGGTCTTCATTATATTTATAATAATAATTATCATAATCATAATCATAATCATAATCATAATCATTATTATTATCATTATCATTATTATTATTATTATAATTAAAATTATTATTATTATTATTATCATCATCATTTTTATTATTTTGATGATGATGATTATTATTATTGTGACAAGGAGTTTCACTTTGTTCTTTCAGCGGAATTGTATTTTTGGAAGGAATTTTTTCAATATTTTGTATAGAAATGGTAGAAGAATCCGTATCAGTTCCAAAATTCGGATCACATAATAAAGTATCGATAAGATTACTCTGACTTGGTGCAATCACATTAACATTGTTGTTGTTATTATTAATAATATCATCATCATCATAATCAAATTTGATTAAATCAACTTCTCGAATATCATGAACATCATTTAACGCGTCTTTGGTTTTAGAATTCACGGAGGTAGCTATAGACTTGGACTGTTCTTTATTGATATCAAAAAAAAAAGAAATGAATAATTAATACAAACTTAAATCTTTTTTTTAAAAAAAAAATAATAATAAATAAATAATTCTCAAACAAACCTCCTAATACCACATTCTTATTTGGTTGATCTTTATATAAATGAGCTTTGTTAAGTTTAACAAAGATAGTACCAGGAAGTCGTTTATTATTATTTTTATTATTATTATTTGTCGTCATTTTTTTTTTTGAAATCTCTGAGCCAATAAAGAAAGTTGATATTAGAAATAAATTTAAAAAAACGCGTTGAATAAATAAAATTTTATAGTTTTTAAACCTTTAATAAATGAAAAGATAATTGAAGAGATAAATGAAGGATAAATGAAAAAGATAAATAGAAGAGATAAATGAAGAATAAAGTGTTTAAATATCTTTTAATTTAATCCAAATATGGTTAACTACATAAGCTTTGTATAACCATAAATAAACTGACACACAAAGTATTAAGTAAATCTAAGATGTCATGAGACTATTTAATACCTATTATGAATACGAGATCGTATCAAGTTTTTATATAAAAATTGTCAAATTGTCACATGGATAAATATATTAAGAAAGGTACAAGAAGAATATAAAGAAAAGCATATGATGGTTAAATGAAGAGTATGAAAGTGTCATTATTCTCAATTTGATTGTCATCACATTATTAAAGAGCCGATATTATTATTATTATATCACACATAAATATATATCACGTCCATTCATATACATCACATAAATTAATGATGTTTTTAATATTTCAAATAATCACATCCGATACACATAACATTAACAGCTTCATTCGGATATCCACATTCAGGACAATACCAATGTGAATGTGAATTTGTAATATCCTCAATGTTTACTGGTTGTGAAGAAGAAGAAGAAGAAGAAGTGATTGATGTGGTTGATGGTCGTTCCATTAAACAAATTCCACATTGTAAAGCCAATGGTTGATTAAGAAATGTACAATAAGGACAATTCCATTTGATTGGGGGTAATTTATTTTCTGGAATTCTAATTGGTTGTTTCGATAGTTGTTTTGGTAATTGTTTTGATTTAGATCGTGTATTATCATCTTTATTAATATTATTGTTATCATTTGTTTTTTCACTTCCACACCAAATCATATCTCTTCTTCTTCTTTCGGCTGCCATAGAAGTTAATTCTCTCATTGATATTCCATAATTTTCCCAATCAAAACCACCAAGTTTAACTCCACCATTTGTCATAATTCCTTCTATTTTCCTTCTTTTTTCTGCTGCTTCTAATGCTCTCTGTTTAGCCATTTCTGGTGTGATATTATTATAAATCCCTGATCCAACCTTATAACCAAGACCTGAAAAGTATTCATTTTCAATAAAACCTTGAGATAAAAGTTCATCATATTCATCATTTAATTCATCCAATAATTTATAAAATGCTGCGTCATGTGGTCCACATTGATTATGTGTTAATCTAAATATATTAAAAGTATTGAAAAAAAATATTAAATTCTTAAAATATTAAATTCTTAAAATATTAAATATATATATATATATATATATTATATAAATATTATAATCATAATTCGAACAGATAATAAAGAATAATAAAATAAGAATTTACTCATGTAACATAGTTCCAATAAGATCATTAAAATCTAGAAAGTTTCTATCATCATAATGTGGACGTAAACGAATATGTATTGATTCCCCATGATTTAAATTCATCCCTAAAAATTATTATATGTTATTATATGTATAATAAAAAAAAAAATTAAATTCATAACAATCAAATCAATTTTAATTTTTGTAAAATATTATATATTACCCCCCCAGATATAATAATAATAATATATAAGCATAGACTTTTAATTCATAATATATATATATTTATTTTTTTAAATATTTATAATTATTTTATAAGTCTATACCATACCAAGTAAATTTTTTTCCGCCGGCCAAAATTCTTCCAATGTATCAACCTTCCAATTATGTTTTTTCATTATGGGTTCAACCTAATATATATACATATTAATGTAAATATAGTATTAACATAAGAATTACTTTAAAAGAATTAGTGCTTTACCTGTGTAGCTAATTTTTTTAATAAATTCAAAGCTTCAGCGTGGTTAGAATATTTAGTAATTGCTTTGAAATTACCAATATGTTGTGAGTGTGAGTTCATTTTTCTTTAAATTGTTAAAGAATTTTTTAAAAGAGAAAACCTATTTCTCACCCCCATAATCCTCTATAATTGCCACATAGCATAGATATCAATTTTTTTGACCTAGTTTTTTAGGTTACAAAACCCTATTTGTCACATTTATTTACTCGAATGTGATTAGTAACAGGATGCATGTGATTTGTTGTGATTGTTGACAGAATACATGTGATTTTCTGTGATTATTGGATAATTTAATCATGTGTTTATTTTTTCAATTGGACGATCATAAGTAATCAATAAGTAGTAAATTCAGTTCTAGACTATACTTGCACGTAAAATTATTTTGGGGCCCGAAATTGCAATTTCGGGGAAAAAAGTCAAAATAGTTTTTCATAGAAGACGAAATTATTTTACTTAAAACCCGAAATTTTTTGAC